TTCCCACACCTCACCGCCACGCTCCCATGCCCCCTCCATTCTTTTGTTCAGAAGAAGAGTCACACCCTGTTGTTTGGCAGTCTCCTGCCCTAATAAGAGGACTGTTCACCCCTCAGGGTGGCAGGAGCCAGAGCCGATCCACCAGACCTTCTGAATACCACAGAGATCCAGGCAGTACCGGTCCAGCTCCCGACAGAGGAGTGGCAGCCTCTCCTCCGCAGTGAGCATTCGAAAATTCCACGTGGCCACACTTAGTGTTGTTTTGTTGTTTCTGGAGGAGCCCTGAGGGTAACGATTCAGTCTCCTGGCTCCGCCAAATGGGGTTTGGCCAGGAGACCCCATAGACGCCTGTCCTCCTGGGCCCTCCAGAACAAGCTTATTAATTACATTTTTCAGTCGTGGTTTGGTGGTAATTAATTGAAGGTGGAGGGGTTACCAGCCCTGCGCACCCATCCAGAACCCCCATTTGGCCAGTGGTGGTTACAAACGCCATGAGGGGAAAGGGCCAATATAAATTGGCCCTTCCCCCCACGGCACTGCCCACCACAGCGTTGCCGTTCGGCACCACGAGGAGGTAGAGGGTTGTTTTTTGCCGTGAATATGCACACACACACACAGAAAATACTAATTCATGTCAGGTTTACACATATATGTAATGTACATTTCAAGTGATTCACTTTCGGGTTATGAGTAAAACGTGCATGTGCTGTATCGAGGTCACCACATATGGAGACAAATCCTCCAGCAACCATACTGAAAGCATCTTGCATGATACAGCGAGGTAGCCCAACATTACACAAGCACCTATACCTGATGTTAAAAATTCCCTGTCAGTGCACATTTGACAGCAGTGGGGCGTGATGTAAGCTTCGCTTGCTCATTCAGCCAACACAGACTAAACATCCTAACCATGTAATAATCATCTCCTGCTACGTGGGCACGATGGTGAATGCTGCCGTAGAACTTCAGAGCTATCCTTTGACAGAATGAGTGTCTATTGTGCTGAGCATGCTTTGTAGCAGGGCTTCCAATTATAGAGGTTGTTTCATGGATCATTAAAGCACTAAGACAAATCTTTGGCCTATTTCCATGCAGGATAAAAAAGTATATTTTTTCGTGTAATTATCATGATTAATGTCTCAAAATGACACAAACATACATATTATATATTGAGAACCATTTAAAACACATATGCTCGTGCTAACTCGAGAATAAACTAAAAATAATACGCGAAATTGATACCATCGTAAGTATTTTGTTGATAAAATTAAATAACGTTTGGGATAACAAATGTATTTTTCAAATATGAGATTGAACAAAGTTAACCGAGCACAAAACCGAAAGCCATACAGTTGTAATACATTATTTATGAATTCATCGTGTACATATTAAACAAACATAACCGGTATAGAGATATATCCTCCATAGCTTGAGGCTGCATGCATTATTTTACACTCCATTATTACAAAATAATAATAGTCTATTCTGTTAATTTGTGCGTGGCAATAGTGTCTTTATTTGGACATCGAATAGAAATTTAAATAATGAAGCAGAATCACTTAATTTAAACTAAGTACAGTTTCATTGTTATGACATTTTCTCGTGCTGATAGCAAACCTGTCCACCCCTTATTACTGCCCTACCTTATTACAGACCTATTCAGACCTTATTGGTCACCCGTGCCCTTTCAAATCTCCACGTTCATCCTACAAAGTCCCATAACAAGAGAGAAACACAAACAAACTGACCAGCAAATGTTGCCCGTATTGAAACGGCTGTACTCCCTATGCACCTGAAAACTAAATTTGCCTGCGCAAGAATACGGGTACACCGTATGGGTTGACAGGTGTGTTATAGTCAAGATGTGTGAATTATCTTAATACCCAGAATTGATCTGGCACCGTCTGATGCGAATTCAAAACTGAGCGAGTTGGGGTCAAATTAAAACTCTGCAACAGTGCACTTAATGAAAACAAAATTGATGTAAAAAAATGATGCTTACTGTATGGCAATGCACTTCAGTAAATAATCAGTCTTGGTATTTTTTAAATATATTACAAAAACGTTTAATTTTGTTAAGTGTTTATGGAAATTGTTTTCAACAGTGTGCAAACCTATTGACTATTAAGAATTGTTTTTAATTATTTCACGAATTAGCTATAATTGCTGAGATTCTCTGTTATTGAATTTATTAATTAGACATAACAAATGTCCCCCCCCCCACAGAACCACACACTTTCTTTGTTTTTCTTTGCAGTTTTTTTAATGAATTAAAAACCTGCATCAGCAGCAACACTCTGCTTTAATTTTGCGATTAAATGTTCCATTATTTGAACAAGCATCCATTTGGATATCACGTATTTAAGAGTATCGGTATCGCATAATCTGAATAATTTGAACACACAGGTAGCACACGCTGTAGAATAGTCATACAAAGACGTGTAATTTTCTATGTGCACCATTACATGTATGTGTAGTGTTCTCCTTTCCTAAGTCGTGTGTGCATGTGGCGTGCGGCGCAGACACTCAGTCGGAGATGACCACGCTGTCGTACAGCCCGGCCCAGACACGACCCTGTCCGCGTTGCACCGACGGCGTCGACCGAGACAGCCAACTAATGTCCGGCTGCGTGATGATCGGGCGACGGCGGCAGCGACGAAGGCGGTGACGACGACAACTACGACGACAACGACGACGAGACAATTACACTCAGAACCGGCAGCCTGGAGCTCTCGCTCTACACTGCTTTTATTTTCCTCGGCGCGGCTTGGCTCCGCCATAGCCGCGCCTCCCTTCTTGTACCCACCAGAGGGTTCCAGGGGCCTCCCTATAAGGTCTATCGTGACCCTTGCCCCAGTTCCTCCGCCCTGCTGGCACACCCGTGTTTCTGCTCGATGGCGTGTGTGCTAAGTGTCCGTCGCAGTTGCTGCTGCTGTACAGCAGTCGGCGCTGTGTCACTACATATGTATGTTTTGAATTAAACATAAATATTACATGTGTAAGGACAGTACGTGGTGTTGTAAGGACAGTACATCTCCCCGTGACCGTGGTTACTAATTAGCGTGACGGGAACAGAGAGGGTCACGTAAGGGTGATATAGGACCTAAGTAGTCAATAATAATGATTGATGCGACGGGCACTGACAGGGTCGCGTGAGGATAAGCACGGGACCTAAACGGTCGTAAATAGTAATTGGGACAGTGACAGACAGGGCCAGTTGTGGCGAGAGAGTGTTCGGGAAAAGGGGTGTTGCCGGGTCGTGAGGGGGATAAAAGCCGGCGTGGAACAGGGCTCTGGGCTGCTGTTGTGGGGGAACCGAGGAACTGCCGTCACCATCGTCATCTTGGAGCGGGTTGTCTTCATCGTCCTGGAACGGGCACCTTGTAGTCTTGGAAGGCTAGGGTTATGGTGTCTCCGTGACTGCTACGCATCCACTCCTGTGTAGCTAGCCAACTACACAGGGAGCGTTGCGTAGAGTCACATAAGTTACCCAAGTGTATATAGTCACTCTCGGTTACTCGTTAAGTTATCAGTGAGTCGGTGGACTTTATTCATAATAAATATACACATAACTGAACAAGAAGCTGTCTCTGAGAGATACATTACACATGTAAATAATGTACTGCATTGCACATGTATGTGTAACCGCCTTCATGTCATATCTGCTTTACCTGAGCAATAAGTGATCTGATAGTTGCATTGTCTTTGTACTGTTGGCCTTTTGGCGTTCTCTGCTGTGACACTGATGAGACAAGGTCATAAAGTTGTCTGGTGTAGGCCATTCAGTTTCAAAGACATTGCATACATGATCAGAGAATGTTTGTTTGCATGTTTTACAACAAGTATGTGTGGTTAATGCAGACTTTACACCTTAAAAAAGGTATCTGTTTTGTGTTTGAACATCTTAACACTTGTTGTATTGCCAGAGAGGGTAAAACCTATTCTTTTCAGATTTTGTCAATCCATTGCTGGATGAGGTCCTCCCCGTGTCGCCATGGGTCTCGTAGGCTATTTGGCCGTACTCTCACCACGCTGGTCAGTGTGGGTAGGTGGGTGCACAGAAGTAAGCTACAACTATGGATGTTACTGCAGTGCCCTCTGCTGCCCACCGTATAACCTCGTAGGCCCACGACAACCTGTTTGTGGATGGAGGTCACCCAAACAAGTACGAGCGAGGCTCACTCAGCTCTGCTTAGCTTCTGAAATCTGACGAGACCGGACACATTCTGGATGCTTTGTCAGAGACATTAGGAAAGTGTCACTATGTTAAGATGTACAACAAATATATAATTATCTTCACATTACAATTCATATATTTAGCGAATACTTCTACACGTGACAGTCATACCGTTAGAGCGACAGATAAGCAAGAAAACTAAAGAATAAATGCGCTTGTCAATGTTACATATGTGTGAGTGGACGTTTGCCCACGGAGCCACAGAGGCATGTGACATCCTCCCCCAGCACGTAGAGGGCAACAGCAACTACAACAACAACCAAGCACCACCAGGCACGCCCTGACGGACTTCACAGCTGAAGACGATGTGCGGCCATTGGTGCCCCATCGATGTTCAAAAGCGGCACACGTTACAATTAAAAAAATCGTCTATCTGCCTCTGGAATTTCCTCGAATTTCTAGACTGATAGCATCAAACATTATTTTTGTTTAAACAAAGAGGTCTAATTATTGAATTACTGTACACATAATGCTCCACAAACAATGCAAAAAATATTTATTATACATTCGTTCTCTTTGCTAGCTCTGCCTCGGGACATTGCTGTGTCAATGGCAAGGAGCATTATTGTATTAACGGGAAGCACACTTGTTAGATAATACAATTTACAGTAATAATAAAAATAGACATCAATGAAAATGCTGTTACTCGCCTTTTGAGCAAACACAGAAGGCTCAGGAAATGTTTTACCAAGTTAATGGATTACTTCACCTGACTCACTGCATGCCGAGTCCCAGTCGCTTTTGTGAGTTTGCCAGAGTGTGGGGGTTGGCTAATGATAAACTCGGATATTTGAGCTGCCTACCCCTCAGTTCGGCTTGGACTTCGTGGCGTTCACAATGTGGTTGCAAACGTGTGTCGTGTTGATGTGCATTTCTCAGACATTTGGTAAGTCTAATCATCGGTGTGTGTCATTGTACGTGTGTACTAAACTGTCCTCGAGTATTTGTTGCGTAGAGGCAATGGAAATTTTCAAGTTGTTTTAGTTTTTTTCAATTTGGCTTTTGTGTTTTTTTACAAAAGAACGTTGGCAACAATGTATGAACATCCATTGTATTGTAAGGGCAATTTAACTGACAGATGTGTTTTTTTTTTCAGCCGAACATCCTCTAAATGACTACAAGAAGTCCAATAACAAGGAAATTATTGTCACAAGCATCAATGTGATGACGCGACTTTCGAAAAAAGTTCCTCAAATAGCTTCACCGGAGCTGTGTGCACAAAAATGTAACAAAGAGTCATTCTTCAAATGCAGGTACGTCTCTTCATTACCACCAACCACCATGCTCCACCCTAAACCACAGCCGCCGCACAAACCACGGCAGACGCGGATACTTGATACACAAAATTAATGGGAAATCATTTTAAAACAGTCTGCCTCAGCAGCAGCAGACCATGCTTTCCCACCTGATGATGGACGCTTGTGTTGCGCCCGAAACGTCGTGATGTATTTTATTTTAATACCTATGTGGCTTTACCGAAAGAACCAAAGAGTAACGGAAAACTGTAAAACTCTTCAGTGTGCCACTGTGGTCATCCAGAACAGACCGTACAACGCCCGATTGGCAAATACGTGGGAGACACCACTTAAGCGGTTCTGCTTTCACTAAGTTGTCCCCACCTGAAGAAGGACGATTGTGTTGCGCCCGAAACGTCGTGATAAAATTTTTTTTTACCTACGTGACTTTACCGAAAAAACCAAAGAGTATGAATCCTTGCAGTCACGAAAACTTCAAATCTAGCGATACTCTCCTCTGCGTCTGGCGCGGTTATCTGGACTTGACCACCTGAATGTGGAAATTGTCGTTGTTGTTCTGCGTTTACATCAACCCCTAACGGAATCAGAGTGCAATTATAATACGCTTAAAGTGATTTTATATTCCACGAGATACAAGTATTGTGTAAACATAATATAATATCAATCAAACACCAATGTGAGAAGTAAGGTTTCTGAAGTTTGTGAATCAGATTTTTTTTTAAAGATATTAATTTTATTGGTTGTATTTCCAATAGTGAAAGTAGTTACTGTTTTTAAATAATTTGATTGGAATTGCGATTTTTTTTTAAAAATATAAATGGTGGAGTTGCTTTTTGCTTAAAGAAATTTCTCAGGGTGGATGTTTTACAGCATCTTTGAAAATCTGACAACATTCTTGCTCAATGGCTCGCTAATGCACTTCAAGCTTATGCAGTGCGTTGTTCCTCATGATGTTCGGCGTTTCGTGACAATCCAGGAGTGAAACGTCAGACACAACTGCAAAACCTACGTAATTCTGAGAAACCATTTTATTTCACCGGTATTTGCTCAAGTAAAAACTATCGGACGTTTTTAGTTAGGCATGACCCATAAAAGGTAAAACAAAATATTGGTTGCAATAAAATAAGTGACTTAAGAAAATACTTTTTTTTACACACTGCACAAAAAGCCATTCGACTTTGTGTGTGTGTGTCTTTTTACGAACCATTGCAGGGCCTTTCACTTCAATAAGTGGTCCAAAGAGTGCTCCATGCTGGGATTTACCAGCCTAACAGAAGGGACAATTGTGGAAATCAGTGATCAGTTACATCTGTATGAGAAAAAAGGTACGAAATACACGTGACACACCAATCAACATATTATTTTACAATCGATCACGAGATATATGTATTGTTTTTAGATAACAAACAACGCCATTTCCAACTACACATATATAACACTGCAAGTGTTTACTTGTTATCATATTCTATTGCTTGAGCAAGAAGTCAGCTTTCATTCTGTAGCTCCCTTCCTAAGCTACCAACGTTGTAAAAGGGCATTGAAGTGTCACTCGTTCATGGCCACAAGCCATGTCGCAAGCAAATACTGCACAAGTTGGAAGCTTTTTCATTTATTTGTTGTGTGATCCCAGATTACGTCAGAGAATGCGTCATTGGAAATGGAATCACCTACAGAGGTCAAGCTAAGATAACGAAGAGTGGGAGGTCTTGCCAACGTTGGGATGCCACTCATCCACATGATCCCAGGTAATTGTACTGTTCGACTTCCCACTTGGATGTATTGGCAAGAAGCTATACATACTCTTAGGTTTTTCGGTAAAGTCTCAAGTGAGACAGTAAATTTAGCTGTGACGGTCCCACCTGATGACGGAGACTTGTGTTGCCTCCGAAACGTCGTGATTTATTATTTTATTTCTATAATTTTTTCAATTAAATTATTTATTATTTATTTTTTATCTACGTGACTTTACCGAAAAACCTAAGAGTATGAATCCTTGCAGTCACGAAAGCTTCAAATCTAGAAGGAGCTATACACCCGCTAAGGATATTCACAACAACACTCGAATATATTTTCTGAAATTCGATTTGGAGAAATTAAGTGGAAAAAGAAAACTGTGCAAGAATTGACCATCTCAGATTTCACAATCGTATTGTGACAACAAATGTGTCTTGAACTATAGAAAATAATTGAATAGCTTAACAAATAAGGCTAAATAGTATTAAGGTAAATATCAGTACAACTAAAAGGTCACAAAATAAGTTCACTGAAAAAAAGAAAGAATACTCTTTGACCAATAAAACATGAAAACACAAAAAAATATGTATTTCTGGCACAATTATTGAATGCACACGGACCAGCAAAATTGTGAAATACAGAGGCTGAGTGCGGATATAACAGTGACTTAAAAAGTCGACTGTTCAGAAAAATACAATACAGCAAATGTGCCTATGGATTAATATGGTTTAGACTTCTTTATTGCATGTACTTTCTTGTGTGCGTGTGTGTGTGTTGTTCATTGAAGATATCGACCCCAGTTGTACCCTGAGAAAGAGCTGGAAGAAAATTTTTGCCGGAATGCCGATGAGGACGACGGTGGACCCTGGTGTTACACAACCGACCCCGAACTCCGCTTTGAATCCTGCAACATCAAACAGTGCAGTGACGGTACGAGTGCCATCCAATCTATGCCGAGTGCTTTCAAGCACACACAGGTGCACCACGGCAAGCAACAACAATAAAATTAACAACCAGTACGAGAATAAAGGGCACAAGTCAGTCTGTGAACTTTCGATTGGACACGTACTTATGTATGTTGAACTCATTTTGTACCATACGTAGCCAACCGTGCTAATCGGAGGTGCGGGAGAAGGACAACAAACTAAACACACACATATGGTATTGACATGGGGTTTTAAGGGCAGTGATATTGTGCAGCGGTTGCACATTCAGTGCTCATTGCAGAGGTTTGTGGTTTGAATCCAGCATGCTGCCCTGGTTATTACTGTGGGTGTATTAACCATAAAATACACACTTTCTGCTTCACAGCGTATGTTAAAGATCTCCTGATGCCATTCACTAAAGTAGGCCATTGTGTGCCGTGTGTATGCATGTGTGTATGTTGAACTTCGTTCGCACCGTACGTGACCAATGATGCTAACCGGAGGTGCTAGCGTCATGGTCCAAATGACGCTGGCACCTCTGGCAAATTTCTCAATTGAGATTCAGACTGTGCATGTGAAACTTTGCGCTTTCAGGATAGCGATGTGCTTAAGAATGGTGCAAACAATTATTGTCTGGCGGTGGCGACTATGCATGCCTGTAACCCGGCACTGTGGAGGCAAGGATTGGTGGATCCTAGATTTGAAGCTTTCGTAACTGCAAGGATTCATATTCTTGGGTTTTTTCGGTAAAGTCACGTTGGTAAAAAATTTAAATTAAAATTAATAAAAGTCAAATAAAAAATAAAATAAACATCACGACGTTTCGGAGGCAACACAAGTTTCCGTCTTCAGGTGGAACCGTCACAGCACGCTTGCTGTATCAAGTAAAAAAAAAAGCAAGCTTGCTGTGACGGTTCCACCTGAAGACGGAAGCTTGTGTTGCCCCGAAACGTCGTGATTTTTATTTTATTTTTATTTTACTTATATTAATTTTAATTTTTTTTTACCTACGTGACTTTACCGATTGGTGGATCACACAAATATTGTGAAACTCCCTTCCAGTGGACGTCAAGGTGTCATATCCTGGCAGTACAGCAAGTGGACTAATCGCCTATGGGTATTGAGTGTTGCCCCTTGGTGCTCGGGGGTTTTCTCCAGGTGCCCTGTGGTTGCCTCCTTGCTTGTATAATAAACGTTCATCATTAATTGGCAAAAAACATCTTAAAATAATAACACCCCAATGAAGTACTCTCCTGAAAAAGCGTACTATGGTATGCGTCAGTGTGGATTTGCCTGGATGAATAAATACATTTATAATATTGTTCGACGCTTATAAGTAATTATAAACATTCTTGCAGTCTTCAAAGAACTGTGTTATCATTAAAATGTACACGAACCAGTTTGCGTCCTGTTCTCAAATCTACAGAAACATAGTTTAAGGTGTAGTCAAACCATTTGAATAAAACCACATTTAGGCAAAACCGATTACCAACTCATTCTATTACACTCACCCTGGATCGATTAATATACAGTTTTATAATTCACAATGTTCATTGTTTTTTTTTATCTTGTGCACTTATCCGTGGCCAAGAGGAGTAACCCGCCCAGAAGTAGCAGTGAATCCTACGCTGTTATCCACGTTGTTTACACGCAAGAGCCCCCCAAAAATGGCCTGCCAGAAGTTCTAAAATTCATCCTAATCTCCATGGCTCTCAATGGATCAGATTAGTGAACCATAAATGGTGTGCTATGATTTACCTTAATTTGAAAAAAAAACAGAAAACCGCGTAATAGGATTTGCCAATAGCACCTGCCATCTGTGGTCACCGAGAGAAGAAACAGTGGAACCTATAATGGCTACGTATGGTGAAAAAGATGCTCAACATACATACTCAACCCCCATTCTAAAATATGAAGGAGGCACCGTCACTGCGATACACTCCCGATGCTCCTGACGCAATGATGTGTCTCGAACACCTCGATGCAGAGCTGCAGTTGTTACTCTGCATCAAAGTCAATCGTGCGAAGAAGAAGATGCCCCCAACCCTCCACCCTTTCCCAACTTTACTACAGATAAGAGGAGCTTACCCAATATTTGAAATCGGTAAAGGTTTCGATGAATAAATAACAACAACTGGAACATAAATTCTCATCCGACATGTCGTCATCATCGTGGCTAAAATATTTTAATATGAGGGATGGTTTTACCAATTCACATTACCAAAGCATGACATTTTCAGAAAAATCAATCTCAAATTGTTTAGCCTTCATAAAACATCGAAATCTATTGGAAATTGGGTTATACATACATTACTGAAGCATTGTTGGAAATTAAAATGTCTTAGCCATGACAATGAAATTCAATGCGATGTTTTATTAAATGTCGTTACACTTGTCAGCATCACACTGGTATGATGCAAAATAAACGATTCGAAATGCTTAAAAGCCCACCTCCCCCCCCCCCCCTTACAGATCCTTGCCTCGTTTGCATTGGACAAAGTTACCGTGGCTTTGTGGAATACACGGAATCGGGAAGGCGGTGCCAGAGATGGGATGCTCAGAACCCACACAAACATCAGTTCAACCCGAGCAAGTGAGTGTCCGATATTAGACACGAGCAGTGGCAGTGCCCGTCCCCCTGGTGTGTACCCCACTGAAGTATGGTCAAAGCAGCCCCTATGAATGATTCCCATTGGAGATGGCCTTCATCCAGCAGTGGATTGACATAGCACTGTAAATAATGCAACAAATGTTGCCTTTTTTACTGATCAAAATTTGTTTAAAATCCCACTATGAATTTAAAGGTACAGATCATCAGGACCAGATTTTTCAAACAAGGCAGCTGATTAAAGGATTTTGGATTTCAAATGAAAATATAAATCGTCTTCTTCTTTCGTATGGCATTGTGAAAAGCAACAGTTGTTCTATTTTCTTAATGATCATCATAATATAAAAACAAGTGACAGCAATGGCGTGTGGTTGATTCATTACTCTTGAGCTTACCTGGTAAAAAACACAACATAGCTAATAGTTTACAGCCTGATCATGTAACTCATTAAACCATTGCAAGGGAACATAATGGGAAATTGGTCACCCATCGTATACAATCAACAAACTCACTGTAAATATCATCAATAATTACAACTGGTGGAATCAATCCTGTAAGCTCTGTGTTAAAACATTTCAACAAATTCAAATCACCCAGTGCATTGAGTAGATCATTCTCAGTAGTCCTCACTTTAATGTAACTCTCATGAAAGCAAGCCACGTCTGGGATGGAGTGACAGCCATGAGAATGATTTATATTGTCAGCGTATCTGTTGCATAGCTTTTAAATAGCTTTATATCAGTCATCTGTACCAGAAATAGTCATCTAAATTATTTAAATTGTATTCTCGTATCGCTGTTAATAGCTGTAGTGATACCATCCATGTCTCCTTATGGGACTTCTTTTCACATTTATACTTTGTTACTTCGTGCAAACTCATTGTAACCATTCCAGAATGTTCGATAATTAGAAATATTTCGTGAGAGCTTAACTGACCAAGTAAGTTTTCACCAAATTAATGCCACTTTAACGTCTACAAAAGCCAGGCATAATCGTGTTTGATATTAATTTGTCTTGTATAGAATCTGATTGATATTATATGTGTGCGGCCAAGGGTACAGAAACCTTTTTCTAAAACCAGTTTGCCCTATGGTTAGTTGACCTATAAATTGACCTTTGTTCAGTTCTGTATTATCTCCTTGAGCAATTTATTTTCTGTACATGAGTTAAGAAGCTAACGAGATTCATCCAGGATAAATAAAGATTTTGATTTTGTAATTATTCAAAGAAGTGTGATTTCCCTTCTTGGTTCCAGGAATGAAGGAGGCATCATTCGACATGAGACATGTTATTGATGTGTAAACGTTTTATAAATAGGTTTGCCAATATTGATCCGATCGCTGGTCAGACTTCTCGAATGAAGTCAAGTTGCAAATGGCAGTATCAATGTATGTATGATATTTATGTGTATAAATATGTGCATAGAATTCCCCCATCAGTTGCATTATGTAGTCTCTATCATGTGTTATGATTCCATCTTGCTCTCGAAGAGTTACTATTTGCAATTGATCAATTATTAACTTCCTTTTTGTTGATTCCTGTTACTGCTTATGATCACATAACCCTTATGGTTAGAGACATCGTCCAAATATATAATTGGATTAGATAAACATGTACATAATGATAAATAGTGAATGTACTAACCATCTAGGATTTGACAACGACATAGTCATTATAATAAATCCTACAATAGTAATGTACCACGAGATATGATTAAAGCATTTAGCTAAGGCTGAAAGTGGGGAAACATATATAGTGCACATGAGTGGCACAAAGGTCGAGTACACCGATAATGCTGAGCAAAAGAAGTACTTTGAAGGACAGACACAACTAGAACACATGTATATTGGGCAATTATTGAAGGTGGGATGAAACCAATTAAATTATGATTTGAGCAAGATCGGGATGGAGTACCTTTTGAATATTACATTTGATAATGAATAGCGACATAATTAAGCTTACATTGCAAAGAAAGTTCTAAGTAAGTGTATATCATTAACTTCCATGATGTGAATCGGAACCATGCACAATTTTTTTCATGAAACAAAAACTTTAAAGTGCACAGAGAAACATGGGAGAAGTGCACGCATCGAATTGCATTGAGACACATAGATTAGAGTTTAAGTAAATGCTGTTTAAGCAGGTGAGAACTCAACTGCGACCTGAGCTATATCAGTCTGACAGTTTGGGGGCAATGATTACTGTGAATAATGCCAATTAAGTAATTTGCAGATAATAAAAAAAATGTCAAAACAACGTTGAGAACATACCCAACTTGCAGCAATTAGGGGCCATTGCCCAACGCATTGCTCATTTTCTCATTACTTTTTGCTCATTACTTTAGTTTTTGTTTCCTTTTTTTTGACATTTTTTTTACTAATGTGTTGAGTTTCAGGTTTTAAGCAACATGAATTGTTAAGTGGGCTTGGGTAGGACACGACTCTCAAATAAATAATAGAAAACAAACAAGATAAACCTATTCACATGCCCATACAGACTCCTCTAATTGCGAACGAGTTAGGTTCCATGTCTGTTCGTAAGTCGATTTGTTCAGAAGTCCAACTTTACTCCTGTAGATTCCAAACATGTTGTACGGCATGCACACCACACACAGGGCATGGCTTTAAAAGTTGTGTAATCTCCTGTAAATGTAGGTGCCACTGCTTATTCATGTTCTGCTCATGTAGATGCCACCATCTATTGCACTGCTGTTGAACTTACAACTCTCGGCCCGAACAGGCAACTGGACATATGGACAGGTTTGTTTGTAAGTCAAATGTTCGGAAGTAGAGGAGTCTTTGTATTAATGAATATTTTACAATACTAATTTCTGTATTTTTGTATTACAGTTACCCGAAATTCAGTCTAGATGACAATTATTGCCGTAATCCAAATGGCCGCTCCAGGCCTTGGTGTTTTACAACGGACAAAGACGTCGAATGGGAATACTGCGACATCAAGAAGTGTGAAGGTGAGCATTCGCAAGGTGAACCAGGCACTCCTTTACGAATTTGCTGAATGGTCAAAGTAACCAATGAACTCTGTTCCAACGCAGTTCAACCGCAAGTGAGACCATCCCGGGCGAGTGGCCGGCATTGCTTGGAAGGAAAAGGGGAAAATTACCGCGGCCCTGTGAACAAAACAGCCACCGACATTGTGTGCCAGAGATGGGACAGCCAGACGCCCCAAAGTCATAAATACCTGCCTTCAGACTACAAGTGCAAGTATGTAATCACCATGAGTGTACACACTCATATCATTCAATAACACATCAGATGTAAATGTTCACCATACATAGTGAGTGCTTCTAGATTTGAAGCTTTCGTGACTGCAATGATTCATATTCTTAGGTTTTTTTTTACCGAAAAAACCTAAGAATATAGTGAATGCTCTTTACGGGTTAATGCCATGTGATCTCATAAATTTGAGCTTGGAATTGTCAAACAAATTGACTTTGGCCATGTGGGGGGGGGGGGGGGGGTGGTGTTTAGTGTGTGATGGACACTTTTTAATGATGCAATCCTTCGACCATTTAAAAAAATTGTGAAGTTACAAAGACAACAGTGGATGCTGCCACAGTGCAATGGTTAGCATACTGGACTTGCAATCTGGATATCACCGGTTCATTCAATCTTCCAGCCCGGCAGTTGAAACAAGGGGGCAGGATTATTAAAGCCCCCCCCCCCCCCCCACTGCCGCTGTTCACCCAGCAGTATAAATGGGGTGCACCACGGTTAATCGATCGGCAGGCCACGTGTGGTGGGGTGAAGTATGGGTAACTCTCACCTCTTTCAAAGTATTGGGTCGGCGTAGAAGAGTGGAACAAATATCCCCCAGAGGCTCCCTCTAGTCGAGGCCCTTCCACCATCAGTGGCGTGAGCAATGAGTTTCAGGGCTGCATCTTGAGCTTCTCCAGGATACATTTCAGATTGTGATTTTGATATATGTTAACAAAGCAAATAGACTAAGTAGGTTTCTAGGCCATCGATGAATAAACGTATCTTATCCAAATTAACATCAATTTATATATACCTACTATAATCAACCAGGAATGTCCTTAACGCGCGTGACGTCACTCCACATCGAACAGCCCCCCTCATTAATAATCAGTATAAGGTAACGTCCTCGAAATGGACACCCCCCCATTCATAATAATTATCTGGCTGAGGTCACTCCACATGGGGGGCTGAGGCGCCTCCTCCCCCCTCCTCGACGTCAACTCACAACCCTCACTACAATGGCAAAACCCTCACGTCACGCGATCTCCGTAACGCTGTTGAGACATCGAAGTAAAAAGGACGTCATGATGAACAAGGGATTTTAACCTTAAAATGAAATAAGTCTATGTCACCGCGCCCTTACAAATTGCACTTGAATGGATGCAATGAATATCACATCGCGGTTTGCTTTTCGCTTGCAAGTTTCAGATTTACTGCAATACACCCGTCCTTGGATGGACAAAAGGATAGTATATTAAAAATATATATGAACACACAAGAGCATCCGTTTGTCTCAAAATATGGCACAAATGCAGGGGTAGTGCTCTGCATTAATCAGCCTCCGTGCAAACCCCAAACACTTTTTAACTTTCTCGTGCAGAGACCTTTCGGACAACTACTGCAGAAACCCCGATGGAGCTGAGGCTCCATGGTGCCTCACCGTAAAACCAGAGGTGCACAAATCCTACTGCTTCCAGATCGCAAGATGTCCCGAGGGCAATGCAAATGACAAAGAAGGTATGGGACCGTCACAATCACACACACTCCTGGAATTTTTGCTTTTAACGCAGATGACTGGTGTTGCGGCCAAATTATAGGGGCGCCGTGCCATTTTTTTTTTGAAGGGCGAATGCAAATGTCACATTTCGTCGAAAAATGCCCATTTTTGTCCAATATTTTAATAGCCACTTTAATGACACATTCTAGAGTAAAACATAGAGTGTGAAATAAAGTAGTGGGTAGACAAGCCCCGAGCATGTGCCTGACGTGAAGCATTTATATGTGACAGGCTGGATAATAAGTCATCTTTCTGTCAGAGCTATCCCACGTGTGATAATTGAGGTAGGGGAAGTCGAAGAAGTGTCAGTGTGTTGAGATAACAATTAAAATGTTAGCATTTACTGTAATAACCATTTTTTTTAAAGAAGTTTATAGTTGAACATTCGTCGGGTATCTATACAGTAATAGTAAGTAAAACCAAATTCAGATTTATCTTCAATGCAAACAAGCATATATAACGTTCAGAGTGATGCTGGTAAAAGTCACTAAATAAACTCTCTGATGGGCCAAACCAGGTTAAGCAAACGTGCCGATTATACTGTATCGTGGGAACATAGACATCCCGGCGAGTGAACAAGAGTAATGTGTTTTATTATGCAATTGACACCCAGACTTAACATCCATTTGTCTTGAAAGTTATGCACGAGAATAAATACCAATTTGCCATTTGATTCCCAACGCAGCTTGCTACGACGGAATTGGTGAGGACTACAGAGGAAGAGTTTCCACAACCCGCCTTGGTATTCAATGCCAGCGCTGGGATTCAAAATCTCCACATAAACCAATGTAAGCAGCTTACCATAATTTAACAGTGCAAATGGCTCTCTGGTATCTTTTCCAGTTGTAAAACGTGTTGTTTTGCTCCATGTCCGACATCTCGCTCTAATATACTGGGGTTTTCAGTTACTGAAGAATCAGGATCAAAATCAGAATCTTTATTTATAGTGGAAGAATCCGATGTGCTTTATAGCTCTTTTTCACAGATGTCCAGTAAGGGCAGGTCAGAAAGTTACAACAATAATAAACAATACAAAAACATGACAGGTGTGCAAAGTATAGGAAAGGTAAGTACATCACAAAAAACAATGTTTTATTTTACTAGGTAAAGCCTACTGAGCTATTATCTTATTTTTCAGAAGAAGCTCCCAACAAATGGAGAGGACGATTGGACATCTTGCTGATCAACATATGCTGGACAACACACACACTACAATCAGAAAACAGATCAGAGAGCCATTCAGGACAGCTGCAAAAAACCTAAAGGATTAAACTAAATGCACAACTAATCAACAAACCCGACAAATATACAGTCATAAACTACCTTTTCAATTTGTTTAACGTTCAAGTATTATGTGCATGCATGGTGAAACCACTTGTTAGTGTGTAATTCTAGATATAATTTGCAAAGTTTGTTCAGGATTTGTGAGTTGAAAATGGCTCTGGATTTTCAGGAAATACAGAGATGTTATCTCGAAGTGCACGTTTGTTGGAAGAATGAGCAGCAGCGTAATTCCCATCTAAAAGTGCCACGGACAGACAGTAAATTTCCGTCATCAGGTGGGACCGTCACAGCCGACTTAACCGAAAAAAACCTAAGAATATGAATCTTTGCAGTCACGAAAGCTTCAAATCTAGAATTAGACAGTACATTTCTCAAGGTTCCAGAAGATGGCACCCTATTGCCTGTACTGTATTACAGTTTGCCATTACAAACACGATACACAAATACATAGGGTGAAATGAGCTATCATCATCTCCACCACCAACACCACCACCATCATCATCAGCCATTATCTATCCACTGCTGGATAAAGATCTGCCAAATCATTGCCATCACTTGTGGGTTCCTGATGTAATAGTCCATCTCGCACCTGCGGATGAGCTGATATCTCCACTCTATCTGTGGTGGTCTCCCTCTTGAGTGTGATCTCGAAACGATTTTTTTTTTGTGAACTGTCCACAGTATAGATGTGAAGAATTACCCCAAAGCAGGGCTGGAAAGGAATTACTGCCGAAACCCGGACAATGATCGCCATGGTCCCTGGTGCTACACCACCGACCCGGAGCAAGAGTGGGACTACTGTGGCCTTAAACCATGTGGCAAGACACTTTAAAACATTACATGACTTTGAAACCCCCCCGCCCACCTCCTACGCATTGTCCATAAATATGCTAAATTCCTCTTGATATGCAAATTTTGTTGGTGTTTCATTCTTCACCTGAGGACGGCTGCCAGCGTTGTAGCCGAAACGTCGTGAGAATTATTTTATTATGTTTTATTTTTATTATTTTATTCTACGTGACTTTACCAAAAGAACCAAGAAGATGAATTACATTGCTCTTTCATTATAATCTACAGCATGTTTATCAATCCACTGCCGGATGATGGGATGCCTTCCCACACCACGTCAGCCGTCGGGTTTCTTTTACCATACTTGCCCACAGGCTCGTCAGTACAGATTAGAGAGCAGCAGGGCCCAGCTCTGGTTCACATGCCACTCAACACTAAAGTTAACCATGGCTGCGAGTAAATTTTAAGTCACCAGGTTCATAGTGCAGTGCACGAGCCACTGCACCATTGCTGTTCTCTACACGTATTTATTCTGTTATCACGGTTTGGCGATGTATTTAAACGTTGCGGTATTTTTTCCCCTCAATTGTGTTCAAATTCTGCTTTCACCATCATGTTGCGAGGTGAAGTATCAATTCAGAACTATCGCAGAGTGGTGCATGCATACGCTGTGTGCTGAACAGTCCGAGAATGGACCACAGAAGCATGCTAAACATAATTACTCTTCATCAACAACCAGACGGCTCAGCGGTAGAGCGAGCGGCTCTCACAGAAGTTCACAAGTTCAAATCCTAGTTGGGGGTTGACTATGACCATGATCCCTCCAAGGTCAATATAATGAGTACTACTTTTTGGGGGAAAAAACAGTAGTTTTCCTATGGATATTTGCCCCCGATATAGGAATGGGGAATTTCCACCACTCACTCAAGGCTGTAAACAGGAGATGAGCACTGCCACAATGATCACCTTAGCAGGAAATCACTTTTGACTTTGATCGTCTTTCCAAAATCCCTTTCGGCGCTCTTTTTTTAGCCACACACTCGGGGGTGTATTTTTCCAACAGGGATAATGTCTCTTGCATGGCAATCATTTTGCACACATAGCTGGAACGTGCCCAACTGAACTCCAATACACGTTATCCTCGCCCGTTCCTCAATCAAATGCCAAATTTACTAATAATTATCAATCAGCATCTCTTTGCATTTAAGTCACCCGTTGTGATATTGTCGTGTGTTGCCCTCAATTATAAGTTGGATGAAGCTCTTCACATATTTGGGCTACACACATTATTTCCTCATGGTTAAACAAATGATTTAATAATTCGGCATTGACAGTGGTGCACAGGCACAATTATCGAGAAGGCCCATTTCCTGACACATCATCGATCATATTTTAAGGTCACAGTGTTATTGACAAATTAATTGAGTTTTTTTGTCTACATCTTCATGGCTTGACATTGGAGCGTAACTTACATTTAGCTTGCAGTGATTTGAAACACCTCAATTTTAGCTGGGCAATAGCCTGTGATGTACTCTTGACTCTTATAACTGTATGATTCCCAGAGAAACCTCCATAATTACAGCCACATTTCCTCCTGTGATAGAAAATATTGCCGTTGCTTAAATGTATTGGAGTTCTCTCATTTTTCTCCTCGCCGAGCTGAGTTCAGCCATGTCCCATTTTATTTCACTTCTTCACTCTGTCTCCTTGTCGACAAAGTTTGATTGACCAGACAACGGTTGTGTTGTTCCGTTCCCCTGTTGGCTACGGCCCCCTCCCTCCCGCCACCAACCGGTGCACATTATGGTGAAGTATGGTCTAACGGCCACATGACCGACGAACTAAAACAATGTCCACCAATCCCCAGCAACTCTGGATCCACAGTCATGGCATCAGCGAGAGCTAATGGTCACTGGGTACAAACAGGACCACACAACTTGTAGGCTGCGTGTAACTATTCAAATCCTCTTTATATACATGCTACATTATATATATTAAGATTACTATATTTTAAATTGTGCAAAAATTACGTCACAAATTAGCTCCACATTAATATTGATGTTTTCATTAATATGCACTGCATAGCCTGGTATTCAAGTAATGTAATTATGTTGCATTTTCTTTTAGCTGGATCTCCAATTCCTGGACCAACACTGGGTGGTAAGCCAATTTTTTCCCAACACTAAATGCCAAGTAAGCCTTTTGTTGAATGTGAATACAAACAATCGCATGGGAGTGCATTCATTTAACTGTGCCCTTCCTGCTTCCCCACTCAAGAAGGCACCGCTGATTGCAACATCTGTGGTACGAAGGGACAAAAATTTGGTCGCATCATCGGAGGGGAACCAGGAGACTCCCCGTGGACTGTGAGCCTGCGTGATGGGTAATGAGACTCAAGTGCTTCATTAGGTTATACAAGCCGCGCAATCACTCGCCTTGAGCCATTGGCCCAAAATGGCATATTCGTGCCACCCAGGGTGCCACATTCTAATAATGGCTTCTTGAAGCATTTTATCTCTTGATCATGAATATATATGACATGGGAGACTACTCAGGTAATTTTTTGTTACGAGAAAGAAGTCTTTAATGGGGAGTATGTTTGACAAAGTACCGATTCAGAAAAAAAGATGAAATATCTACCGAATATGCATATGCATAGGATGTGTGACAATGAAACAGACGATATATATGCTAAGTGCGTTGCCCACGGTGGATGCCGCTCTGGTGGGTACTGGTACCATGTGCCACCCCAAGCGGGACCAACCAACTCCCTTGGCTCAAGTTCAAGTTCATTTATTAGGTAGAGAGCCCTGTGAGCCATTCGGTTCTTGAATCGGGTGCAACCGCAACAAACAAAAAACAAAAACATGAACAAAAAAACATCTTAAAGTGAATATGTGACTAAGTGCAAACAGAAAATCCAAGAAAAGACAGCAAAATATTGCAGAAAAAAAACCGTACACCAACGCTGTGTGCAAAAATCCCAGTGCGATGCAAGTCAAACAACAACAACAACAACCACAAGACAACTTAGATTAAGGCCATCAGTCTAACTCTGTACTACAACAAACAAACATGGCTAAACCAATACACTTTTCGAAATCACCAAAATAAAGCCATGAAAGCGATGAAAAAGCAATCATAGGAACTTGGACGGAATTTTCACAATAAATGGCATAAACATGTACTACCAAAACCTTGCAGCCATAGCTGGCTGCATGAGGCACTCCACAACAGCAGGAGCATCAATAGGCTACATGGGTAGCACCACCGTTTTGTCATTGTTTGGGGAGCTGACATTGTGATGGGAAGTGCGGACACAAGGGTGATGACGCACAGATGTTAGGTAGGGATGAAGCAATGTCTTGTGTGTGGGGTCCTGTAACTCAACTAAACTGTTGAAAACATATTTTTGCCAGGTAATGCCCACTGAGCTATATAGCTCTTTTTGAAAGTGACCTGGCCACAAATGATTGCTCAACAAAGTGTCTTATCATGTGGAAATGTAGAGCGGCCAAATACTCTAAACGCATGTTTCTAAACCGAGGGGTAGCACACAAGGCAGCTTTGGCTAACATGTGAACCAAGTGGGTTATCTTGTCTCAAATTTAGTAGTTCTACCACCTCCCTCAGCTCAAGTGTCTCTCCACGAGGGGACTATTTAAACATTTTGATGCTAGATACATTAAAATTAAACCAATTGACTCCTACCCTCCATCAAATGGAATACAGGTAGTCCCCGACTTACGACGGTCCGACTTACGATATTTCGATTTTACGATGGCGATAGCGATATGACAAAATTGTAAAATATTTTACATTTCGCGCGGCAGGCAAATGTAGCAGCGTACGAGGTACGATACTGTACGTTGGGACGCTGCCGGGATGTTCTGTACGCATATAGTTTATACAGTACGGTACTGTAAATTGCTCTGTTTTGCTAAATTATCACCATTCTTTAAGACTCCTGGGTAGGCGAGGCCATTTTCGATTACGATATTTTCGACTTACGATGGGGTCGTGGTAACTCATCTCCATCGTAAGTCGGGGACTACCTGTAATTAGTTGGGGGCTAATGTCTATTGTTTACCACCCGGCCCCCCAGAATCTGCTCAAGTGGTTGGTGTGTAGCCGTCTCATGTACACAGTAGAAATATTTACACTGCAATGCTTTGTTTTTTAGGTGCGCATTTGAACGAAATACTGTCATGCATTATTTTTTGAGAAAATTTTGAGAAAAACATTTAATTGCTTAAACGATACCTAAATTGCTCTACAACAGCCTGTGTGCACAAATTGTATTTTTTTTCTATGCTAACCATGCAAGGCATTTTAGACTTAAGTTGTTATTATTGCTGTCTATGGCTGTGACAAACTGAGGACACCATTTCATGGAGTGCCAATACTTTCATTCTGTTTGACTCTTAGGAAAGAGAAACACTTCTGTGGTGCTGTTCTTATTGACCGACTCTGGCTGCTCAGCTCACGCCAGTGTTTTCCATCCTGGTAAGAAGCAAATTCACACTCCTGTTTTACTGCATTGACATTTTTACCGATGATGGATGTTTACTGCCAATGCTTTCTTGCACTTTGGTTTCTGGGGAGCAGTAGTATAGCGGATAGCGCGCTGTGCTGCGAACCCAAGTGACCTGAGTTCGATTCCCGCTCACGGCCAACACCGGTTACGATTCTCTGAACTGGTCCTGGGCATCCACTAGGTTAACTCAGCCTCAAATGAGTAGCTGGTATGATCGTAAACATTGCCACTAAGGAGACAAAGGTAGCCGGGCGTGGTGTTGGCCACCCCACCCTCTTGCGTGCCGTACCGGCCTTCATCGTTGCTACTCGCCAATAGTACTAACCCCAACAGTTTGTTAAGGCTATACGGGGGATCTTTATCTTTGTATGTGTTATGGCAATACCACTGCACAATATTCAACACCAAATGCACACTGTCGTCAGCAATGTAGATGCCAGCCAATATCAAGCCTGGATTGGAATAAAGAAGGAAGACCAAGTTCCTGATAATTTGAGTTCCCAATCAATCGCCATTTCCAAACTCGTTTGTGGCCCAGCAAATGCAAAAATTGTCATGCTGAAACTGGAAAGGTATTTATTTTGTCTATATGCACAATGTATTTTTTTTACCATGACACATTAACTGTACATGGACACTTTGTTATCGTGTATTATTCGTACTGAATTTTACTATGTTGCAAACTTTTATAGTATTTCACGATGAATAAGATGAAGCAATGTTGCAATGTTTCCCGATTGTTATATTTGTCTAAACATCTGCCTTGTTTTCTGAACCCTTTTAGAGCAGCTTTTATCGATAAAGATGTGAAACTGATCTGCATGCCAGTTCAAGGAGCCATAGTTCCTGCAGGCACTTCATGTGAAATCTCTGGCTTTGGAGAAACACATCGTAAGATCTATATTATTTTTACAACGTCATTCACGTTCTTTTGTCTCTTTTTTAATCGTCGTGTTCAATATGATGCCATATAAATGTAGGTTACATTAAAACACAGTTGTCAAAAGTACATTTTTATTTCAGAGCTTGGAATATTTGAAAATGTGGAATCGTGATGGAAGCACTCTCCTTGGGATGGCTACTCATGCATTTATTTCAGTTAACCACATTTTCTTATTGCCTATCTTTTGTCTGTCCTTATTCCTATAAATGTAAAGCCTCACCATTTTGTCCTTATTCTATCAGAATCTACTATATTCCTGTCTTCAAATATTATTTTACCTCAGACTACTTTATAAAAGCTGCATATCATTTTCATGTGTTCTTGTTTGATGTGTGACATTTGTTGTCAGAATGCTGAGCTCGTTCTGCAGCGGTTCTCATTTCTAATCCACACAGCCATTATTTTTTTAGGGGTTCTCAACTGCGGTAAATTTACGACCTCAATTCAGTCACCAAAGACTGCACAAAAATATTTTCAAATTAGCTTTGCACGTAATGTATTTGGTTAAATTTCAACTCCGTGCATGACTATTGGCTTCAACGGCAACAGCAGTCACCAATTGCAAATAAGTAGCGGCAAAGTCACCACGGCAATTGCGCCAAGCTAGGTGCACTTTGAGGCCATGTGAAGTCTTCTTGGTTCTTTCGGTAAAGTCACGTGACTTTACCGAAAGAACCAAGAAGATGAATCCCTGCAGTCACGAAAGCTTTAAATCGCCATGTGAAGTGTCGAAGGCTCACTGGCAGGAGGTCACGGGACAGATACGGCTGCCTGACTGACTGAGATGACTGGCACCACCTGTGCCCCCCCTACTGTGGCAATGTTGACTTCGACTGTCACATGACAAACAATCTTCCAGCGAACTATGTTGTAAAGTGCCCCCCCACTACTGTGTGAAGGATGAAAAGGCCACTTGAAAGATGTTTCAGGAAATGCGCTGTCAAAAATCTTTCCCACAGCCATTCTCCATCACACGAGGCACACTGTGCAAGATTTCCAAAAGTATACTCTTTGGTCCTTTCGGTGAAGTCACGTGGGTAGAAAAATTAAACAAAATAAAAAATAATAATAAATCACAAGAATGTTATGCCTCGTGGCCCTAACACCGACAATCCAAGTAAAAAAAAAAACATTTGTAAAAATATTTAGAATCATACTGAGCAATTAAAATGTTTTAAACACCTACAACTCATCAGACATGTACACAATAACCAATGGCCCAAAAAAACCATAGAATTGTCATTAAAGTGGTATTATCTAATTCAATGCAAAAAAAGTGCAGTGATGCTCTGATTTACGTCTCCCCCTTCTACGTCGCTACTTTACTATTCATACCACTACCTGATTTGAGTTGCCTTAACCCACACTTACGTCATCCATCCTTTCTTGAATGCGTCGCCTCGGCCTTCGCCTCCACCCCTGTACACGAAACACTTTTCATCACCCGTAAAGAAATGTACTGTACTCTATATTAAATTATATTGTACTGCACAATATATTATTTGTGTACAGTATCCTGGTGATGTTTTTATAGTGTACTGTATCTTATTGTACCCTGTGTCATTTGTATTAAAGTTTACTGATGTACACTTGTGTAGAGTATATTTTTTTAATGTCCTGTAACGTCATTGTTTAGGCCTTGTGGCGTGCATTCTAAAATCGCTGTGATTTACGTTGTTTCGATATCCGTCGCACTTTCAGGAATGCATTCCAGAAATGAAGCGGGAGACATATATATAATAACAAAATGGTTCTCCTGTCTCTTCCGATTTCAGGTTTGGAACAGAACGGTGCTCTGAACATCGCATCCATTCAAGTTGTTGCCGGGGACACGTGTGGCGTGCACCACAAGCGGCAGATTGAAGACACCGAGATTTGTGCCGGGAATACAGAGGGAAAGATCGACAGCTGCGAGGTACGGGCATGCTCACCCTACAAATGTGTCGTTGCCAGTGACCAAATGTTGATCCAGAAAGAGACACTGTCATCAACATCATTGATCTTTTTATTTACTGTTAAAATGTTGCGTAGGTTTTTGGATTTGGACTGCATAGCTCTCTCATGGTGTCGGGGATGCGGTGTCATTCTTTCGATCTGGTTTAGATTCCCGGACAGGGCATGCGTATTTGGACATCATGCCAAAGAAACATGTGGCACAACCCGAAAGTACACATCATGCCAGCTATAAGGCGTAAACTATTGACACCAAAATTGACTCTTTTGAGTGATAATTCACATATGAGCTCTTGTGTAAGAGGACGCATTTGAGTTTTGATGGAAAACACAGGGTGACCATAAAAGCATTATCCAAAATTGATTAAATGTGAACGGCAGTTTGAACTGCGTGGTTGAACGTTACGTCAAATAAAAACTAAAAACTCGAGTGACCTTCAGCATATGATCAAAGCATTAGAAATATTCACACCCGCGATGTTGGTGAACACCTGGGGCTTTCCCTAACCACGACATGACGTGTGTCACCAACGCCATAGTGAACACGCAGAAATTACCGGGCATCTGTGAAAAAGAGCTTTATAGCTCATCAGATTCCTCCGGTGTTAATAAAGAGTCTGAGATTTGGAGGGATGCTTTAATAAGGGATGATTATTTGTGGATACTGAAAAAAAAAAAACCTGGTAAAGCTGCTCCCACTGTGTCGAAACATTTCTGTCACCGAGAGGAAAACAAATGCGTGCATGTCACCTGTCCATATATGTAACTTGTAAGTTGCTGACGACTGGACATCTATGATAGAGAGCTTTACACGCGCATTGGGTTCCTCCAGTCTAAATAAAGATTCTGATATGTTGTATAATTCTAGAAATTAGATGGTTCAATAATATTAACACCTCTGCACAAGTGGTGAAAAGTTTCATTTTAATCAAAATCTCAACCAATGACTATAACATGTAATGTTTCACACAACGTGGATATCTCATTTGCACTAGGTTTAAGATTTCAAAAGTGTCATTAACAATCACTTACAAGTGTTACATCCATCAATGTAAGAAAGAAGCACCTATTAATGACACATCCTGTACTTCAACTTACATTGGATTTACATGAATAGTCTTTGAACAAATTACAACTTTAATATTTCACCCACTTGGTCTACTGCTGGAATTTAGCACATTTTCCAATTGTTGCAGAGGTTCATGGTTTGAGCCCAAAGGTTTCCCTGGTTAATAATGCGGGCGCATTAACCAAACTATGCACGTCACCTGCTCCACATTGGCCTGCTCCACATTCTAGATTTGAAGCTTTCGTGACTGCAATGATTCATATTCTTAGGTTTTTTCGGTAAAGTCACGTAGGTAAAAAATTAAAATTACTAAAAGTAAAATAAAAAATAAAATAAAAATCACGACGTTTCGGAGGCAACACAAGCTTCCGTCTTCAGGTGGAACCGTCACAGCACGACAGCTATCGTAACATTGCCCACGTCGTTTATGTTATTCTAAGAAGAGTATGCCATATGTGCCTACATCACACTCCAAGTAAAAACACATTACTTGCAAATTACTTAATTAGGTAAAACCATATAGCAACATTGGCACCCTACTGGCAGACTTTGTGAGTCTGTGAAACATACCACCTTCACCAATACCCTTGAGCCATAAGAATGGCAAGAATACCCAATGTACTATATTATAATAGTATTCCTAATGAATGGATGTGAAATTGTATTTATTTATTTCGCACACAGAGAGACTATGGTGGCCCTTTGGCATGTAAGGAAGAGTCCTGCTATGTGCTGCAGGGCATCATCACACCAGGACGCAGCTGTGCAAAGCTCAAACGGCCAGGTGTTTTTGTGCGTGTGGCGGCATACACTGACTGGATTAATAAAGTCATTGGGCAGAGAAACCCCGTTTAGCCTCCAAGCAGAATTGCCAGCTATTAAGGGATACAATTAGGGGGTTGGAATAATCTAACCTTTTTTCTTTTTAGTTCAACTCGCATAATGGGAATTGCAAACTGCTGTCCATGGAAAAGTGAAGTGGCGATTAATTTGAATGTGGTGGCAATGGGAATACAATTGATGAAATCACATGATTAAATTATGACAGAGAGGGTCATTAATTGTCATGATGTAATTTTCACAAGTGTGCATTTTGTGAAAATAGGATGTTCATATATGATATACCTAGAGACATTAACCCTATAGTCTGAGTACTACATACCTATACCAAATACAGTTTTACAAACTTAAGCATAATTTTGAACTATGGGGTTAAAAAATTAAAAATTTTCATCAATCGCTATATTTAAGTAAATTGATTTTGAATTAGTTGCATGTTTTTCTGTAATCTTTATGAAGTGGATCACTTTTTTTTTATTTTAGCAGTGTTTATTTGGTCAATACTGTATACTAAGTAAATTTACATTTCACAAGTGTGCTGTTGGTGTATGCACATTTTGTTGCAAAGAGAATCATGTAATTGATTGATAACATTTCCTACATTTAAATTGATTCATCATAATATAACGACATTATTGATTGAAATTGATCATGGTATTCGAGGTAAACATTCAATTTGCAAACACATTAAATGTGTGCTTTGTATGAACTATCGATGTGTGGAAGATTATTGCTTACAATGTTACCCCACACATTTAAAATCACAGTAAAGTGCATCCGTGGTAGAAACCTAATGTACCCTGCCCTTTCCGAATGTTTTTTGTAAGTTACAAGCTGTATTAAATGCCTTTCTGATGTATGAACGCATGCCAATACTGTTGTAACAATAGTGAAAACATCCATCATTGCGTTTTACACATATATACGAATTTTTATGTCTGGCATCTTAATCTCGTTCACTTTAGGGAATTATCAAGTTATTGTTTTCAGTGAACCAATACGCTAAATAACACGTTAATTAAACATATCAACTTCTTGGTTCTTTCGGTAAAGTCACGTAGAAGGGAAGTAATAAAATAATAAAAATAAAACATAATAAAACGTCGTGAGAATTGTTTTATTATGTTTTATTTTTATTATTTTATTACTTCCCTTCTACGTGACTTTACCGAAAGAACCAAGAAGATGAATCACTGCAGTCACGAAAGCTTTAAATCGAAATTTAAACATATCAAGATTAAAGTCCAGCTCTGCAAAAAGTCGCTCAACACTACTGGCAAATCGCCTCCACTAGAGGGAGCCCGAGACAGCCATCCTCACCACGACCCACGCTTTACCTCGCCACTACCCACGCTTTATGTAAAACTAAACAATTTTTGATAATAGGTTTTTCCCCTTTTTGTCTGGCAACAAAACACCAAACTTAAACCTTTTACACTTGTGGTGAGAACGCAAAAAAAACATACTCCGATAATATATGCATTGTCCTTGAAACTGATTGGCGTCCTCTGGTCTAACACCGTTTGAGACGAGGCTCGAAAGAAAGCTGTCTCTGGTGTGGACCAATCAGTTTCAAGGACAATGCATATTTTATCATAGTATGTTTTTTTGTTGTTTTCATTCTGACCACAAGTGTTGTGGTTAATGCAGACATGATTCCTTGTAAAAGGTTTCAGTTTGGTGTTTTAACATCTTAACACCTGTTTTGTTGCCAGAAAAAAAGGGGAAAAACCTATTATCGGGTTTATAATTTGACACTGAAAAAAAGAGATTGACGTTTTACCTGACTGGTAGGTTGTAGGTGGTGGAGTAAAATGTGTATTCCCATTTCTTCTATACATCAGGTCAATGTTGAAGAGTAGACCAAACACCTTCTAGAGCTAGTGGAGGTTCTTCCATGTGCAAACATTTTTTTTAATTATGACAAAAAACGCAGCTATGCAAGCATGTAATTCAATAAATACAAGGCACTGCGATTATACAACTCAATGATGATTAGGCACAACAAAGATTAAAATCCATATGTTATCCATCTATGAATGTGATCACTTTTTTTCCAGTTAAACGTTAAAGCCAGCGCCGTTCTCCAGTTGCAGAGTTGAAAACGTATTCTCTTCCTGAAGCTGTGGAAATAAACAAGGAAAAATATCGTCTGAGAAAATAACCAAACGCCTTTAGCTATTGTGGGAAATCACAGACGCATTCCCGTTTTATTCGAAAGCACGCGTGAATTAAAAATTAAAACATAAAATAAGGCTGGCAAATATTGATGCATAATCAAATATTCTCTTTCCAGTATTCTGTAAAATGTTGACATTAATTTTGATACAAAGTTGATCACTGTGCTTATCAATCAATAGGTCACCAATATCGCGGTGTTGCTTATAAAGAATTTTAAGATATAAGACACGTCTTACTTGGATCTTCTGCTCTGCCATCAAACTGCAAAAAAATGAGAACAAGAAAAATGTCAGTGTTCAGTGGTTTCAAGATGTAATAATCACAGCATACAATATAAAAACATGCCAAACAGCAAGGTAAACAATTTCAACAGACTGCATATATCCTCACATTAATGTTGCCATATAAATGTTTGTATCCTACCCCGTATGAAGGTGGAGGCGTTTCTCTTGTTCTTTCAGAGTTGATTGGATCTTTTTGTGTTTTACGAGGTGGATCTTCTGGTTTGTTGTTAAGTTCTTCCATCCTTGATCAATCAGAAAAACACACAAACACACGAGTGACAAACATGTTGATGCAACATTGGTTCATTAATATCATGTGAACATTTAAACATTCATAGCCAAGCCATTTACAAAAGAAGCATACGCTGCTAAAAATAGTAAAAAAAAAATCACCAAATTACCGACAATGAAACGTTTACATTTCATAGATGTCTAGGAGGTGCCCTCATTTAAAATGTCTAGCTCACAATAGGTAGCCACTATTAAGCAAAGAAGCAACAATTATAAGCTAAGGTAGCTGTTTCTTAGTCAGTTTTACATATATACGGTACTCTAAATAAAAAAAAAATGCGTTGATACTTCTGAACATGTAATCCCAAAAGTGGAATGTTCAAGCTTAGCTACTAATTAAATAGCATTTCTTCCTTGCATAGTGACCATCATTCAACACGTATCGTATGCCACAGTGATACAGTGCGTGTTATCTTTGACAACAATAGGTTAAATACACAGTGCAGGCTCTACGCATGGTGAGTGTGGTCTGTGCATGCAACTCAATCCCAAAGGCAAGCTCTGACTTGTTAGCCTCCAGTAGGGGTTTCTCATCCACGGGTTGAGAGGGCTTGCAGCACTTCCAACAGCAGGGCATGCTGGGAGACAAACGCATCACGTGGCGATTTGCAAAGATATATACAACAAAAACACAACCATACACAAGGGTAAAAAAATTAACCCGTAAAAACAAAGTTTTTCACTATAAATCCTTTATATGCGTGGCGGCTAGAGTCCTCTCGTCCTCTGGCTTGAGATGGCTGCCACCTATGGGTCAGATGATTGTCTGCCAGCATTAAGCAATTGGTAATTAAATATTTATTTATTTTTCCCTAAACAGTGTAAAATTTAGGAAAAAAAAATTCACGAAAATTAATTGTCACGCACAACGCGTCTGTGTGGAAAATGTCAGCTCGATTGGATCACGGGAAGTGGGTTAAAAAACGACCGAAAGATTTGCACGGTCGTAAGCAAACAAGCGAACTTAATATAAAGGATTTAAAAACGGTGGAGCCCTCCCAATGTCTTGCTCCCACCACCCACCACTCCTGGTGGAAGGGACCTCCAATGGGGGGCGTTTCAAAGAACCCCTCTACGGAATGTGTTGTTTTTCCCTACCCGATTACGCCGATCAAATGTCTTGGAAGAGATGGGAGCACCCACACTTTAACCCACCACACACGAGCTACCGATTGGTTGTTGCCTACTCACTTCTTGGGTGGACAGAGGCGCGGGGAAATGTAAAAGAACCTTGCACAATTGATTCGACTGTCACGCCAGGAGATTAAGCAGGTGACCTCTGGATTGCAAGTCCAGTGTGCTAACCATTACACTACGGCAGAATAATCAAAGGTTTTCAGAGTAATAATGTATCTGTGCGTACAAAAAAAAACTCACGATGGACAAAATATATTTTATAAAAATTCTAAAATAAACTTGCTTTAGTCGGTGTTACATTAAAGCAAATCTCAACGTAATAAATAATGGAATAGGTACAGTACAGGGTGTTCCAGATATATTGTGAATCACCATTTAATGATCTAAAACGCAATATTGTTTAAGTAAGGTTTACTTAAAGCAGGAATGAATATCCAAAGGAAGAAATGTATTAGGGGGCAATGAATTGTGGGTCACAAGACATCTGGACCACGCTGTACATTAGACAGACGGGATGAGGTGACAATGAAAATTATAGACAATCTTGTGAGTCTGCGCCTACTTTTCATTTCACGTTTTTAAGGTTTTATTCTCGCATTTGTCTTGGGGGGGGGGAGGTGGGGGGAAATGCTTCATTTATTGGTCAGACATTCTCATCTGGCTGTTCCTCTTCAATACCCAAAACACGAATAGCCACGATACAAATCTAAACGCTGATGATGGTTATATTATTGGCGAGGAGCATTGAAATCGGGAACAAGAAACTCCCAACGCTGCGACGAAGCGCCGGCGTGAAGTCACATTATAATTATCATTCCATGACGGGGGGGGGTCATCTCAAGGGTAAGCGCTTCTCACTGCCCAGCGGCGGAAGAAATCCTGGTGGGGGGCAGCACGTGCCCCCCCCACCTCCCACTGATCCACGATCGCGTTGTCAGCAACAACAACAACAACAAAAATCATCTGGAGACGTGCCGACGTTGCCTGCCAGCGTGGGTACGAATTCCCCGTTTAAGTGCAGCATATTTTATTTTTTATGTTTTAATCGGCGAAAACATTCGTGTGAAGTTTTAAACGGGGCATTTTAGAGCCGGAGATATGTGACTGATTTTGTTACTGATTAGGCTATTGCGTTGGCTTGTTGTCTTTAAATTTAGTTAGCAATGTTTCATGTTACAAGCCGTTGATTTACAAAGCTGTGCAATATTAAAACAAACCAGTCTGCCTTCTTTGTCTGTGTTGTTGTCTCTCGAACAGTAATAATTAACAGGTATTTGATGTTACATGTGGACCCTTTTATTGAAATACACCATATTTTATCTATCACGCTTTGCGTTAAAGATATGCGCCGTGTTTGATTTTGACATTGTCGAAATAATTACCAATATCCTGCATAGGAGACAAAGAGTTTTCATACCTTTTCCAACAGTAAAATGAAATCAGAGCGATGGTAAGTAGGAGCAGAAGTCCAGCAATGACCATTACGGCAATAAACCAAGTATCTGGCTTCCAATATGTATCAACTACATTGATGATTTTCGTTGTAAGGACCTGAAAAAAATACAGTATTCACAGAGCAGTTTACGTTGACAGTTTTGTGAGGAAATGTGTTATATTTCTTATCAGTTTCCTCATTGCTCAAAGGTGCTTGAAAACATTGATTTAAATTAATGCAGTGGTGGTCACTCGGGTGATAATTGTGCTGTGAAGATGACAGTGATGACGCTTCTGTCAAACTACGCAACTAAATTGTGGAACGGGGTTACAAGTATACAACTGAAGACCACTTGAAACTGCAGAGCCACAAATGTTAGCTATTGTCTAAACAGTACTTATAATGACGGCTGGGTGGCGCAATGGTAACACACGTGCCTCCAAAGAAGAACCTGGGTTAAATTCCTGAGGCACCTTGCTGTGTGGAATATGTCTTTTATCCCTCGTCTGCATGGTTTCACCGACTTCTCTAGTTTCCTCACATATCTTCGCTAAGAACATACACTTTAATTGGTGTTGGCCAAACTTCACCAATGCATGACCTTCCTGAAAAATTATAATTGCATTAAATGTGCCTTTCCTGGGTAAATACGTTATAATTAAAATAAGGTAATCTACTCTCCATATAAATCCCACTTCTCCATTTCACTGTGCATGTATTAACATCTAATCCTCTCTTCCCTGATTCTGCTCCCCTCTTCCAGCATATCACTTCACATTCTTCTATGCTGACTATCATGAGTGTGTAATACATGCATCTGCTATTGTTTATGCATGCAGTCTGTCACAGTATTGGATCTAATGAGCATAGTAAGACTTGCTCGACCAATACTGCTGGGATGCCAGATGTTATTGGCAAGAGTATTCCATCTACTCGGCGATACCCTATTAAATGAAACAATAACCATTATGAATTCTGGGCCATTATGAGTAAGAACCGACACAAACATTCAAAATTGCTGCAACTGGTCCTTAATTTGCTCATTTAAGCAAGTGCTGCTGAATAATATACATCTGAAAGCCAATAGACAGATGGACTAAACCTATATATTTTAATATGGAGAGACAGATGGCAGTTTATTGATACCAATAATCCTCCACAATTGCAGAATGAGATTTTAAACAGTGGCAGAGCCAGGATTTTCAGGGAGGGGGGGGCAACCCCTCCAGAAATGAAAAATAATGGGAGTTGTTCGTAAGTAAGGACTTGTCCCTTTTTATTCGAACCGTGTGTGATCGGCATCGCGCTCGCTGAAGGTGAATGCCTTCAGGGAAGTCGTGTACTGTATACGCAACTGCACAAAATTCTGAGTCACATAATAACTGCTTTGCCGTTACTTATTGCCAATTATGGACTCAGACTATTGTCCTATCATCTCATAGAGTCCCTGACACATAATAATATGCTACACAGTGGCAGTGGGGGTAGCAAAATGCCGATTTATTACTAATAAACCCCAATGATCCGATCGAAATTATGGATTTCATTGGGGGGGGGGGGCACGTGCCACCCCACCCCTCCACTGGCTCCGCCACTAATTTGAAACAATACAAAAAAAATATAAAAGTACAGCCCTGCAATTCCATGCTCATGCCACTGCTGCCAGAAGGACCTCCACTTAAGGAGCTCTGAAGAGCCTCCCTAGAAGGTATTGGTCGACTTCACGCTGGCCAGACAACTTAGTAGAGGTGGCAGCACCCACACTTTACCCCACCACACACAACCTGCACTAATTGTGAAGTTCTCATTTAAACGTTTAGGTGGACAGAGTCGGGGGTGGAGGGGGGGATATAAGAAACTTGATGCACTGTTTCAACTTCCGCACCAGGAGATCGATCCGGCGACCTCTGGATTGCAAGTTCAGTGCGCTAACCATTGCAAATGTCAAAATCTGAATAGTTATTTATACTGGAAGAATGTGATGAGCTATAAATATATTTTTCAACAGATGTCCGGTAAGGGCAGGTCAGAACGTTACAACAAAAAACAATACAAAAGCCCGATACGCGTGCAAAATATAGGAAAGGTAAATGATAGCTCAATAAAGTGGCTTATCTCGTGGAAATTAATAGCAGCTAAATAATCTGAATAATCCTAATGTGTTTCATGCCAGGTGCCCATGTCCTGTGGCTGTAGTATTTTCACCGTGGCAGGGGTGGGGACGGTTGTGGTCCAGGGCACTACATGGATGAGGATGGTGGCGGTGCTGCTGAGCCTCCTCGTCTTGTCTGCCTTAGTGGCCTCATCTTCAATCAACACCAGCAGCTGGAAGTCTTTGGGGTCAGTGACGCCACCCAGAGTAAAATAACTGAATGTCGAACGAGTCAATATTGCCGGTGGCCATGCATTTGACAGCACAAAGCGGCCGTTTGTGTTACCTGGAATGAGAAAGTACATTTGGTGAAAATAACGTGATATGTTATTCCTGAAAACAAACGTGGGAAATGGGTCCCGAATGCAAATTACATTAATAAAGTACTAATTATAACAAACTTTGATTTCACGAATTGCTAGACAGATGGAAAGTAGATAATGAAATCGAACAAATACTGTAAAGGTAATGTCAAACAAATAACTCAATATATATTTACTTCCTTTATAGCCACATTATAACAAAAAGTCTTGACATTTATGGTATATTCCAATTGTGTAATTGTCTTTATGAGATGAAGCCATTTCGATTCCGAACCCTGCAGCTAACAGGCATCATTGCAGAATGGCCCCAGTTTCAGAATGGCCCCAGAAGATGACATTACAGAACTACTGTTAAAACTAATTTAATTAGCATCTTTGTTCATACGAGGAGGATATATTTTACATATTGTATATGTCCTCCTGCAAATATTGTTCATCGCATGTATATCAAACATACTTTACTTTATTACAGAGCGCATATATTAGCCAAATTAAGTGTAAATTACAAAACTAACTCAACAAATTTGTCAATAACATAAATCGAGAGGCCAGAGAGGTTTAGTGGCCTCTCTATGTGCTATGGGCCTCGGGCGAAAACATCACTTATGATATGCATTTATTTCCAAGGCAGTGTTATTGACAATTGTGTTGAGATTGTTAATTGTTTCTAGATTTGAAGCTTTCGTGACTGCAAGGATTCATATTCATGGGTTTTTTAGGTAAAGTCACGTAGGTAAAAATTAAAATTAATAAAACGTCGTGATTTTTATTTTATTTTACTTTTATTAATTTTAATTTTTACCTCCGTGACTTTACCGAAAAAAACCCAAGATTATTGTTAATTGTGCTTGTGCACCACTGCCAATGCAGTGTCACCAAATATTTCGAACTAAAGTATATGTATCACTGTGACCAGGATGAGACTGTCAACCTACTAAACTTGAGAACCGAATGTAATCGAGGACGGCTGCCCAGATTTAAACCCAGGATCTAAGAGTGCTGGCTCAGTGCTATGACCCCGAAACCACCTGGATACCTCAAACATAAATTTGTATACATAAATTAAAGTCACGTAGAAGGGAAACAATACAATAATAAAAACATATTTTATTGTTTCCCTTCTACGTGACTTTACCGAAAGAACCAAGAATATGAATGCCTGCAGTCACGAACGCTTTAAATCAAAACATAAATTACAGTTTACTACACATTTAAAATTTACTGTTAGACGAAATATTCATGAACTTTTATTTAGAAAATAATCCTGTAAAGTATAACAATAACGTGTGTTTAGTCAATAAAAACACAGGCGCATTGGCTGGTAAAACATATTACTGACATATAACTGTGCGTGCGTTATGCAACACAGAATAACCCAACTGGCAATGGATATCCATTGTAATTTATTTGCATTCATTAATCCCCCCCCCCCCCTTCGCACGTGAAGGGCTCACAAGTGACGTCATCACATCTATCCCTCTATTTAAGGAACCAAACAGGAGGATTTCTCCACAAATCTGGCTGTCGCCTGATGAAGCTAGTTGTAATTACTGGCGAAACGTCGTACTCAGATTGTAAATGTTGTGGATTTGCTCTCCAACAAACCGGTGTGCTGTACCAGTCACGAATTGGCCACGTTCTGTTTACGTGACAAACCTTACTAATTGTCTGTGTCAGGTGGTGGTGGGTTTAATGACACATTTATATTTACGCGATCTAACCCAAAAAAAACTATATTATTACAGATGAAACCACTCACCTCCTATGATTGTGTATGTAAGGTCAAGTGCTGATGAGTCCAAGTCACTGCATTGCATCTGTACGACCGACTGCAAGGCAGCCAGTGTGGAGTAGATGGTTTGCTCATAGAATGCAGGTGTGCACACCGGTGGTTCATCATTTACATTCTAGAAGGGAAGATAAACAGCATAGGTAGAACACAAGTGGGGCACGCTGATGTGCTGTTATACATATGCAATATACGAGTGTAATGTCAGGATTATAAGATGCGCTTTGCTTTTCGAGAGCAAAAAGCTACTTGTGTGGCCATGTTTGTATAGCGTTATTGAGACTGGACACACGTTTGTGATGCGTCTTATTTTCCAGGGTGTCTAATAATATGGAGAATATGATCAATAAAGTACTGTGATCATGAGATTACGCAGGAAGGTGGGGGCAATAGCAAACGCCATGTTAATGAACCCTATGTTTATAATTTACACAATTTCAAATATGAAGTACAAGAGAAAAAATATGTCAGTATATATTTACACTTCTTACATGACATTCTAATGTTAGCTCATAAAAATTATGCATGCAAAGTAAAATGCATTCCCTGACGCTTGACTTTATGCATTGTTATTGTTTTCCGGGTTTGATGGAAATCATACGTGCAAGATTTAAATTTGTACTTTGTTATTTTTTTAAGGTGAGGATAAATAAAAGCCGCTGCTCCTCACCCCAACGGTGTTTGATCATTTCGACCGTGTTTCACGACCACTTACCGTAACAAATATATTGAACGCAACAGTTGAAGTTCTCTGATTCAACGGGTCTGCTGCTATGTCATTGTTCAAATCCACAACCTGAACAGTCATAGGGTAGACACTTTTCTTTTCCCTGTCAAGTTTATTCAATACTTTTATTTGTCCTGTGGAGAAAATGTGGTTGGGGGGAGGGTGTAAGGTAAGTGGTAACATTTCAACCGTGGTTACTTACTGCTTCGAATTCATGATTTAATTACAGGTTACCACTTTTGAAAGGAGAAAATCTTTCACATAGCTATATAAGCCAGTTTAATATTTTATTAATGTTAAATCTTCACAAGTAATACAAATATATAAAGTATGATAAACATATATTTTACCACGAATTAAATGTTTTTAATATTTGACATATGCTCTACAGGAGTGAAAAATAAGGTTACGTTTTTTTATGTTTGGTTGTGTAAATTAAGATAGGATTATATGTACTATTCTACACTTTCTTCTACGTTTTCGCTGTTATTTTGGTTGCTATGATGACAAATCTCGTCCCGTATGTCTCCTATTCAAGCAAGTGTTTGCGCAATAGAGACAACACATTGCACTGTAAACGTGACCTCTACACTACTGGTTAGTGTCACAACGAGGTTAAGGGAAATGCTCAAAGGCAAATAGAACATTTAAAGTTGTTTAGTAGCAGAAGGAAATATTCTATATGTTATTTTATTTTACCGTACTTATTTTAGTAAGAGCCAGGGGTGCAGCCACTGTGGCGTTGTGGACGTCCAGACACCCCCAAAACAGTGACGTGCGGTGAGGTCAATGGCTGGGGGAGGCACTGGCTTGTGTCAGAGCCAGAATCACACACTGAGGGGGGCGTGACCTCACGGAGGGGGGCGTGTCCTCACTGAGGGGGCGTGGCCTCACTGAGGGGGGCGTGTTAGACACGTCCCCCTCAGTGAGGCAGATGTGATAGCTGCCTCCCCTGGTGCTTTTTCATTGCAGTTTCATGACAGACGAGACCAGCGAGCCTAAATATCTTTATACACATACGTGAAATAAGTTACCTGGTGTATGGAAGGTGAGGACATGAAATGAAGGGGTCTACAGACATTACATGGGTGACATTCCGAGATAGTAACAGGCACGCGCTTATTGCCTGCACTCCATCCAGTTACTGAGGGGATGTTGCATTAGACATAGGCTTGCTGAACCAACATGAATTTACATTTAATACGTTGTAATCATAGATACTCCAAAAATATTTATAATAAAAATATATAAAAATTCACTTGGCAGCAGATGGTATGTTGCAGAAAATCCTTGCATATATATTAATATGCTGTCGCATGAATGAAGCTGTTAATAAATTGGCTTGGTGGTGATTGAGCAGATAGCTTGAACATTCAACCACATTTCTAAATATGCAAAATATCTAGTAATCATGCAGCATCCCCCCCCCCCCCCCCCCCCACTAATTCTCATCCGCAATTGAAGTAAAACAGTCATCAAAAACACACACTGACCATTTTTGGGGTTGATGTAAAAAGGCGTGGGTATGTCCGTGTTGCCACTGATAATGGAATATCTCAGATTGTTTAACGGGTAGTCGAAATCCCAGCATACAGGAGCATCGATGAGGGCCCCTACGGGACTGTCCTCGCTGATTGAAAAAGGTGGTAAGATGTTGCAACTCGGATCAAATTCATTCACTGGTGTCAATACCACCATGACCGTCACATTAGCTGAGAGCACACATTGAGGAGGTTCAAATGGCAAGAGAGAGAGGGAGGGGGGGAGAGAAATAAAAGGTTAAAGCATTTTTTTAAATGCTTGTTTTTTATGCAGCATATAACTCACAAAATGGCAATTAATATGCAAATTATATAAAATGTTTTCTTAGTTAATTTAATAATATGGTAATAATAAACATAAGACAGATCTTTCAGTTATTAAAGTCCATTCAACCTATATAACCTCGAACAAGTATGATGTGAATGTGATGATGATTTCACGTGTTCACTGAAGTGGGTGTCGGCTTATTTGATTTAATTGCCCATTAAATATAAAGTGATCTGAAATGAACATTTGTAAGTAATGATACAAAATAATCTTAAATTGTATGGAAATGCATTTTTAATGTGACTATTAGCCCATAAAATATACTCCCTGCACTTCCGTGGTCCGAGTAAAATCTGAAGTATTTTCCTCAAGCAGTTATTCTGATTAGGTCGTGAAATTTGCAATCATTTACAAAGGAGTCTAATTCAAATGTAAAACAATGTACAACGACACCATACAACCGTAATTACTTGTGTGTGAAATGTCTTTAACTTCAATCACCAATGTGTACTGGAAGTCCACAACTGAAAGTGCAAATGAATCGTATTCCAAATTTGCCAAAATCTGAGGGCACAAAGCAACATTTTCAATCATGTATCCTTTGACATGGAACGCCTCATTTACAAGAGGGCTCCATGGTGTAATTTGACACATACTCAGAAAACTCGTAACGGCATGCGTACAAACATTGTAAATCTATAACGTATACAGTCGGCATTTTCTAATGAATATCACACATCTAAGCAAAGACTGCAATGGCACACACCGCCAGTTTAAATAGAACTCACTCTAGGTGCCTTACTCAGAGTTCCTTGATAGTAAAATAAGCTGTATTAATTTCCTGAAGGTTATCTCCAAATTGATTAAGGGTAGGTGTACGACACGGTTTGCTGGATATCTTTTACTAACTTACGTGGCTTCTGATAATACTGCACATGGTTATGGCTCATAATATCCAAAACCAGTCATGTGATTCAGCAGTAGAGCGAGTGGCTCGCCAATCGGAAGGTTATGGGTTCAAATCCTGGTTGGGGGCTGACTCAGCCCATGATCCTTTTGGGGCTGATAAGGTGTTCACCCCTTTGTGGAGAAGCCAACAGTGGTTATCCGATAGAGAGACTCTTCCTTATCAATAAGTATGGAATTTCCACCACTGGCTCTGGGCTGTAAACAGGGAATGGGCACTGCCTCAATGCTCATTTGAGAAATATATCACTTTGACTTACAAAAAAAACTGAACACATTAAAACAAGGTATTATTCATTATGAAATGCCACTGAACAAAATAAGGTTGGCTTTGAAAATTGTGGATGAAATTGTACTCTTTAAATTATCATATTTATTCGTAATAAAAAGGAAACGATACCTGAAGAGTCGAACCATTCAGTGCAAAGCGGAATTTAGCGTTTGCATCAGGAATCAGTTTATACGTCAGAGCATTGTTGGTGGATGTGTAATCGTGGTCCCGACAGCTTAGTGTGGTGATACTTGTACCAATAGCAGCGCCTTCTGAAATCGTATATCTTGACAACAAAAACACAGACACATACGGAGAAAATCAATCGCAATTAAATTGTAAGCCCAATTGTTTACAATGAAGATACAATGTTGTGGTAAAATCTGTGTACATTAATTAACAACTATAGCACGTGCTTATTTCACATACTGCCTACATTGCCTGAAATAGCCACATTATTTTAATGCTTGGACGAGGTTGAATTTTTTGGGTCAGTTAATGGGATGCTCCAAGATTAGTTTCAGATTGGTTTACCAAATAACTAAAATGTACATGCGAGTGCTGTACCACTGGTATGCTTTGTAAAAACCATGAACCACACAACGTAAATTGTGTTATATATCTTAAAAAAAGTTAAATTGTGATGCTTTTATGTAAAATAATACCTTAAAAGATATAGGAAGTTGTATTGTCTAATTTAATTCCTTACTTTTTATTTTGTCGCCTACATTCTCCACACCAAGAAAATGCTGATGTTGCGTGTGTGTGCGATTATAGTTTTTCGTCGAACTAGGTAGGACCCGTATCTAACACGGAATATGTTACCTCTATGCATCCAGCAATTCACCACTATAGGTTCATGTAAGCCGGACTGCTGATGAAACTGAACGTTGAAAAGGGACCAGAGTTTGCTTGTTTTGAACCAATGCTGCTGAGATTATGCACTCCCAGAAGACTGTGTGGTTGATGGGATGTGTTAAAGTAATGGATTTGTTTTGTGTGGAGGAACAGATATGGAAAGAAGGCATACTGTCTACTTATTATCACTTAATCGTCTCTTTAGTGACCCAGGTCATCCTCGCAAATGAGACTATCCTGGTCCCTTTGAGTTTTCACGTTGTGAAAAAAAAATTCTGTTCACACTTAAATTCTCCAGAACAACGCTCATGATTATTTTGCGCAAAGTAGGGAACCTTTAACACAACCATTTGCTGAATGAAGAACAAATGGGTGCGTGTAAAGTACTGCATATGTTATACATACATGTGATTGTAAAACGTGCAGACGGGTGGGTTATCATTCTGGTCCGTCACATTCACTCTGAGATTGAATGTAGCACTGCGTTTGGAAATATAGTTTGTCACCCTGACCACGATATAATTAATCAGGAGCAGAGGATTGTTGTCCACGTCCAGCTGATAGGCTGTTTTCAACTTTCCTGTGGCTGAAAGTTAAAGGAATGTCACATGTATAATGGGTTACAAGAATACAAACCACGTGTACTCCCATCATATCTACAGCATGCAAAGAAACAGCCAGCATAGGGTTCCACGGCTCAATACTATATATGAGAAGATCATAACTAGATTGCCACTCGGAAATTCCTCCACCCCATGTTGAGGAGTCGAGTGTTGTAAACTATCATTTCATCCATACTGTTCAATTACCATACTGCAGATCAAAACACTCTTTGTTTTTAAGTTTCCCTGCACTGCTCGACTTTTCGAATTCCCCCCCCCCCTCGCCCCCCCCCCCAATCGTCTATTTTCCCAAATTCGTACAACCTGACTAAACTCAAGAAACATCCATAAAAGAGGTTTTGTGGGTTAGATCGTGTAAATATATAAATGTGTCGTTAAAACCCGCCACTACCCGACACAGCCAACTAGTAAGGGTTGTCACGTTAACAGAACGTGCCAATTCGTCACTAGTACAGCACAACATTTACAATCGGAGTACGACGTTTCGCCAGTAATTAAAACTAGCTTCATCAGACGACAGCCAGATTTGTGGAGCAGTCTAACGGTTTCGTTCCTTATATAGAGGCGTAAATGTGGTGACCACCCTTCATATTAACTGTTACATATTGCACCCTCAAACGGTGCTGTTTGTTGCCGGCCGCTTGACACTTTGGGGGCATAATGCACGGGCATAATATGACTTTGAAACCCCCCCTACCTCCTACGCATTCCACAAGTAGTGACTAATCCCATATCTACATTTCCCATAAATATGCAAAATTCATCTTGATATGCAAATTCCTTTGTCAAGGCGCCCCTTCCCCCCTCCAACCCAGCTTAAATATATGCTGCCAAGCATGGTGGTGCCCATTCAGACGCTGTCTTCCCGACAGACCTGTTCTTCACCTGAGGACGGCTGCTTGCGTTGTGGCCGAAACGTCGTGAGAATTATTTTATTATGTTTTATATTTATTATTTTATTATTTCCCTTCTACGTGACTTTACCGAAAGAACCAAGAATATGAATCCCTGCAGTCACGAAAGCTTTAAATCGAAACTTTGGGGGCTTTCAGCGCAAGGGGAGACACAGGCGCGCCTTGGCGAGCCCACTCTAATCAGACGTCAGCAGGCCCTGGGCAGCGGTCAGCAGGCGAGGCAGAGGAGACAGCGGAGAGCCACGACGGGAAAAGGGTGCAGGGAAACAAAAAGTGGAAGGGAAAGGGAAGGACGGGTGGAAGGAGAGAGCCGGAGGATTGGTGAGTGGAGATGAAGGGGGGCGCGTGCGGTGGAGCAGAAGGAGGGGTGCTGAGAGGACGTTGTGGGTGTCACGCCCCCCATTAGCCCTCGACATGCCTTCCGTTCACGAAAACCATGGCAGTAGATGGTCACTGCATGGCGCGTCTTCAGATGCGCTTCTGCGGCCGTCTGGAACGCTCTTCCTTTGCGATATGAGGAAGCCACTGGCGCTGTGCACTTTTATATCTAGATTGAAAACTATTTTTTTCAATTTAACTCACTGTTGTATCCTCAAAAAAGAAATATTGCAACTCAATTTTTACCCACTTCCCAATGTGCAAACTTGAAATACCTATGTCATACTGCTGACAAGACTATATTCTATCATAAAAAAATCCAAAACATTTTACAGAATTTTATTTAACTTACTCTGTGTGTTGTCGTATCCTAAAATCTTGTAACTCAATTTCAACCGTATTCCCAATGTCGTATCGACTGCAAACTTGGTATAATTATGTCATACTGATGACAATACTATATTCTATCATTAAAATTTTAAAATATATTTTTAAACAATGTTTTTTACGGCTCTAATTGTCCACGCTCAACTCACGTTGCCTGTAAATCACCACGTGGTCCCCTACGTCACGGCAAGCTGTGGGGAGCCACGCCCAGGGGCGGGGCGTGTGGATGGAGGGGAGGGGCGAGGGGGATAGGGGGCAGGGGGAGGGGCAGCTCGGACAGTACATTTCATTAAAGCGTGTTTAAAAAAAATGATTTTTTGATATTTTATTTTTAATATATATAATTGGCTTTTTTGTGTTAAGTTTGTTGTCTCTCCCCCGCGCCTCTGATTAGCACGGTTGGCTACGTACGGTGCGAAAAAAAAATTCAACATACTGTACATATTTCGATTTAAAGCTTTCGTGACTGCAGGGATTCATCTTCTTTATGTTTTATTTTATTATTTTATTATTTCCATTCTACGTGACTTTACCGAAAGAACCAAGAAGATACTGTACATAGGTATATGAAGAGTAGAGAGAGGGAGAAGGAGGAGGGGAGTTCCGAGTGTGGAGTCTGCTGGAGTGTGTGTGACCTGCTGCCGTGTTACCAGTGGGTCATCAAAAAAGAGACCTTTGCCAATGATTTTAAATACAAAACATTAATAGATCACGACGTTTCGATCGCAACACAAGCAACCGTAACCAGGTGGGACAAACACAGCGAGAACTGCCGACATAGTTCTGCTGTGTTTGTTTCACCTGATGACGGTTGCTTGTGTTGCGATCGAAACGTCGTGATCTATTGATTTTCTATCTACGTGACTTTACCGAAAGAACCAAAGAGTATAAAACATTACGTACAGATTACGTGCTAACTAAGTCGTACACGCAATTATGCACATGAAGTAAAAGTACAAAACGTGGACCATTTTAACATCAGTGAGACTAACCAAATAACAGTTTGGCCCATCATTTAATGAAAGCAAATTGCTGGCACCACATATCTATACACAATTCACACATTCTCGACCACGAGCAGACGAGCAAAGCTAAAGTACTGGGTGATGTGCATGTTGCTTACCCGATTCTATATAAAATCCCTCCGCAGGGGACACCAGCTCGAAATAAACCGTGGTGTCATTGGATGTAAAGGTTGTGACCAAGGTATCTTGAGGCAGCTCTTCCGAGATTGTAATTGTCGTTGAAGCCGGACCCCTAATAAAAGATTTAAATTGAACAAAATGCGAATTTCAACGATTGTACAACTTTCCACGAATACCCTAAAAACTAAAACATAACATTTTCACTCGAAATTCACAATTAGGACATGCGAAAGTTGCAATATATGACTCAATACATTTAAAAACATAGCTTATAATGGAATTACAGTTCGTATAATGTTCATCAGAGAAAACTTTTTTATTTGTACATGTAAATACTTTAATACTGCACAAATTAAATATATGATCTGTACTACTAAATAATACTTCTCAGCCCTCTGTAATTCCACTGCTTGATGAAGGGCTCCCTAAACTGTGTCACTCATGGGAGTTGTGTAGGGGAGGAGTGGCTCAGACATCACTTGCCACTGATGTTAGCCATGGCCAGGAGTCTAGTTTAGGGCTTCCAGATTCGCAGCACAGTATGCAAACCACTAAGCTACTGCTACCGCTATTTCTTCCTCATTATCTACACAAAAAACATACATTTCGATTTAAAGCTTTCGTGACTGCAGGGATTCATCTTCTTGGTTCTTTCGGTAAAGTCACGTAGAAGGGAAATAATAATAGTATGTTTTATTTTTATTATTTTATTATTTCCCTTCTACGTGACTTTACCGAAAGAACCAAGAAGAAAAAACATACATTCAGTACATGGCACTTATAGCGCGGGGCACACGTGTATATTTTATATGCACGTAATACATGTTTTTTGGAGATATTTAGATGATCCTAGCATTGTTTACACAATTTAAATTGTACTAACAGCAGTGGATTGAATCGGACAACTACTGCATGGTAATTGTGTTCTATTTACGGTGAATAATTAAATACCGGTGCAAACGGACCCAATTAGGACACACATGGACGTGTGCAAATCCCCTCCTCGCTGTGCTCCACTCGTCCAAAAAAACCTAGCACGTAAAAATTGTATTTCCAAATATAAAATTCCTGTAATGCTGGCATTTGTCCACCATTACTTCAAAGTTCTCTTCCCGAGGGCAAGTCCATAATTCAAGCTCCCTTTGTCCCTAGCGATTATACTCAATCAGTTCGCAACGCCACGCTATACGTTACGGTTCTTGAGACGTAACGAGGTAAAGGAGCGATGTCATGGTTTTTCCCCTTGCCTCCTTCAACAGTGTTTGTTTTAAGGTCACACACTCACCGGATGCTGTTTAAGGTCAGCCCCAAGACGATAACGTCCCCTTTTTCATATAACAACATATGACAAATGTTATGACAGGATTAGTTTATACGTTGTTGGAGCGGAGACGGTCGCCTTCACGCGGTACTCCATGTTAAGCCCCCCAGCACAACGAGTACCATCACCAAGGTGAACCCCAATGATGGAAGACAGCCCCTCAGTTGGAACGGCAACCACATTAACCAAATCATTGGTGATGCTGTTGCATTGGCACGTGGTGCACGAAAACCATTGACAACGAAACCCAACGCGTTCATTAATAATACTGTGGCCTTAAAGAACAAAACATTGCCTGAAACATCACCTATTATAGATGTTTTTTTATAAGGTCATTGATATTGACTATTATGAGTTATTTTACTATTTTCGATAGGTTAGTGCCTCATATACATTGATTTGTCTCTGCTTTGGCTGCAGCAAGGAAAATGTCTATCTCCTAATACTTGGCTTATGATTACTAATATTTATTGTCTTGTGAGGAAATTAGTTGCAAATCATACGTGAATCCTGGTGGTTCATCTTTTGAATCCATAATGATTATTGACACAGATCCATTGCATGAGAGGCCCTTTGAGTCATTGACAAAAATTTGCAGCAAATAATTCTGAAAAGGTGGAAAAAAACAGTTAGCAATGTGAGATGATAAAAGTTAAGTTACAATTACCTTAATACGTGGTAGTATTTTTTATTAAATTAACAGGTAGTTCAGATACTGTGTTACTTTCACATATGTTACAATCTGCAATGAAACTTTGTATTATGATATTCTGCAGTTACATTATATATCAAGTAATTTTTGGACTGCATGTTAACACTGAGCAACACATACTGTATGCCACATCACCAATGTTATGCTTTCTTCTGACAAGATAGAACATTTTAGATTTTCCAGTCGAGTTGCATCGGCACGGAAATTTAAATGCTGGCATTACAGTTCAAATTACTATATTGTTCATAATGAGTAACTGAATTGTTAGCATCACTCCAGTAAATGTTTGTTTTATTTTTTCACCTTGGTTATAATCTAAAATGTAGTAAGTGTCTCATTAGGAATGGTATGGCAGTGAATACAGTGCTATACAAACATGAATTGGCTTAATGATTATATTTTACAATATATTATAAATTATGCAATGTCTGTCACGTCCTGTGAGGAAAGATTTAACACGTCAACTTCTTGTAATGAGCAATGCTATATGTTGTGTCAGAATAAAATTGTCCCAAGTAGACGATGTCACAGAGCTACCCATGAAGCCGATGGAACAAGGTCGCTTTAGCAGCTTTTTCATGGCCTGGAAATAATGTTTACCGAATTATAACAGCACCAAAATGTTGAGTTTTTACTGCTATAAAATATCAGATGGATCAAATGTAATAATTATATTTTCGTAGTCATTCATGACTTGACTGAGACCATCAACTCACTGCACATGAGGATGGAGGGTTTAAATACAGGTGGTTACCTGGATTGAAATCCAAGATCTAAGCGATGTCAGATACATAATCTGACATTGTATTAGACCCTTAGCCATCCAGCTCCTGAAGGGTAAACTATTTTGGAAGCATAATTAACAGAGGGTGTTGGTGGGGGAGGCGGACCGAAACAGCATTTGTGTTCAATAATTGGTAAGGTGTTAGAATTTGACTGACCTTGTCGACTTCATAGTCGAAGCCAGTGGCTGGGACCCTGATAACACCGTTGAGCTTATTAAATTGTAGCCGTGTAGCACCACTTGCTGGAACGACTGATAACCAGGTGAACTAGGGAAAAAGTCCAATATCAGTTTCTGATTACGTTTTAAAAGGACATCTTGATCAAGCAAGGTAAGCGAGAAACAGCATTTAGCAATGTGTCATGGGATTCCTCCTTCAATGCAAAAAACATTAGAAACATTTTCACGTGTGCAGTTTTAAAGATTATTACATTTATAAACCATTCCAAGGTTTTCTTTTTTTTAAAGAAATGTTTCTGGGGTACACTCATCCGAAATGTCCATTGGTTGTTGGAACATTATTTCATTTTGGGGATCAAACAAATGCGATAAACGTTTTTGTGCCGAACTACAAACCACCGAGAAAGTCCCCGTACAATTTCAATATTCCCTTTATTTTAAATGTGTTTCACAGTTTAGCTGGCGTATTCAGGTTTCTTCAATCACCATTCTGTCTTTCTACCCAGAACTAATTACAGTTCAATGCTTTAATTCGTGACCTCGTATATTGCCCGCTGAGATGACAGTGGGGCGGCAGACACCTTGATGGTACGCGCGGAGAAAAAAATAACAGCAATGCAGGGAATGTGACAGAAAGACAGGAAAAAAGACACGGAGAGACAACGGAAGAGCAAAAAGATATATAGATAGGACGAGGAACAGACAGATACACAGACACGCAGGGAAATGTGGATGGACAACTCGAGAGCATCAAAGTCTAGAAGAAGCTAAAAGAGACGTATAGTGAGACACGGAGAGACAAATACCGAGACGTGGAGAGACACACGTGGACACGAAGTGAAAGGGAGCGACATGGAGAGATTCCATTCAAAATCGTACTTTGCCTGTGCGGCAGTGATATCTAGCAAGTGGGGGTGCAATTAATTACCTACACAAACCTCCATTGGCTAGCACGGTAAGTGTCCCTTGAGAGCAGGGAGTCTCCTATTCATGCGATAGTGTGAGCACTCTGTGTGCAGCATGACAAGCACTTTTTGCCACTCCTTACAGTTAACGTGTCACCGGCATCCTGGTCAGTGGCTGGCACCCGATAGATGACCGCGTTGGGTTGTTCATCCTCTCGAACGCGAATCGTAGCTCCTTTTACATTACAACGTGCAAGCCATGGGGTAGAATCAGTGTATTTTCAAACGTACACATGTATATGATTGCTATCATCGGCAGCCATGATCCATCCACTGTTGGATGAAGGCTTCTCCAAGCCATTGCAATCTCACCACGTGACCGTATGGTGAGGATACCCATCTGACATGGGAGTGCACGTCTCACACGATACATATGAAACAAACATTTGTTATAATTATTTTAATACTTTGAGTTCGGGGTTAAGTAGTGGTGCAGTGGTCAGCGCAAGTGTGTTACGAACCCAGCGACCAGAGTTCTATTCTCAGCCACAGCTGATTGATTTAAAACTGCTGTTTGTTCTCTCGTTCACAAACACACACTGATCAGCATGGTGAAGTATGGTGAAACAACCTTCACGACTGACAAGGTATTAGGATGTCTTCATCCAGCACTGGATTTACAATGAGCTTAAAGTTAAAAGTTATTCTAATTCTACATGAAGGCTTCCACGACCAAAATTGAGATCGCGTAAGTAGGATGTTGTTGTATACCCTCCTCCACCCGACACAGCTGATTAATGTCATGTGAACAATCGTGCCAATGTATTACTGCTTCAGCACACGGATGTTGGAGAGCAATTCATAGCAGCATTTAATAATTGGGTTCGTCGATTCGCCGGTAGTTACGACCAGCATCATCAGGCAGTTGTCAGAAATTGTGAAAATGTCCTCCAGTCGCGGGCTGTAAATTAGGTAGTGAGATGGCATGAATGTACGCCCACAATGCAGCAGCAATTAGCAGGAACTGAATAAAAATGCAACGTGATGTAATTGATTATCTTAGATATGCTCATTTTAAATACACATGTATGTGGTGATACCTATTATTATTATTGCTACAATATTATATTTAAAACATATTTGTTTATTTTCATTAATTCGATGGCACTTGCTGAAATTGTACGCAACTGAAAAACAAACAATAACAAGTGTATCAGTCATTGATTAATATTGTTCACAGGATACATCTAGGTTTGCAATTGCTGCAAGTTTGTGAATCTAAGGTTACGTCCTGCTTTCTTTACATTTCATGCCATCATTTTATGCATACTACTATGTACGAAGGTGAATTGCAATAGCTTCTTCTTGGATATTAACATTATGGCGGTTGCTCTACATCAACATCAGCCATACCAAGGAGAAGAAAATGATGTGGTGGTAATGATCCTTATGAATCTGTCCTGCTGAATTGAAGAAACAAGTCTGACCTGGTGCTGAGAAGACGCCATTGCATGTTGGGGCCTCATTGACATCTGCCACATTGATATAGATGCTGGAGGTCACCGGTGTTCCTAATAATTCCTGAGCTGACACAGTCAGTTTGTATAGATTCACTGTTTCATAGTCCAGATAACCACCACTGGGACTGTTGAGGATCACCTGGTTGTTATTGGAAACAAGACATGGTTTGCAATGGTCGTTATAATTAAGAATAGGTAGTTTCTGACACAGCCGAACACATTTGTGTATAATATTTTAGAATGTTTGCAGTGACAATAACCAACAAAAAAATGTATTTGCCGCAATCAGATAACCAGTTGTGTTTGATGAGTTTAGTTCAGACAAGAAGAGACTTTGTTCTTGTTTTTCTTGAACAATACACTTTGACTGTAGAACATTTTGTCATCACCAACAAATTCTACGGTGACCCATTCCTCGCCATATTGAATTAATTTAGCTTTTACGTTCAATTATGTTTAAGATTTACGGATGCCCGCAGGGGGGTCCGTCAAATTGCCGCAAGGTGGAAGCCCAAAGAGCCGCCGCATGCAGCTCCGGAGACGAAAGTTGCCGACCCCTGGTTTAGTTAAAATCTGCAGTGTCATATACAGTCAGACATCCAGTATTTATGGCACGTTGCACGCGTTAAGATTGCATTGCATGTATGAGACTTCCGTGGCTTTTAAAATAAAATAAACGGCAACATCCTTTAAGACGTTCAAGTAAAGAAAATGGTGCTAAAGCCATTGTGACAAATTAGGCCATTCATAACAAGCGACAGATAGCCCCGGACGTGTATGACCTGGAATGGTTTCAATCATATGCAATCTGCTGCTTTAAAATGTCAATGACAACCACATTGTAAATTATTGTCATCTTATTCTTGGTTCTTTCGGTAACTTTACCGATAGAACCAAGAATATGAATCCCTGCAGTTACGAAAGCTTTAAATCGAAATTTATTGTCATCTTAGTTTATTTCAGGTAAGGCCCATTGAGCTAAGAAGCTATCTTTCAATGGTGGCCCGGCCACTGCTGTGATATACAATCAGTACATTTCCCATTCCATCTGATGTTTTTAAAGTCAACAAAGAAGTGTGGCATGTACACTTGTGTAAGTAAACATTATTATTAATGACCCCTTACTGAGTGACAAGTGTATTAGCCATGGTGCCTTTTCAAAATGCACCAGGCCTGTGTATTGCTGTGGTGAAATCAAATGCCACGTTACAAATTTTAGAACAAATTGTACCTGTCCGATGAAGCTCGATCCTGGTGGAGAAGGCGTGTTATCAATTAACAGAAAGGGCCCTGGTGGTGTCACAGTGAGCACAACGCTGTTAATGTTTGGCGTGTCAGAAGTGATATTAATGTTTGCCACGATTACTAGGTTCGCACTGTTTTCCGGCAGATTCACCACACTTGGCGTCCAGGTAAACGCTGGTTAGAAAGATAATCATTCAACAGAGCACACGTAATTGGTTAACAAAAGGGTATGTAATAATAATAATAAAATGCGCTATTGAAGATAACTTAAAATATATACACACAAAGTGATCGCCAATGTATGATTATTCTTTCATTCTGTCCATCACATTGCAATAGCGCTACGTTTTATGCATTGCCAAATTCTGGTTTACGTGATTAAGTTGCATAAATGTGCCTTGAACTATGATGTGATATTTTAAAATGGCATATGAAGAATATGAACGTTGGTTGATTAATATATATGTACCTTATTTCAATTAAATGCAATTAAATACATAATAGCAAGCTACATGAAACAAAACATTGATGTGTTCATGAAATCGAAGTTAAATGATGATCCTTACTAATAGTAGCATGTGTTGAAGACAGACCTAAGCATAAAAAAAACACATTTTCAGTCAAAATTTGAAATATACTATTTCAGAATACTGGCATTCAACATATAAGTTCCCATTAGAATACACACAAAACATTAAGGACATGTGTTGCCAGTGGTTTACAAGCACAAACCAAAAAACTCAGAACATTTGTCATCAGCAACCGGCATAAAACAGAAAAACATCGTGGTCTGACATGTTGGGCATTGGCCATTCTTAAGAACAGAGAGGGCAGAGAAGTTTATTGCACTTATGTTTGGAAATCACGCATTACAATAGGTGACCCTGAGAAATCTGAGGTATTTTAAGAACATTATCAAATCAACCCTTATTTTATACCCATTGCCTACCAATATAAAACTTCTCTGGTCAACTCACAAATATTTGTCAACTGCATTGTAACACACAGGTAATTCATGCACGTTTAAATATTTCAATACCAACCATTCGTAATATTTTGGCCAACTGGATGTGCTTAAACATATATCATTAGTAGATGTCGTAACAACAATACTTACCACTGAAAATCAGAAAACACCAGGCAATAATGGGCAAAGGATAGCGTTCACGTGGACCTCCACTCATCGTGCTGTACATGCTGTCACGGGCATCACATGTGCAGTCCACCGCTCTGCCAAGGTCCTAATAAACAAACCGATCTTGCACAAGCACCTCTTTATACGTGGCCATTCGCCAAGCCCGAAAATGGGTCACGCAACATGTCCGTCAAACAGGTCTCACGGAGACCCGCGCCGGACGCGACTTCCGTCCGTATTTATTTAAACACACGGACACCATTCTCCGAGCAGAAAGCGCTGTTGTATTTTTACAATCCAATACCTGTTTTATTCCGTCCGCTCAGTATTTGGACTGCCGTTACTTGAGTAAAGACCTGCCATGCGCTCACAGGTTGTGTTGCAATGGTGTTTGCACTTGCGTAAAACCAACAGGAGATTCTTTAAAGCGGGCTCAGAGTTGCGTGTACGGTCACGATGCTGCCTTTGGCCCCATAGTCACGTGTTCGTGATATGATCATGTTGATATTCAAAAAAGGTAAAGGTGCAGCTCTGGAATGGCTTACTGAAACCTATGCTGGCAGAAGGGCCACGACTCGAGGGAGCTCTAGAGAACCGCTCTGAAGAGTACTGGCCTACTGCCTACTCTTCCACATTTCCCAGCCTGCTGTGTGTGGACAGGGTCATTTAATTAACGCGCCCATTATATCAAATGCTGCGTCGAGATAACGAATCGAACCTGCAACTTCCCTGCATTGCAAATCCAGCGTGCTAACCGTTTCACAACAGCAGTATCGCTCTTGTAGATAATGCCACCCAGCAAAACAATGTGCACGGTAATGTATAGTGCACTTTAATGTCATTCGCAATAACGATATTTCATTAGTTCATTTAATATTTTTGTCTATTATTGTTATGGTCATTTATATATTGTTTTGACATATATTACGATGTTTACCATATACTTTGCTTGATTTTTGCTTCGATTTAATGTCATTGGTAGAAGTGCATTGTGACGTTGCCACAAATGAAGAGACGAAACATCAATTTAATTTGTTGTAGTTTAATATTTACATGTTTCACAAACCGCACAATATGATAATTAACTCTGTATTAAAAAATGCTCGGGCACAATGTTTTGAGACATCAATTTCTAATATTCTTTATTTTGAAGAAAAAAAAAACATTCATATCCATTCACATTACATATTTCGGCTACTTAAAAGTCGTCTCATAGGATTTGTCCAATATCATCGCAGGGATTAATATTATTGGTTCTTTCGGTAAAGTCACGTAGAAGGGAAATAATACAATAATAAAAATATAAAACAATAACATTCTCACGACGTTTCAAATTTTCTTGCTGTGGATTTCACACCTGATGATGATTGCTTGTGGTGCAGTCGAAACGTCGTGAGAATTTAGTTTTATATTTTATTATTTCCCTTCTACGTGACTTTACCGAAATAACCAAGAATATAAATAGGGGTATACTTTAAAAAGTCACTGGATCAGCAAAGTACATTGAGCTTAATAACAAATGTCGACAGCAGAAGCACGGCCACCCATTGGAAGTTGGATGTGGCCTCCAATCGAATGATTCCTGTTAGTTATTGCCGAGATTGCAGTGTAAGAAATTCGCTCCCCACTTTATCACAGATAAGAGGAGTTGTATGTACGTTGAACTTATTTCGCACCGTACACAGCCCACCGCGGTAATCAGAGGTGCGAGTTCTACTGTCATCATCACCGTCAGCCATGACCAATCCACTGCTGGATGAAGGAAGCCACTGCCACCTCTCACGATCGAGCAATGCAACGATTCATCTCGCACTCGAACTGATCTCATTCCTCCATCTCCTCGGCAGACGTACTCTTGGATGAGGTTCATTGCGTACCTGCCATGTTTATCCTGCCCAAGCCACAATTTTCGATTTAAAGCTTTCGTGACTGCAGGGATTCATCTTATTGGTTCTTTCGGTAAAGTCACGTAGAAGGGAAGTAATAAAATAATAAAAATAAAACATAATAAAATAAAATAATTATGTTATTATATTATTATGTTTTATTTTTATTATTTTATTACTTCCCTTCTACGTGACTTTACCGAAAGAACCAAGAAGATCAAGCCACAATTGTTTATCTAAATAGTTTTGACGATGGCATTGACATGTGTGTGCTCTCGAATCCGTGGGTTCCACCGCCTGTCTCGAATGCAATTTATTGACTCTAAATGTCAACTTTTCGTGCGCTGCTCGGTGTTCAAAGGTTCTGACGTCAACATGAGAAGACAAACTTGGACTCAAAGATAGCATTATTATTGTCCTTAAGTGGGTGTCTCTTAGCCATGTCTAAGAATTTTAGGGGTGTCCGTGCCCCCACGCCACCCAGTGGCTATGCCCCCATCTGATAGGTCCTCCCACGTCTGATGTCCATAAAGGGAGGGGGACACAAAATTATTTAAAAGTTAAATATGGACATTTGTGTAGTAGTTACAGCTGATGAAAAGGTGTTTGGCTACACATTCGAAGAAAAACAATCTCATGAAAACAAAGCCATGGCAAAAATAATCATTTTAATTTTTAAACATGAAAAGAAGAAAATAGATTGGTCAATTTCACAAAAGTACACACATTTCATACAGTAAAGTGCATGGGTGGTAGAAACATACATTTGTTTACAGGTGACTTTCCATCACTCGTACTTTAAATGGGGCCATATATTGGTCATTTAACTTATCTTTTTTAAATAAGTTACATTCTTTTTTGTGATTGCAGAATATAGAATTTGTGTTAAACATATTGTCAAATACCAACTGTAATTCAATCAACCATGCAAAATATTTATTAGAAAGATGATATCTATGAGTCTAATCCTTTGTTTGGATTATACTTGCACACAAAAGGAATCCTAAGCTTAAATCCAGCGTCTTTGTCCAGTCACCGAGTTGAAAAGATATTCATTTCCCGTCACTGTAAATTAAGAAATGCATGTAAATAAAATTACAGTACTTTAGTACAATACATCATTAACACGTTTCTTCCTGCATCATCTCTTTTATCGCTGGGAATTAAATAAAAATGTTATTCTCATCAACTATATTATATATTTGTTTTGTAATTACTATATGCAAATTACAGCCATTTTTAATCAACTGCTGAATAAAAGCCTTCTAACACTTTACAAAGCATGAAGTTGGTTGGATAATACTTCATCATTCTGGTCGGCATAGGTTAGCGAAGGGGAGGGCCCAGGACAGGTTCAGATACCACTCACCATTTACGTTAGCCAAGGCTGGATATAAAACTTACTTGACTAGAATCAAAACACAGTGGGCTAACCAAAGTGCCACCACGCCACCCCCTACAATAGTTTAAGTGCTGTATTTGTAAAATGTTGTAATCCTTTACTGGATCAACAATTACTGTATTGAAATATAGTCGATTTGCAAAGTTATCGCAGCCAAACGCTGTGCCTATTATTGTGTACATGTACGCAGGTTGTGTATTAAGCTTAAACTGCAAAATAATGATCTTACTTGGATCTCTTGCTCTTCCATCAAACTCCTGCAGTAAAACAAAGGTGTTTTTTGTAACGTGTAAATTAAAACAATTAAATATTTAGGAGGTATATAATATACACAATATACAATGGTGTATGTGTAATCACAGAACGACATTTTGATGCTTTGCCAGGTAGACATTACTTACAGGGGTACTTAATGGTTTCAGCACGTTTTTGTGAGCTTTTTCCTTCTGAGATGAACTGGATAAGTCATTTAACCTGTAACAAATATCACACAAACCTTCATTTTAGAAAAAAATTGTTTGAAGGATAAATCACCGCAATGCCTCCTGGAAAAGTTTTGAGACTCATTGAGGCTCTCTCTGGGATAATCATTGTCATTGGCATGACGCATAATATTATCATTGCATTGTGTTCAGTAAATGTCTCATCTTAAGTAAACTTTTCAAGGGACGATTGTAATTTGACGTTGTAAAGCATCTAAATACTAAAAGCATGTCAACATACAAGGCAAACATACAGAGCATATGACAGGCAATAAATATTACAATGCAACGCAAATGCTGTAAGACAGCTTGGATATATTGAGCAGTAGCACAATAGAAGGAGTTAACTAACTATTCAAGTTGTAGATGCTTACCCCGAGCCCTCATTACTCTGATAGTGCATTGTCTTTGAGCTGTACGCCTTTTGGCGTCCTCTGATCTAGCACCAATTGAGACGAGGCTCAAAAGAAAGCCGTCTCTGGTGTGGACCAATCAGTTTCAAGGAATGCATATATTATCAGAGTGTTTTTTTTGTTTGCATTTTTACCACAAGTATTGTGGTTAAGGCACACGTGATTCCTTGTAAAAAGGTTTCAGTTTTGTTGCCAGAAACAAGGGGAAACACCCTCTTCGTATAACTATTCAAGTGTGTTTTTTTAATAGGTGAACAGGTAAAGGTGCAGCCCTGTCTGACATCTTGGAAGGCTTCGTCATTACCCCCACGATACCCCACCACATCGACTACCAGTGGTGGACCCATTTATACTGCTGGGTGGATCGAGGCGTGCGGGATATGAGAAACTTTCCTTTTGTTCAAATGCTATGCTAGGAGGTCAAACTGGCGACCTCTGCATTGCAGGTTCGGTGTGCTATCACAGCACGGCAACACTTCCCCAGTGTTTTTAATACAAGAGCTACATTTTGAAGGGTTTCTTTCAAAGTAGGATTTAACGGCACTCGTTAGAAGTGTGGTTGTGCGAGGAACTTAAGATGTAGCAAGCACTGACTCATCAGCCTTCAGCAGCGGTGGGTCCTTTACGGATGGCGAGGGCTTGCAGAACTTCCAACAGCAGGGCATGCTGGGACACAAACATGGAACGTACAGAATAAAGAAAACAAATAAGGGAATGCACTGTCAGTGATTTGCAAGCACACAAAAGAAAGAACCACTGGCAAGTATCAGGCTACTATTTATATGAACGTGTTTGAATTGTTTGTGCTTATACACCAATTCCAATGCTCTATCACCAAATTATTAGTTTACCGTAAACATTAATATTATACGGCAATGTTTTTGATGGATGTATTGTGTTTTCGTGATATGTATCACTGTGGTGGCGGAAAACAGACTCCTTTGGAAGAAACGTGTCTGTAAAACTAGACCACTGTAATATTTATGAAGGACCATTTATATAAAAAGCTTTCCACTTGATGGTGATACTTTGCGTTAATATAGATGTGAAATATTAATATATTTTCTGCACGAGAGATGGTTTCCCTGTTCAATCATTGGCTTACCTTGCTGCGAGATATTTATGAAAATATGCATAGTTTACCACAGCAAATCATCCATATAATTTATTTTGTAAAGTAATATTTATTCAATGTATCTAATTGGATACATCTTTAGGCATGCGTACACACAATAGTGGAGCATGCATATGTAATTATGTTTATGGATTTGACGTGATATATTGCTGCAATGTGAGCAGGATCTTATACCTTGCAGTATACCTTCCAATCCATGGGAGACTTAAACCGGCCAGACATTAATTTCACGATCAGGAATAATTAAATGTTTGCTTTTTGGAAAACGTGAGTAAAATCATTTGTAAAGTTGGAGACAATGCTACCATCTTAAACAATGTTCTTATATCATGTGTAACAACCATGTACAACCGTTTAATTATCAGCACTTTGCAATGCAAATTTCAGAAAAAGCATGATGGCTTATTGCCGTTATTAATCTCCAAGATAGTTTCTACAAACCATTATTTCATGCCACAATTCCACAGCACTGTCCTCAACAGATATTTATCACAGGAGCTGATATGTCGAAATTATTACTCAGAAACCATTTCATTTAACGGTGTTAAAAAAGTGAATGTTGTTTACTGGCTCTCAACATATAATATGTGTGCATATGTACAAGTAAGATTTACGGAAGTTATGCTCCTCGTGCTAATATTTACAATTTACAATATTTACACTAATGGCGGTGGGAAACACAGTATTGCTGGTAAGAACATACGACTTGGGCAAGTGTGTTATAGGTATTAACAATTTGTTTTGTAAACATTCGTTCACATGTAGATCATTTATCAGTGAATACTTATAGATTTAGTTACATCGTCCAAAGGTTGCACAATGGCATGCTCATACCGTTTCCAGCAGAAATATGAAATCAAACCAATGATTGCCAAGAGTGCCAGTGCAATGATTGTCATCACTGCAATAAACCAGCTTTCAGGCTTCCAGTAGTAGTCAAATATAGTAATGATTCTTGTCGTGAAAACCTGAAAATGCAACATTTTAGAGCAATCAAAAAACAGAGAAGTGTCAATTGAAATATATTTATTGTAACAAATGTTATACAAATGTCATTGACTGGTGCACAAGGCTGGATGAGACTCACTTACAAATTAGACCCTGGTATTCACAGTGACATTTAAGTGGTTTCCCACTTATGTAAAAGTGGGGCCAGTGCTGTTCTCCTGTTCACAATCTTGAACTAGTGGTGGAAAGTCCACATTAAGGGCTGGAGGTGTCTGTCTACAGCACGATTATCGTTGACTTACTCCACAAAGCGGTACTAATTTTATCGACCCTCGAGGTATGAAGGGCTGTGTCAATCGTCGACCGGGATTGGAGCTTGTTCCAAATGCATTTTGAAAACTCTACTCACGTGCTATTTTGCAGCATTAGACGTTGACATTAGAAATCAAAGGTATATTAAATGCCTAATTTAATGTAAATCATGCTGATTATGTGTGAGGACAATGTTCATGAAGGTGGCATAAGTCCGGTAACATTATCAGAAACAGATTTTATTATAATTATATTTGGACACCACAATTGTAGGTGGAATGATATGCTTAATGAGCAAAGTTTATATGGACCCTCTGATTCTGGGTTTTTGTTTGTGACTTTTGAAGTAATGCGTTGCTCTGGCCTTTGTGAGGTGTCTCCGAGCGATGAAGTAAAACGTAAGGAGAGAGAAAAGTAAAGAGAGAAAACAAACGGTGTGGGGGGGGGGGGGGTAAAACAGAGGTAGAGGGGGGGTGTCTGTGATTTATTCAAGGCCTATTGGTGGGGGAGTCTATACATTAGATAATCGATTATTCGGCGGCTTAGCAGGGGGAGGGGACGTCGGGATTTCACTAATAATTAAAAAATTTAAGCTTTCGTGACTGCAGGGATTCATATTCTTGGTCCTTTCGGTGAAGTCACATAGAAGGGAATTTTTTTAATTGTTTTTTATATTTTTATTTTTTCCCTTCTACGTAACTTTACCGAAAGAAGCAAGAATATAATAATTAAAATCGCTTATTTTTGCACATTCTTCAAAGACATTTTCACGTGTTGTGTATATGTTTTTGTTGTGTTTTTAATTTGTTTACTCGATGAAAGTGGCATAAATAAACATACAAATACACGAAAATAAATATCCCTTTTTTAAGTTACAGTTTTCACCGTACCATATTTACCACTCTAATCTCGAAGACTGCATTGGGGTGATGCACGCGCGACTACGCTCTTGTTTCGAGGACATGTGTGTGACGATCGCCCGACCGAGGCAGTCTTTAGAACTCCGAAATACACGCACACTTTTTGGCAGATCGCACTGTGTATATTTGATGCTTTGATCACTCTAGTTATTTATTTGTCATGAAAAATGTATTTACGTGCAGTGTTTTTATTGTTTCATTCATATCCATGTAGTGTATAATCTATATATATAAAATCGTGAATGTCTGTCTGTCTGTGTGTGTGTGTGTGGATTTCGGCCCATACGCACTTTCATTGGACGACGGTTGCCCCTGGCAACGGCTAGCCACGCCTTCGCCGCTTTCATTGGACCTGGCAACGGCTAGCGACGCCTTCGCCAAGGGCTGCAGTTTCATTGGACGGCGGTTGCCCCTGCCAACGGCTAGCCACGCCTTCGCCACTTTCATAAGCCTCGTATTTAATTAAATAATAGCCATTACACAGTATTGTTGGAGTGCTGAGGGGGGGGGGGGAAGGCACGCCACCCGTACCCTGCCTCTTCCAAGCCGACAATTTTAGGCGAGGCCGCAGGCTTTGCACGCTACTAGGCCTCGACACCCACCACGCCACTCTGAGGTAAATTCATCAAAGTTTTTCCTACTCTTCACTACACCCCCACCACAATGTGTGCTATTAATATTACTTTTAAACCCAACGCGCCAACAATCGATTACTTTAATGTTCACTGTACAAATACTCATTAAGCTGGGTGAGCGTACTGCCAGTCTATCATGTACACTGTAGCCTGCTTATTAAGCTCGGTGAGCGTACTGCCATTCTATCATGTACACTCTAGCCTGCTTATGAAGCTGAGTGCGTGTACTGGCAGTCTATAATGTGGACTCTTGCCTGGTTATTATAATCGATTCTTTATATGTTCTTTGTACAAACAGTCATTAAGCTGCTTGAGCGACCCCAGTTCGATTCCAACTCACGCCCACCACCGCTGACGATTATTTGAAACGGACCTGGCCCTCCCCTAGGTCCACTCAGCCTCAAACGCGTAACTGCTGTCGTGTGTGAACATCGTCACTGGGGAGACAAAGGCGGCCGGGCATCGTGGATCCAAGTCCCGGGCGAAGCCGGGTCATGTGTATGTGTGTTTATGTGTATGTCTGTGTGTCTCTATGTATGTGTGTATGTATGTGTATGTATGTGTTTGTGTGTATGTGTGTGTGTATGTATGTGGGTTTTTTTGTATGTCTTTATGTGTATGTCTGCGTGTCTCTATGTATGTGTGTATGTACGTGTGTGCATGTGTTTGTGTGTATGTATGTGTGTGTGTATGTATGTGTGTGTATGTGTTTGTGTGTATGTGTGTGTATGTATGTGTTTGTATGTGTTTGTGTGTTTACGCTCGCATTACACAAATGTGTTGCAGGTCTAAGGCGTTCCTCGCGCAGCATTGCCGCTTTATTATTGCAGTCGTTTACTGCCGTGCGCACCCTCAAAGTCGTGTGTGTCTGCAGCAAGCGCGTGTATGTGTTCCTATGGACGCGCGCGCGTGTGTTGTGTAGGGGGAACGGTAGTGTAGTGCTTAGCGTGCTGTCTGTGTCTGTGTGTGTGTCTGTGTGTGTGTCTGTGTGTGTGCGTGTGTGGTGTGTGGGGAGCGATAGTGTAGTGCTTAGCGTGCTGTCTGTGTGTCTGTGTGTGTGTGTGTGTCTGTCTGTGTCTGTCTGTGTGTGTCTGCGTGTGTCTGTGTGTGTGTCTGTGTGTGTGTCTGTGCGTGTGTGGTGTGTGAGGAGCGGTGGGTGTAGTGCTTAACGCTACGCTGCGCTACCAACCCGGCAAACCGAGTTCGATTCCCGCTCACGGCCACCACCGGTGACGATTATTTGAACCTCCCCTAGGTCCACTCAGCCTCAAACGAGTAACTGGTGTTGCGTATTAACATTGGCACTGGGGAGACAAAGGCGGCCGGGCGTGGTGGATCCAAGTCCCGGGCGAAGCCGGGTCATGTGTATGTGTGTATGTGTTTATGTGTATGTCTGTGTGTCTGTATGCATGTGTGTATGTATGTGTGTGCATGTGTTTGTGTGTATGTGTGTGTGTATGTATGTGGGTTTTTTTGTATGTCTTTATGTGTATGTCTGCGTGTCTGTATGTATGTGTGTATGTACGTGTGTGCATGTGCTTGGGTGTATGTATGTGTGTGTCTATGTATGTGTGTGTATGTGTTTCTGTGTATGTATGTGTGTGTATGTATGTGTGTTATGTGTCTGTCTGTGTGTCTGCATGTATGTGTGTGTGTATATTGTGTATGTGTTTGTATGAGTTTGTGTCTTTACGCTCGCATTACACAAATGTGTTGCAGGTCTAAGGCGTCCCTTGCGCAGCATTGCCGCTTTATCATTTCAGTCGTTTACTGCCGTACGCACCCTGAAAGTCGTGTGTGTCTGCAGCAAGCGCGTGTATGTGTACCTATGGACGCGCGCGCGTGTGTTGTGTAGGGGAAACGGTAGTGTAGTGCTTAGCGTGCTGTCTGTGTCTGTGTGTGTGTGTCTGTGTGTGTGCGTATGTGGTGTGTGGGGAGCGATAGTGTAGTGCTTAGCGTGCTGTCTGTGTGTCTGTGTGTGTGTGTCTGTCTGTGTCTGTCTGTGTGTGTCTGCGTGTGTCTGTGTGTGTGTGTCTGTGTGTGTGTGTCTGTGTGTGTGTCTGTGTGTGTGTCTGTGTGTGTGCGTGTGTGGTGTGTGGGGAGCGGTAGTGTAGTGGTTAGCGTGCTGTCTGTGTGTGTGTCTCTGTCTGTGTGTGTCTGCGTGTGTCTGTGTGTGTGTCTGTGTGTGTGTCTGTGCGTGTGTGGTGTGTGAGGAGCGGTGGGTGTAGTGCTTAACGCTACGCTGTGCTACCAACCCGGCGAACCCAGTTCCATTCCCGCTCACGGCCACCACCGGTGACGATTATTTGAACCTCCCCTAGGTCGACTCTGCCTCAAACGAGTAACTGCTGTAGCGTATTAACATCGCCACTGGGGAGACAAAGGCGGCCGGCCGTGGTGGATACAAGTCCCGGGCGAAGCCGGGTAGTACAGCTAGTGTACTGTATATATTTGACACTGAAATCAAGCAGAGTTACTTTTTTTCATAATTTGTAGATTTTTTGGGTTAGATTGCGTAAATATAAATGTGCGAGTAAATATAAATGTGTCCGTAAACCCACCACCACCCCACACAGCCAATAAGGAAAGTTTGTCACGTCAACAAAACGTGCCAATTCGTTTTGGTACGTTTTGTTAACGTGCCAAACGGCACATTTATATTTACGCGATCTAACCTTAAAAAAACGATCTTATAGATGATATTGGTCGCGAAAGCCTCCTACGTGTTAAACTCCTCTTTTTTTAAATCCTTTATATTAAGTTTACTTGCTCGCTTGCTTGCTTAGGACCGTGCAAATCTTTTGGTCGTTTTTTAACCAACTTCCCGTGATCCAATCGAGCTGACATTTTGCACACAGACTCGTTGTGCGTGACAATATATTTTCGTGAAAAAATTTTTCCTAAATTTTACACTTTTTAGGAAAAAAAAAATTATATTTAATTTAAAATACCAATGTGATAAAAATGGAACTCTTACTCAAGAAAAACAGAAATGAATAATACAATAAAACCGATGCCACGCATATAAAGGATTTATAGTGAAAAGCTTTGTTTTTACGGGTAAATTTTTTTTGTCGCTCACATGGTACGGATAGCCGGACTGGTTACAACCCTTTGGAGTGGTTTTTCCGGTTTCGCCGGATCGACCTGGGACTGCCGAATAATGTTGGGAGCAGCCGGGTAATCGATGATCGACTGTATGGGGTTTCCAAATGGCTTGGCACTCTACTATTTGCCCTCTCAATCTGGCACTCTGGTGTCCGATATTTTATCCAGCATGTTCGCCCAGTTCTGCATAGATGGGGGGGTGGGGGGAGTGTGTGTTTGTCAATTGGCTATGATTGTTCTCATGGCTGTTACGTTGGGTATCCCTAACGAGGGTGTTTGCACCTTTCCATATTTTTGGGACTTCCAGGCCAAGGAGAGAGATGTGTCCAGCGAGCGGAGAGTAAATGTCGGGCCTGGTGTATGTATGGTTAAGGTAGCGGGTTATTAAATGATAGAATCTCTGAATATCGGGACATTCACAGAATGCTTTGCCTGTGTGTCTGGGGTATATCTCGGGTGTATCTGGGAGGAAACTGGGTGAGTTGGTTTTTTTGTTATCATATTTAGATCGAGTGTAGTTCGTTAGATAATAATCCTGGAAATGATTAAATTGTATTTCTCTCAGTGGGGCACCTCAAATGACCCTTCTGAGCCCTTCTAAGTAATTGCCAGTCAGACTGTGCTCTGCCCAGGGGAGTGATCAACGTCTGTGAGTAGTGCGAAACTATTTGAGATTGTATCCTGACTATGATTGCATTATAAGATGTTATAATACAGTTAGTTGTCAGCAGAATAGATAGCACGAAAACATTTTAAAAATTACAGTAGTTACCAAATATGTTTTGGATCATTATAGTACATTTCAGGAGTTATAGATATACACAGGAATATAGTACATACACGCAGGGACACGGGGTCATATATGGAGGGACATAGAGGACTTAATGTACTCCATCGGTGTACCGATGCATCGATCTTCAGCTCATGATATACATGCATCGAATCGCGTGTGTAAGTATCGATTTTCTTCAGTTCATATGTAATGGATTCTCGTGGCCACAAGAGCCAGCTGCATGCACCAGAGAATAAAAAATAATATTCTTGAATAAAATTTCGACCCTGATTCGCGACAATGAATTGAACAGCGAGGGGAGATAATTATTATAACCCTCACAGTCCTACACCCACAGCATCACGAAATCACAAAATCAACATTACATTAAATAAGATACAGGAACATAGTGTATTGCCATAGTGACACAGTGTAAACACGATGGGCACACAAGTACATACAGAGTGCCAATAGTGGCCAGTCTCTGCTAAATGGTCTTACTGTGGTCGTGATGGTAGTGGGGGCCGTTGTGATCCAGGGAACCACGTGGATGAGGACAGTGGCAGTGCTGCTCAGTCTCCTCGTCTTGTCTGCAGTTAAACCTTCATCGCTGATCTTCACCAGCAGCTGGAAGTCTTTGGGGTCATTGATGCCACCAAGATTAAAGTAACTGAACGTTGAGAGAGTCAACACCGAAGGTGGCTTTGCATTGGACTAGCGCGAAACGGCCGTTTGTGTTACCTGGCGTGGGACAGCGAATTTGATTAAAATACTGTATTGTGATATGGTTAATCCTTGATGCAATGGTGGGCAAATGGGTCCTGAATGAAAATTCAAGTAATAAAGTACTGATTTTAATAAACCTGATATTATGAATTCATAGACAGATGACAAGTAGATTATTAAATTTAACAAATACTGTAAATATATTTTTAAAATACTTTCAATCTATGTTTATTTCCTCCATTAAAGCCACACTAGGAGGATATACAGTATTTTATATATCATGCCAAGATAGTTCATTACTGTCTGTAAATCATATTTTCATTTGGACAGAGCACAAATAAGCCAAATTAATTGTAAACAACAAAACACATGAGCTCGACATTCATCAATAACACTGCCCTCAAAGGACACATATAGTACATCACGTTTCGGGCAATGTGCCTTCTTCATAAATGGCGAGGTCAGAGAGTGTTGTAGATGATGTGTGTTGAGTATTTTGTTAGTAGTTTTTTGTGTGCACCAATGCCAAAGCTCGTATCATAAAATTATTCAACCATAATGATTTCTTTGGGTTAGATCGCGTAAATACGTTGGGTTAGATCGCGTAAATACGCGATCTAACCCAACGTAAATACGCGATCTAAACCAACCCCCCCCCTCTATTATGGATGATATTGGTTGCAAAAACCTACGTGTCAAACTAAAATAATTCAAGTAATGTGTATCAGTCAGTAACTTCAACCAGTTGACGGTAGCTGAACGTTTCCAGAGTTTATATGATTGGTGGAAATGTAGTCACCATAAAGCACCCATTAGTGGTACCTACAGTTCACAGATCCGGTACTAATCTAGGGATGCGTTTTGGAATAAACATGACATTTTTCTGACTAATCATTTTATAAAGAACTATTTAAGATATTTTCTGGATGTTAAGATTTGCGGATAATGTACATTGAGTTATCATTTCGATTGTCCTTGTGCTCACCAAGTGACACCAAATTTTGGTAGGAAAAGTCAAACAGTGACACGAATGTAAGTGGTGTCATATCCTGTGATGCCACAATTTGAGATGTATCCCAATCTTTTTCTTGTATCATATCAGATTCATCTTTATAAGATTAAGAATGAAATAGGCTGCTTAATGTGGATGACATTAAATGAAACATTGCAAGCTGTTGTGGAGAATCAAATATAGCTTATACATTTATCAGTGTTGTGTAGACTGGCAGAGGCCATGGCTTCATATAAAAACATATAAACTTCAAAATTATAAAAATGCAACAATCGTTGCTTACCACCGACAATTTCATATTCAAGTTCGCCGTCAAGAGAGTCCACATCATCACACTTAAGCTGTACAACAGATCCTCCTGCTGCCAGCGTGGAGTAAATAGTGATGTCATAGAAGCCCGGGTCACACACGGGAGGCTCATCGTTCACATTCTGTGCAAGAAAACACAAGGCAAACAAAACTCGGTTCCGGGATAGGGTTTCAGGAAATTACAAAGGCTTATACTCCCAGAAACCAAATTCTGTAGATATCGTGCCAAATTTATGTTCACATGTGCCCTGATCAACACGCTGCTGAATAGTATTCAAGGAGGATTAGTCATTTATCATTAAATATAGTGTCCGATGAAAGCAAGGCAAGGGATCTGTATGGGACAAAGGTGAACTTTTAAACATTTTAAATATGTTTTGCATGGTTTTAAAAAACTGCTGCCATCGTTACCACACTGGACTTTCAATTTAGAGGTCGTTGGTTCAATCCCTCTGCGTGGAATTTGAAACAATGTGCTCATTGAATGAATCCATCCTACCACTGTCCACCCAGCAGGATAGCTGGGTGAATCACAGGAAGTACTTCCACCTCTTACACAAAACGCCTGGTCAGCAAGAGTAGACCAAAATACCCGATAGAGGGGCTCTGTAGAGTTTCCTCTCGTCGAGGCCTTTCCACCAGCAGTGGCATCAACAAGACATTGTTGATCTTTAATAAATAGAGTACTGTGTTTTTTTTTTACTTTGGATTTTAGTCCACATTCTCATTATGATGTAATAGTAATTTAACACGCAAACATATGCCTAATTCTAAGCTCCTTATCAGTCTAGTACTGGATGGAGTCTTTCCCACGACGTGTCTGTCTGCCATGCGAATTGCTTGACCATACTCCGCAATGTCGGTCAGTGCAGATCGCTGAAGGGGAAGACTAGGACCAGTTCAGATGTGACTGCCACTTATTTTTAAATCCTTTATATTAAGTTCGCTTGCTTGCTTGCGTGCTTGCGTGCTTGCTTGCTTGCTTACGACCGTGCAAATCTTTCGGTCGTTTTTTAACCCACTTCCCGTGATCCAATCGAGCTGACATTTTGCACACAGACTCGTTGTGCGAGACAATGTTCGTGAAATTTTTTTTCCAAAATTTTACACTGTTTAGGGAAAGCAAATTAAATATTTAATTACCAATTGCTTAATACTGGCAGACAATCATCTAACCCATAGGTGGCAGCCATCTCAAGCCAGAGGACGAGAGGACTCTAGCCGCCATGCATATAAAGGATTTATAGTGAAAAACTTTGTTTTTACGGGTTATACTTATTATATTCTATGGCAAGGCGAAATGAGAAACGTTATCTGTGTGCACATCGAGGTTATTAAGCCATTCAGTAGCCTCTGTGGAGGCTTGTTGGATGTCGGTCATGTTGGCAATGAATGAGCGGTGCAGGCAGTGTGGGATCACGTGATCCATGGTCCGGCTCTCGCGACTGCAGTCACATTCCCGACTGTTCTTCATTTTCCATCAATGAAGCGATTTAGAGCTGACCCCTGTTTCCTGGGTAGGTCAAACCCCATAAGTCCTTGTGTGGGGTCAGTAACCAGCTCCATGTTTGTGACGGTGGTGATGCGGCATGGTTACCGTCACTGTATTATGGCCACTGATCAACCGAGTGAGCTGAGTTATCTTCCCGGTTATAGCTACATCATTACTGCCACTGATGTTATGGCTATGAACATTGATATAACTGAGTTAATCATGTGATGCGCAAACCACTGCACCATGTGTCCACCCCAATGCAGATAGTAGCTGTGAAATTGTTTTGCAAAGCTGCCTAATTTACTGAATATATTATAAGTAGTATTGTTTTAGTTATTAGATCTTTTGATTGTTACAAGCTATCACGTTTTTTGTTTCTTCGGAATACCTTACTTGCTTTAAAATTGATAAACAAAATTAATTACTGAAATGCTGTATTTTGTCGTGCATTTAAATATGTGATGACACATTGCTATCCTGTAATCATGCCACAGCCGTTTCTATATCATTTAATATTTGGCATTGAAGAGTTTCAAACCCATACCGTTTCAGAAAAAAAATAGGTCTCTCTGAATTAGATACCTCTGCCTATAATACAGGGAAAAATATGAAATAATAATAGCAATATGGATTGCATTTGTAAAACTGAATGTGATAATAAAAATGCTGCATGCCATTGTACCTGAACGGGAAAGTTTCAAACAGTGCAAATGGCTTCCTGTTATGTATGAATCAAAAACATGGACACTGCCAAAGAAAATGTGATGCAAAGAAACGTTCTAAAACGTTTTCAAAGAAGCATGGATAGATGCATATCTGGAAATTCAATTAAGAGATATATATAAAAAAAGAAGAGCACATGGACCAGGGAACGCACGCAAGTCACGGGTATTATATTGGCTGTCAAGAAAAATGGGCCTGAGCAGGACACATCACTAGAATCGGATGAGGGGCGATGGACAAGACTGCGGACAGAATGTCATCCAAAGGAGAGAACACCCCAAAGAGGTTGGCCACGGGGGAGCTGGAACGACGAGGACATCAGGCAATGTCAAGGAGTGCGATGGATTGTGGCAGCACAGGACCGCGACGACACGGGGGAGGTCTTTGTGCATCGATAGATAGACAATGGCTGATGATGAAGATGATGATGAATACGATTACACAATGAGCTACACATTGTGTGCATGTGGGGCAAAGTTGTGAGTGTGGGCGGTGCGTCTGCCACTCACCAAATCTAATTAACCCATACCAGAGGTGGGACAAAGTCATTGTTATGCAAGTCCAAGTCGAGTCTGAAGTCATCAAATTCATGACTCGAGTCTGACTCGAGTCCAAGTCACATGACTCGAGTCCACACCTCAGAGGTGGGACAAAGTCATTGTTATGCAAGTCCAAGTCGAGTCTGAAGTCATTAAATTCATGACTCGAGTCTGACTCGAGTCCAAGTCACATGACTCGAGTCCACACCTCTGACCCATACCAATTGTGACTGTTCTGTGACCTTCTCGTGAAGTGTTACATCGTTTTACATATTTGCAAATGCGTGCCAGCGACTATTAAAACATTCACATGTTTTCATACCAGTATTACGATTTGATAATCCTGGAAGATAGTCTTAACGTTTGTAGGATCCGTGTCTTGGTCAAAGTCCTCCACCTTAATGGTTACTCGGTATGTGGCTTTTGTCTCTCTGTCAACTGGATTTAACAGTTTAATAATACCTGTGAAGACAAACATAGAGCGTATGCTTACTCAAGTGGCACTCGTTATAATATTCATCGTATCCGAGTGTCATTTATACAACCGAGAAGGCTCCCAATCATGATTTAGCATTTCTAATTGAATCCCATCCTTAATATGATCTTTTGAGCCACATCACACAGCACGTCCCCATGCTTAACGCCTTTAAATGACCATTGAGGCAATGCTCATCTGCTGTTTACAAGCCTGAGCCAGTGGTGGAAATTCCACATTCCTATGATGGGGGCGAGTCTCTCCATGGGACAACAACTATTCATTTCCCCACAAAGTGGTACTCGTGTCATTCGTCCATCAGGGATAATGGGCTGGGTCTACCCCCCCCAAACTTGGATTTTGAACTAACAATTTTCTGATGAGGCGCCTCTCAGCCTTGCCGCCGAACCACTTGATCGGATTGAGAAGCAATGCTGAACTACATGATGAAGTCTTCTTGGTTCTTTCGGTAAAGTCACGTAGAAGGGAAGTAATAAAATAATAAAAATAAAACATAATAAAATAGTATAATAAAATAATATAATAAAATAATATACGTGACTTTACCGAAAGAACCAAGAAGATGAATCCCTGCAGTCACGAAAGCTTTAAATCGAAATACATGATGAAGTTTTACAATTGAAAAAATACTCTCTGTGCTTGTCAGGCAAGCTTTTTGCATTTGTTTTCGGGCTAAAATGACAAGAAATCCATTGTAAATTGTGTTGTTTCTGTCGTTTCTTTTACTCCAAAAAATTACTTGCGTAGCCAAATGCACCATGAAATAAGTTCGATGAAAGACATATTTTCGACTTTCACAACTGGTTTTATTTTGACAGTGCTCACAGCGCACAAAAGCCGAAGGCGTCATGGGCCACTGTTTGGTTGCTACGTTAGGCAATGTTTATGCACGCAATTGCCTTGTATGTGGAGCATTTGTACAATATAACCAACACTTCACAGTGCAAACATGACCTCAGGGTTATATAATTGGGTTCTTAAACAGCTCTGCTTGATCCTTTCATGGATGCAGCTTTGATGTCAATGGCAACCATGTGAATTCCCATTTTCACAAGTAAATTCTACAAGTGTTTGTTTTACTTGGTAGAATTGCACAACTTAATAATGAAGACAATATTATCCATTTGAGTGGATTAAAAGTTAAAAAGATTCAGGTTTTACTTCAGTGGTCTTACTTACCAGATCTGATGCCATTGTTATGTATGAGGGGTAAGTTTAGAATGTACAAGTATTAGATTTCAAATTTTCTCATTTGTTAATACAATTAGAAATATTTTTACATTTTTCGCTTATTTTTAGTTAAATACAAAAAGTAAACTGTCTTCACGCTAACCATAATAGCATTACCAGATGCCACGTGACAGAAGTGATGGAATGTTCGTGACGTTACTTCCGCTTTTCAAATCAATCAGAAACAAAACATCTGGTTAATCTGAAAATCACGAGCACATTCCTCTTATGCATGTTCAATTCTCTGCAAATCATCCCGCACAAGGCAAGTATGGCATCTATAAAAAATAACAGCAGATGCTAGTTTAGCTGACAAACTCGGTAATGCTAAGACAAAGGAAGTTTAAATAGCCTATTATCATGGACACCGACACAAACAATTTGCAATCCACCTGGCTGGTAGGTTTTCATGCAGGAATATTAGGAAATTGTCCTCCTAAAATGTAAATATAAGCACTCATCTATGAATGCTCAAATAGCATGCACATTCTCACTCTTGGACATGAACACAGGTATGGAATATAATTTAAAAAAAACTGACCAGTCTTGGGATCGATGTAGAAGTGGGCTGAGCCATCGATCATCGAGTAGCGCAGATTATCCAATGGATAGTCCTGGTCTGTGCACGAGGGTTTGTTCGGTGAAACACTGTCACCCACCTTCTGGTCTTCGAAAATTGAAAACCTCACTGGCCCCGTACATACAGGTGAAAACTCATTCACGGGGGTCACGACTACGATCACTGTCACCGTCGCTGTGTGTGAGTGTCAGGGAGGCACGTACATGATTGTGTTAACATGAATAATGATGTCATAATTCTCATACATAAACATTGTATTTACTATATTATTCATCTGTTCCATCTGTATGGGATATAGTGTTGCCCCCTCACACCCGTGGGTTGTCTCTGAGTGCTCCAGTTGCCTCGCACATGCTTAGACACTTTGACTGAAAATATTTTAAAGTATATTCAGGACTCTTTGGTTCTTTCGGGAAAGTCACGTAGCTACAAAATAAATAAATCACGACGTTTCGGGCGCAACACAAGCGTCCGTCATCAGGTGGGAAAGCAATAATTCTCATACACCTGATGACGGACGCTTGTGTTTCGCCCGAAACGTCGTGATTTATTTTATTTTATACCTACGTGACTTTACAAAAAGAACCAAAGAGTATGGATTCTTGCAGTCACGAAAGCTTCAAATCAAGATTGTATTCAGGACCACAGCACTTGGACAATCGTCGGTGCCGGACCATCGTGCGACGACCTGTCAGCTTGTCTGTGGTGAATCGCGCCTTCTCTCTCTCTCCGAAATTAAGCAAATGCAGCATTGTGTGGCATGTGACAAGTTGATTTTAATAAATTGTCATATATTTAAAATAAATTAGCCATTCAGGGTGGCTTGGGATCTTTCCTCCCACTACTCTTAAAACATTTAATTCACTGCTTTTTTTATATACGAACCTTAAGAAGTATAAACATAGTCTGATGCGACCTTGGCAACTTGCAGTGACCCAGGGTTTCAACTACACCGGTTGCGAAGATATTTTTCATGAATTTTTAAAAGATCATTAGGATGATATCATCAGTCGTTGTATTCACTTACCTGTCACAATGTCATTTGTCACGATACCAAGTATTACATTTCACGACTTGGTGATTATCGCAATATTAGCTTCCCTAAGTTTGATCTAGATTTTCACATTTGCTCTCTATATGATCCCCAACAAAAAAATTACGTAACTCCCTGCAAAATAAACTGAAACCAGTTAAATCATTTTCAGAAGACTGATATATTTTACGTAAAAAAAACGAGTTTTCTTACACGTCAGTGAGATATTAACTCCAAGGTCATAAACCTCTATTTTCAGATTGTACTTGTAGTCCACAGATGCCAAATCCGCCGTGTCATAATCCAAACTTGAATTTATCTGAGAAAAGAACACGAAACAAGGTCATGCCACCCTCCGATTAGCACGGTTTGGCTACGTATGCTGTGAAAGAAGTTCAACATACATACATACAACATGCTACCGATTGCCTTGACAAAAAATTTAACCCGTAAAAACAATGTTTTTCACTATAAATCCTTTATATGCGTGGCGGCTAGAGTCCTTTCGTCCTCTGGCTTGAGATGGCTGCCACCTATGGGTCAGATGATTGCATGCCACCATTAAGCAATTGGTAATTAAATATAATATTTTTGTCCTTAAAAGTGTAAAATTTTGGAAAAAAATGTATCGAACATTAATTGTCACGCACAACGAGTCTGTGTGGAAAATGTCAGCTCGATTGGATCACGGGAAGTGGGTTAAAAAACGACCGAAAGATTTGCACGGTCGTAAGCAAGCAAGCAAGCGCGCAAGTGAACTTAATATAAAGGATTTAAAAATACAATTTCATGACTTGGAGAGGATATTATTATTATTTTATTTTTATTAATTTTAATTTCATTTTTTACCTACGTGACTTTACCGGAAAAAACTAAGAGTATGAATCCTTGCAGTCACGAACGCTTCAAATCTAGAATTGGAGAGGATACTTTAAATCATTCGCTTCCCATTACTCCCATTGTAATATCATATTTATTAAGGTGACAGAGTAACGCAGTTGATCGTAACCTAACATGGCCATGCAGTGCAATCTGTTACCACTGATGTTTTGTGTTTCTCCTCCATAAATCAGTGCAGCTCAGCAACAGGCAGCTGCTCTAAATACCTTGAGAGTAGCTTCTGTCATTGCAAAGCGCCCTTCTGAGTTCGCGTCAGTGCTGAGACTATATTTCAGCACATTGTTCGGTGATGTCACATCACGATCTGTGCAGGATACATCCACGACAGCAGAAATTTCAGGCGTGGTCTCTGGAATCTGCAATCTTTACAATGGAAAAAAAAAACCACGTGAGAAATAGATGTTGGTTAACACTACACAAAGGCATCCTTAAACAATTTTTGGTTTTATATACGTGTACAAAGCTGCAATAAAATGAGTTCGTATATATGGGTAATTGTTGTTCTCTCACGTGCACTATCTACGAGTCGTAATACGTACATGCGTTGGTAATAAGAGCAGACTGGCGGATTGTCGTTGATGTCCATCACGTAGACTGTGAGATTGAGCGTAACGCTGCGTTGGTGAATGTAGTTCGTCGCACGAACCAGTATATAGTTACTCTGGAGCTCAGGTTTGTCGTCTACGTCCAGCTTGAAGGCTGTTTTCACTTCCCCTGTGCCTAAAAGAGCCGCAAAACAGCCACTTAAAGCGAGCAATCAATAATTGCGATGTCAGGTCAATTAATTTTCTTAAGGAGTGTTTTTTTGCATGTGTGAGGAAAGCAAATAGTGGCTGGGGAAAACCCACACGCATGAGGGGGCGACACTCATAGGTCAACCACAGGCAGGGTTGACACAGATGGGTTTTCACAAACCATATTTGCATCATATTCTTGGTTCTTTCGGTAAAGTCACGTCGAAGGGAAATAATGAAATAATATAAAAACAATAAAAATTCTCACGACGTTTCGACTGCAACATAAGCAATCGTCATCAGGTGTGACATCCAGTTGCAGTCGAAACGTCGTGAGAATTTGTATTGTTTTATATTTATATTATTTTATTATTTCCCTTCTACGTGACTATACCAAAATAACCAAGAATATGAATCCCTGCAGTCACGAAGGCTTTAAATAAAAAAAATCATATTTGTATCCACGACTTAAATTGTAATCCACCAACCGTTACCCCCAATCGACTGGATTACAGACAACCTACCACTACGCCCAGCTACTTAAGCACATGAAGTGCGCTGTCAGATGGCAAAGCAAATGCAATGTATACTGCCTTCACCTGTAGCACAGATGAGCAAACATCTTGCACGCAGGTTACGTCTTACGCGTTCCGCCCCACAAGAATAGTCATTAGGCCTAGGTTTTAGGCATGGCTGCAAAGTTTGGTCGTACATGTTATGTATATCGTTTATTGTTAAATTTGAATCACAGTTCCTATGATCACTGTTACATTGTTTTTTTCGCTTTATTTTGGTGATTTTGAAAACGTTTTGGTTTAGCCATGTTTGTTTGTTGTAGTACAGACTTAGCCTGATAACTTTAATCTATATTGTCTTACGGTTATTATTGTTTGACTTGCATCCCACTGAGATTTTTGCACACAGCGTTGAAATACGGTGTTTTTTCTGGAAAACTTTGCTGTTTTTTCCAGGATTTTTCTGGTGCGTGTAGTCACTTTAAGATGTTTCTTGTTTATGTTTTTGTTTTGTTGCGGTTGCACCCGAGTCAAGAGCTGCATGACTCACAGGGTTATACCTAATAAATGAACTGAACTGAAATCATCCTTTCATTACTCGATTATAATGAATACAAAAATGCACAAAAAGGGACAACTAAATTACTCTGTACATATCGTTTACTGTCTGCAGATTAGCTGCAGAAAGGGAACAGTGAGATGGGGGGGGGGGGATAAGTTCTTCTCAGGCGGAAGTGGGATGGGAATGGAGATGTATGTTCTCGAAAAGAAATGTTCTCATCTCTCTCTCTCTGTGTAGCTCAGCACAAACATCGATCGGGCATTCTAACATTATTCTCACATTAATCTGAGAGGCGTGTTTAGTGCAGTCCGCTTCACCTGGAGTTATATAAAACCCTTCCACAGGGTTCACAAATGAAAAGAACACTTTGGTATCGTTGACTGCAACTACAGTCACCAGATGGTCTTGCGGTTCTTCTTCTGAAATCCAAAAGACCCTCTCTGATGGAGCCCTAAAGAAACATCGACGCACATTCGAATGCATGTTGTGATTAAGCCGCATCTGGTTGGTAGAGGTGGAATATTCCTTTTGCTGATTTTCTCTATACAGAACACCGGGATAGTGCTGTGAAAGGTTTGACTTTTAAAAGCCATATGTTGACTTTTGCTTGATGGCAATATAATTCATGTTGTGATTTGCTATAGTGGTTTTGCAATACATGATATAAAACTAAGTTTGTATGGCAGATTCAGTAAACATAATAACTTGAATGGTTTGATGTACATCAAAGGTGAACATAGAGCAATTCGAAAACATTTGTAGACACAACTCTACACGGAGATGTTGCACATATCATTGTGCATGTACGAATTATACATCTTCTTCAAAGTAACACCCAACATGAGCAATAGACTATTTTTTTTATATGACCGTACAATGACGTGGGCCAAACATGACCGAGCTTCACTCCATTATTGCTTGGATCCATGAAGAAACAGTGTGTGTGTATCCGAGCTACATATCTTACGTAAAGACTAGATCGTTGTCGTCCAGATTTACGACTGTAACAGTCAGGGTTAGGTTGCACGAAAGGCCATTTTGGTCCTTGACCATAATGTCCAGCAAGAAATTCTGAAAGATAAAACGTGACAATGTTTGTGCACAATAACCAAATGAATATTTACATTTTTTTTCTTTTAATGTCAATTAAAGCATCAATGTTATCAGTTTTTGTGTTTTACATAATTCTAGATTTTTTAATATATTTCATAATCAGTTAGCTATGTACTCAAAAAGCTTAAGATCACTTAAGATTTGTAGTATATATGCAGGCATCCCTCGCATACCGCGCGTTCCTTACAAACAGCGCATAAGTGGAATCGCGTTGTATTAAGCCTATTTTCCCATATACATGCATGTTATAAGGGGGGTTGCGTTACGGAAGTACAATTTTATTTAATTATTTTTATCCCTGGATTTACAAAATACGTATACATTTTCTTGGTTCTTTCGGTAAAGTCACGCGTGACTTTACCGAAAGAACCAAGAAGATGAATCCCTGCAGTCACGAAAGCTTTAAATCGAAACGTATACATTTAATATGTAATTATAACATCATTAACATTACAAAGATTACATAATAAGGAGTCAATTCAAGGGCTTCTTGCACGCTTCCGTGGGCTGCTTGCAGCAGCAGCAGCACGCAATGCAAACAAAGGCAGCGGATCTAAGTTGGCTACGCCCAGCCCGTGACACTGGGGTGCTGCCGTGACGCGGTTAACGCCCTCGTGAATTTATATTTTTTTCTTTCTGTGAAGTTTTATCACTGAAAATAAAAAAAATTGACGACTTTTTTTTACTGAGGACGTAACTGTGAAACGAATAGCATAAGCATGAAGTATGTCCCCTAAAGATGGAACTGCGAATTCACGCCTGTATGTAAAATCCTTGTTATATAAGGAAATATGTTGCCAGCATTTCATCCATAAAGTTCAAAACAGTTGTCTAAGTGTAATTATTTTATGATGGATGATACCGTTATATGCACCATCTACGTTTACCTTGATGAACACTTGAAAAAAGTATTCCCTATTATTAAAGGATGACAACTTTTCGACAATATGAACCGCGTTGGTGCACTGTTATCAGAATATTCCTTCATATATATTGTGGCACAGACGATTTGGAAACAATCTCAGCCGAGATATTCTTTGGGTCTTTCGGTAAAGTCACGTAGATAGGTTCAAAGAAAATAACAAAAATAGCAAAAAAAAAACTACGACGTTTCATCATCAGGATGACGGCTGCTTGTGTTGCGATCGAAACGTCGTATTTTTTTGTTATTTTTGTTATTTTCTTTGAACATATCTACGTGACTTTACCGAAAGACCCAAAGAATATGAATTCCTCCAGTCACGAAAGCTTTAAGTCAAGACTCAGCCGAGATGTTAGCGAACACATGGAATTCTCTCAAATCTCGGTGTCACACATGTTACCAACGCCACGGCGAACATGCAGCGGTTTAGAGGGATGATAATCGTGCAATAATGCCTCACATGACCAAGTGTGTGTGTAATGTCTAATGGGGAGAGGTAGTGCAGCGGTTACCACACTGCGTTACAAACCCGGCGACATAAGTTCGATTCCCGCTCATGGCCAACACCAGTGACAATTACCTGAACCGGTCCTGGGCCTCCCCTACGTCGACTCAGCCTCAACTGAGTACCTGGTGCGGTGTGTAAACTTTGCCACTAGGGAGACAAAGGCGGTCGAGTTCGGTGCTACCCACCCACCCACCCCCTTGTGTGCCGTTCTGGCCTTCATAGGTGCTCGCTAACAGCACTTGCCCCAACAGCCTCTTAATGCTATAGACAGGGCGCTAAACCCCGATCTTGCTCTTAACCCTTTGCCTTTCCGATGACGTATGTTTAAGTCATCAGTTTTTCTTCCGATTCTAAATGAAACCAGAATAAAAACTAAAATAAAATAACGTTATCGGTACCGAGGCTCCCACAAGGCCATGCGGGAGGGCGTGTGGCACAGTTTGGCACCACCTTTCATTGAGTGCGGACGTGTCACTACAGTTCTATGCGGTGAGTACAATGTCTTTAAAAACAGTGGCGCTATGCCACTCAAATATAAAATTAACACTGAGCCACTTGCTTGTTCCGAGACGCAGAGGTGAACGGAATCCATAGCTCATCCTTAGCCACCAATGGGCATCAACATCACCTTTTATTTTCAAAAGCAGGGTGAAAACCCACCCGTTTAGGTTTGATGGGCACGTGACTGCTCACGCAGGGACCAATCGCGCGAATGAAGCTTGATTTGTATGAATTGAATCCCACAACTGGTAATAATGATGATGATGATGACGTACAAGTGGCTCGGAGTAGACCAGACCACACAAGTGTGGTTTTGTGAAGATGTCACGTGTGGGTGTAGTATCTCACCATGTCTGCGTTGCAGTCAAAACCAGCCGAGGACACCGTCAACATTCCTTGAGCTTCATTAAAGTTGAACTGGCTCAGGCCGGATACTGGTTCAACATTTAGCAAGGAGAACTGCAACCATCAAAAATATGATAACATTAAATGTGTTCACATGCTGATGCCGATTAATTTATAAAAGAGAGTACATTCTGTGTCTTATTTGGACACAAAACTCTCAACTGTTAATGTGAAAGTACATATCCCATTGCTTTCTTGCATGTAGGATATATTCGTTAATTATATTTGTAGGTTGAACTTCCTTCGCATCGTACGTAGCCAACCATGCAAATCGGAGGTGTGGGGTAATGACAATAAACTAAACACAAAATTCAGTTATAATGAAACTTGTTTAAATCTAGTGCCTAGCTCCAGTGGCTTCCTGATATCAGAAGGAAGAGCATTCCAGACGGCCGCAGAAGTGCATAAAAAAAACCCCTTTTAAATATTGGACATTCTATTGGTACATTATAATTACAGTTAGAATGTGAAACAAAATACAGCCCTATTTAAATACATTTCTGAATGAAGGCCTCCTCACCCTGCGTCACAGCGGACTAACTGCAACACGGCAGCAGCGCTCTCCAGTTACAGAGGCACGGACAGAAGTGACGTTAGAAATGCATGAATCAGTGGCAGGTGCTTGGTGGGCTCTGACTTACACTGACGATGTCAACATAATCTGGATCGGTGGCTCTAACTCTGTAGACGATTGTCGCGTGTGGTGCATCCTCTAGAATGTGAATGTGAGCGCCTGAAACGTTCAGTAAAAGTGAGACAAAAAATTACCTTAAAAAACAAGCATCAAATAAAAAAAATTTGTACACAGGCTGCAAATGCGCCATACCCATCGCAAACCATCACTCTTTTAGAGTTGAACCATGTTATAATAAACCAATTATTGCTTTTATAAAGCTATCCAAACAAATTATAGTAATTTTTGTCACAAAAATCATACATATATTTTGGGTACAGTGCAGCATTGAATATAATATCATTAAAAACATTGTCATACATACTTCGTGTTTGTATTCGGTTTGGGTTTGTTAAATGTGTCTCCCATGTCACCCATGGGAAAAAAATAACATGATTCCCGTGTTGCAAATCCGAAAAACTATATCATGAATGCTACTTAAATAAGTTGAGTTTTTTTACAGTTACGTAATTATCAGGAAATAAATCATATCAGTAATTTGCACCATTAATGTTGCACGGAAATAAAAAAAAAGTGGAAATCAACAGGAAAACATTGGTTGTCCCTTCACTAATTACTGATAAATATTAAATAACAAATGCAATTGCTTTTTTCCCCTCTTACATTTTTGTCGTTGTTGCCTTTTTCCACAATTTAATCTCAAATATGTGATCGGCCATCATTGCATGAGACGGAGAAATGCATTTGGGTCTCTGGCAGAGCGGTTGACTCGCCATGTATGAGAGATACTTCTTTACACGTGTTTTTTTTCATCATAAGTTGAATCACACATGTACTGAAAAACAACACACTGACCTGCTGGGAATTGATCACTGCAGATCGGGGGCTCGTTAACATCAGTCACCTCAATGAAGAATACTTCTGAGCTGGTGCCATTGACATTTGTGACTGACACAGTCATGTTGTACTGATTCAGAGTTTCAAAGTCCAGCAGATTTACACCGATCAGGGTCACCTGGATTCAAGAATAAACCAGAGAAAACCACATCAATAGAATGTTCAATATTTAAAAGGCCTTATTTTTAAACCAACGACAAAGACAAAAGCACACTTTATTTACATTTCACTTGGTGAGAACCAATTGAGACAAGGGGCTAAATCCATATAGTAATTTTGGCCATTATTCCAACCACGTTTTGACATCAAACCTGCCTCATTCTGTATTTTGCTAATTATCTGGGGGGCCGACCATTATGCAACTACTCATTGTGCACACTTGGGATCACCAATAGTGTGGGGATAGGGAAAGAGCCATTGATCGTGAACATTTTTCATGCAATTGTGGATACTCCCCACCACTGAAAGGAAATTGTGTCTTGCACAAGGAATGCAGAGAGGGCCTGGCATGTTATTCTGCTCGAATTCATGAGTGTGATTGTCAGCTCCATGCTGCAACATTTTCAGTGTCGACACAAAATGTTATCGCTGTAAACTGTGCTGCACGACAGCACAGTTACCGAGGAGATGGAACGATGAAATCAATTTGCATGCGAGTGCTTGGTGGATTCTGTCATCGCAGAAACTGTTAGGCGGAAATTAGTAGGGAAGGCCATCGTATAGCCGATCATTGAACATGGCTGATGATGATGATGAAAATGTGATGAAAGTGGCAGAATGGAGACAATCACACTCGAAGAGATGATAAAGATGAAGAAATTGATGTTGATAATGATAGCAATGCCATTGAACATTGTGTTGGATAAAATGATGAAATATGATTATGTTAACGATGCTGCTGAGGTTGACGATTGATGATGACATCGTTTTGCTGTTACCCCTGTTGTCGCTACGACTGCTGCTGATGTTGCTTCTGATATTGCAATTTCAATACCCTCTCTTTTTTAGGCTACGTTATGAGTATATTGAGAAAGGGAACATATGCCAGGCCTCAAAAAACAACTATGCCATTCCCTTAAAAATGTGAGCACTGCACTTTAGAATCGGAATATTATTCACAAACTTAAACAAAACAACCGTATTACATAAGTGTACGACGTAAATGTTTTTTTTTTATCATTGTTGGGAAAATATAATGTACTTGCCAAGTTGAAATTCACCTGCTTACAATAATTTAAAATACAGTAGATCTAAATATAAAAACATGATGTCCTCAGTCATATCAGTACATGTTTAATAAGTTTGGTTTTGTAAACATAACAATAATGAATAACCATTACGCTTTACCTCCACAATGTAAACTCCAGGACCAGGAACGTTTAATTGAAACCATCTCAGCTGGAAAGGTGATGTCGGGGTGAGTACAACATTGTCAATGGTTTCATTTGGGAAGCTGATTTCAAAAGTAGCCACCAACGTCTGAGCAGCGCTGTCTTCTGGTATAGTGAACACAGCTGGAATAAGATTAAAGTCTGACACGCATGCAAATGTAATGTCAATGGCAATAACGACGTTAATTAGACATATTCCATCCAGATTCTCACGAACCCATCACATGTATATAAACATGTTTTGACTGAGCAAAATGTTTCACAAAAAAAACCGTGTGAAAAGCCTGTAAGTTATTAAAGTTTATCGGCAGACAACATAGTATCACCTTGTAATATACTAACCTCTGAGATAAACCCACTTTGTACATGACACATGCTTTGTTGAGGCTCTGCCAAAGGCTGTATCTGCACTAATGCACAGACTAATGCAACAACGTTTTCCGTAACTCAAGTGTTTCCAGATATAAAAACACACCTCTTGGCACCGCACGCGATAATGTGCTCGAGACATGCAAAAACACTTAACTAATGTTGTTTGGAGAGTGAATAATGTTGCATTAGAAACTCACCAGGCTTAGCAGAAGTTCCTGGCAAGCCTGAACACAAAGAGAAAGAACCGATTTTTTTTTTAAACACATTAAATAATAAAAAGTCGCTGCCCATGTTTATTAAATAAACCTGAGAAATTATGTGTTTATATTACCATATTATGTGCGCAATATTAAAATAATACAGGATGTCCATAAAAATATCACACATATACGTTAAAACAATTGTAATGAGACAACAGTTCGGCTTGAGCACATGAATGTTGAGCTTTGGCGAAAGATAAAGTATATGCCAAAAAGAAAATGAGAATCTTGAGTGGTCTTCAACGGCACGGAACGGAAGAATTTGTAACAATCTCACCCAAGTTCTTGTGAACACTTGGGACTCCCCCGACACATCTCCATAGCATGTCACCAACGCCATGCCAGCCATGTGGAGGCTTAACAGCGAAATCAAACTACGATGTCATCTTCTTGGTTCTTTCGGTAAAGTCACGTAGAAGGGAATTAATAAAATAATAAAAATAAAACATAATAAAATAATTCTCACGACGTTTCGGCTACAACGCAAGCAGCCGTCTTCACCTGAAGACGGCTGCTTGCGTTGTAGCCGAAACGTCGTGAGAATTATTTTATTATGTTTTATTATTTTATTACTTCCCTTCTACGTGACTTTACCGAAAGAACCAAGAAGATGAATCCCTGCAGTCACGAAAGCTTTAAATCGAAAAACTACGATGATGAAATCTCAACACGACCAGGTCTGAGGGAGTATCGTTGTTATCCACATAACACAAACCGCAGCCCAATTATAATTATATAATAACGAGACACTACCTTTACGAATACATTTGTATGTTCACGGCAGTGTTAACATACATGTACGGTAATTATGCAGATGCAATTGCATCGCGAATTAAATGTTGTTATGATTACCCCCCTCATCTCCCTTTTTTATTTCTCCTTCTCCTATAGAGGTAATCATCGCTTAGGAAGACACCAGGGTTGTAGAGTTTATTGAAACTGTTTTATTTAAACATGCGGTTTAGACAGGTTACTATTTCACTGTAATACATAATACGTTTGTGCTGGTGTCAACCTGCTTTCATTTCCTCTGCGTGCACCTGATTCGTCTTGTTAATAAAAAATCCGTCTGAACAAAAATGTCTTACGATTAAGTCAGGGGAAGGGAAGACAAAACCAATGACAGTTCTTACCACAGAGTATGACGCAGCAGGAAAAGCAGAGCGATGCAATCTTCTGCTCCATGAGCGAACTCACAGGTGCCCCAATCCGCCGAATTTAAGCCTCACCACACTCACAGCTCACCTCCAAGTGCGCGCCGAGACGCGACTTTACTTTAAAAAATAAATTAAAGTATATCCTCAACAATCACACAACCTGCCCGACGATTACTCGAGCCAACCAGATCCGACTTAGCAATGCATCCTTCAGTTCTTATAGCAACCCGAGGCTAAATTGCTTTAGAATGTATTTAACCGCAAACATTTCGTGAGGTCGGGGGGTGTGGGGGGCATAGATTGCTTTCTGTTTTTACTGGCCGACAACTGCTTTATGCTCTTGGGACGGGTATTTCAACTGCTGGCTCTCATCGTGTCAATAACTATCCGTGTACATTTATATATTTTTTACGGTGTTTGAGCTCGAGGTGGGTAATGAGGAAAGATGTTCGTTACCGTGGCTGACTCGCTTGCCATAAATGTTAATCAGGGGGACGCTGTTGCTACAGAACGAATCCAAGGGTTAACAGTTCAAGGCACACTTGCTTTATTGATGATATGTTGCAAAACAAGGAATATTCAGGGTTTGTTCTAGAACGTAATGCAGGGCACACACAATTTGAGTTTAGTTTGTTGTTCCTTCCCCCGCACCTTCGATTGGCACGGTTGAATACGTACGGTGCGAATGAAGTTCAACAACAAACATGCATATGTTAATGCAAACAAAATGTACGTATATCATTAATGTACATTCTTGAAAATAAACTTCCACATTACAGCAAATAGGTGACTTTGCATATGAAGATCATCGAATTTACTGAGTCCAGAGCTACACCAATACACGCAACACAGGGGATTTGCTCACACATTGTGCTTAAAGAGAATATAGTGGTTGAGATGAATACAGTACAGCATATGAATACTGGCCTCCCAAGTTAGGATGTATCACCCCACAGCACTGCAATACTTGAATACATGGACTAAAATTGGTCGTTTATTAAGACAGGTCAACTATAACTTGGGTTACAATTATATAAATATACTGTGATATCTATTGAAATCCATAATAATCGTATGTTCCGTATTGCAAAAAAAAATGCAATTAAATATTTCTTAAATATTTTATTTCCTCGCATGTTTTTAATGAAATAGCAATTACATAACTATTATTAATTTTAATTATAGCTTGACAATGTTTTCCACACTAATGGGTGGCATGGTGATGATATTTTATAATTTTCATAGTTTTTCGTGCAACGAGCAGAACTTCTGATATTGAAGGACATATTGAAGTCGTGATGATAAATACCTACTGCATGGCAGTCTCTAGTGAACTGCAATTACGCAATTTTGTATTTGTGACTGTAAATATAGTAAAGCGCACTAAAATACAATAGTAATTTTAAATACGATTACGAAGTTACGGGACACGTATATGAGTGCCAATCATCATATCATGAAATTTGATGTCGCATTGTTTCGTGAAATATGATATCGCAGCAGTCATCATGACGACACAGCCTTTTCTCTGCGCGCATTCAAACGACTGACAAATTGATGACGTGGTCAGATTTGACAGGCCATTTCCTCGTTCAGTGAGTACATTTTGAAATACGTGGAAGGCAAATTTAATGCATAGTGGCACGTGCAGGCCTTCAAATAATACCAAAAATACGTATTTATCAAATGGTATTTTAAAAATACCACAAGCCTATTAACGCAATGCAGTATTTGTGGTTGTAGCCTGGTTTAGTAGACTTAATGAACATTATGGGGGGGGGGGGGGGAGAAATATACATTCACACAAGCGCAAATGGTGTGCATGCACACCGGTTATATAGCACACAAAATAAACGAAGCAATGCTGGCGTAAATGTCCTGATGAGACATTCTATACTGTTTCGTCATCGCGAAACGGAGGATGGGAATGCTTCCTTATACCCACAAACGCTTCCCATTCCAGCTGTTGAAGAGGTATTCTTTTCCTGAAACTAAACAACATAAACAGAAGAAGCTGTGATCCTGCGTTGGTAGTGGTGCTTACGTACAAATAACAACATATTTGTCATATCCGTTATGAAGAAGGGCCATTGTTTGAAACCTTGCCTCATTTTTTTGGGAAATGTTATTAATGAATGTGTTGAGGTCTTTAACAATTTCAAGATTTGCTCAACTGTCTACAAACACTTCTGACTTGAACAATGTAAATACACGCTTCATGCGAACATATACAATAACCACGTGTTAATTAATATTGCCATTAAATCATATTTTTAAACAAAGCTCTTTGTCTAATACATGTATTGTTAAGCATACCTGGATCGACAGCACGTCCGTCAAACACATTTTGATCCTGTTCATGAACCACGGTCAGGAATAGAAGAAAGATCATTAATATTAGGAATCATAATGCAAAAAGCTCATTACTTAAACATTTAAAACGATGGTAAATTGTTGAGACATTAAATTTAGATTTAAAGCTTTCGCGACTGCAGGGATTCATAATCTTGGTTCTTTCGAGAAAGTCACGTAGAAGGGAAATAATAAAATAATTAAAATATGCTAATATAAAACATATATTTTTTATTTTATTATTTCCCTTCTACGTGACTCTACCGAAAGAACCAAGAATATGTTGAGACATTGTGGACACGAGGTTTGCTTTGCACAAGGTTAGCTGCATACTAAACGATGGTCAAAATCTCTTCCATAGTAATTTAAATACTAGACGTGCATTGACAAATGTTGCAACACTTTTTTCATTGTTTATCTCCAAAATTGTATTCCAATTGTGCTCGCGGTGTCATGAGACAAAGGATCCATTCAGAACTCTCGCAGAAGCAACAAATCATCATCACCCCATGTCAGTGAAGGCTGCATGGAAGGAGATATCACCACATACACACTGGGGGCAGTACATTCCCACCTGCCCTATTACAGAGATACATATTATTTGCATCCTCAAAGCTACAATTTAGCCACATTTTGCTAAATTCCAGAGATAAAAAAAAAAATTGTACGGTAACTCATGATCAAGTTGTGAATATCAACTAACCACACTTGAGAATCCGTTTAATAAAACTTGACTGCCCAGATTCTAGCCCAGAATCTCAGAAATGGCAGCTCAGTGCCACCAGTTGTGCTCAAAGATTCTTAGGGTTCCAAATCAAGTAAGGCTCATGCAGAGGATAATTGGGGAACACACTGTTGGGTATCAAGCTGTGACAAAATTTACCCCCCCCCCCCTCATCTAGCAGTTATTTTACATAGGGTTATGCGCCTTTCATTACATGTGTCAGTGGTTACAAACTTAAGAGTGTTACATAATCATTTCAGTTCATGCATCAACTTACATTTGCTGCTGCCGCAGACTCTGCAGGGCTTGGGTTATCCACATCTTCCAAACGATGCATTGCATCACTGTAGGAATGCACAACGAGACATTTGAACATTGTAATTGTATGAAATATAAGATGCACTTCATTCAATTATCCAAAACTATCACATTTTGCAATGATGGCTGTACTTATATTTGATGCATAATTAGCTCATGTGATTCTTTTTTCATGAACACATTAAATGCACAACCTCTCAATTGTCCCAGGACTGGCTTTGTCATCCATCTCTGGCAAATATTTGGAGCCGGGTTGTTTGCTAAAAAAAGGAATAAGACAAAATGAGTTATTGTGATGTGGTTTGGAAAATGTCTAGGACCATTTCTGCAGTCGCTGCTGCAGTATGATGATCAGTTCAAAGCTCCTGAGTAGAAGTCAACGCAATCACAGTGGTATGGACATGCGTGGCTGAGGTCAATGTTGAAATACTCAGCTCCATAACGGGACACCGAGCACCGACAAGTATTTAGAAAGGGTATCGAGTGACTTCGGTGAGCAATTGAGTCCTTTGTGAGCAAATCTTTAACTGATTGCGAGCAAAAATTGTCCATAACAGCTGCACACTTTGTTCCATCCTAATAGCACACTCTGTTCCAGCCTGACCGCAAGATCCTTTTCTCACGCGCGTAAATTATCCAACAGCGTACTTGTCCCGCAGGGTTCATAGATCGCATTGCTATGGTGCTGAGAATGGATATGAAATGGCGAACTTTGACCCCAGAGGCAAGTGCACTGACCGGCTCCCCAAGTGCAGCTCATGACGACTGTTCGCTTCTACTTACGGCCTGCAGAAACTCCAGATTATCGCTGAGCTCAGAGCCAGCAGTAGAGCACCGGTTACAACTAAGAGAGCGACGAACCAGCTGTCGGGCCTCCAGTACACCTGCCTGAAGGTCAGCACAGATGTGGTCCATAGCTGACAAAGACACAGACAAAGATCCTCCGTATAGTATTAAAAGACCGCTGGGGCAAGTGCTGTTAGCGAGCACCTATGAAGGCCGGGACGAGCACACGAGGGGTCGGTGGCCAACGCCACGCCCGGCAGCCTTTGTCTCCCCAGTGGTGATGTTTACATAACGCACCAGGTACTCATTTGAGGCTGAGTCGACTTAGGAGAGACCCAGGCACAGTTCAGATAATTGTCAGTGATGTTGGCCATGAGCGAGCATCTAACTCGGGTCGCTAACCGTTACGCTGAGAGCCTCAGACACAGAAGCAGCATCATTCATATCACAAACAAACAAACTGCACAATGTAGTCGAAGGCATTGTCATTGTTGCTCAATGCTGTTGTACACACTTCACGTAGGTTGTGTAAGCTGTGATTACGAGCCAAAAACACCAGGTACAATAATTGATGGTGATACAAACGTAAAATCAGGTATTAAAAGGATATATAATTACGTATAATCACGCAAATGTGCCTTCGTGAAGGATTTTATTGAATTGAATTTACAACATGCTCATTAAACAATAGTATCCTGAGCGCAAACAAATACGGTAAAGCTTACACTTCGAATCATACAAGAAACATTTCTGAATTTGACATATTTTGGAAGAAGGATGTTTCGTGTGATTATAATTTTTTTGTGCATGTGTGTGTGTGAAGCAAATATAATCATCCCCTATACACAGCCACCCAGCCGAGTGTTAAGTTGCAGTCGCCTTCCTACTTACCGCTGTCCTTGCGGGACGTCGGGGTAGCGGGAGTGGTAGTCGACCACGGCACCACGTTCACGATGACGGTTGCTGTCGCAGTCAGCTGGTGGGACTTGTCGGGGTTCAACGATTCATCAGTCACCTCCACCAGCAGCTGAAATTGAACCGGGTCTCGGATTCCGCCCAAGATCTCGTAGCGGAACGACTGGGTGGAGGCAATAGCAGGTGAACCATTCGACGAAGGCAGCAGGACGAACCTTCCACCGTCATTGCCTGTAAGGCGAAGGCAAAGGGGAATTTGAATGAACGGATTATACGTTCATTCTTGTACACGTTATTGTTCGATTAGGAGAAACATTTTGAAGTAAAAAAATGTTTTTTTTATAGATATATTTGTTTTGTTAAAAGGAGTGGTGTGCTGAGTTACAGAATTATTCCAGGTGTAATGGAAATCGTCATAAGCAATGAAAATGTAAAACAAATCTCGCCCTCAAATGTAAAGAAGCTAACGGAAATAGAAAACCAAGTAGCCAATCACAATGACATGTCAGTAACAACAGCACTCAACATTTTCAAGGTATCCAGTTTGTAATGAAAGACAAATTTTCCAGTCTAGACATGGGTTTTCCATTAATATGCATGTACAGTAAAGCACGGTTATTTTGGACAAAAAATATAATAATGCAAGAGACCTTTGCATTGGTTATTCATTGCAAAATTCAAAACATGTATACATAAACATAATAAATATAGTTTAATCAGTAAATGTTTTCGAGAAAAAAAACCCTACTCATAATGAATGGCCCTCGAATACAATATAGATGTGTGCTGAGTAAAAATAGAGTGCGCTTTGAAGCGCTGTGACATTAAAGTGTGCATATTCCGTTAGATTTTACAATGTCCCACTCAATTTTCCACGAATTTCTAAGGTTTCAGAGCATTGACACAATGCTGTTGGAGCGTTAATGACCTCAATTCAAGCTGTTCTTATATTGACGTGACTACTGACAGCGAGTCAGTCTCAAGTACACAGCGCCCATGACATTCAGACAGCCGCAAACATCACGCATCTAGTTTTCAGATTGGTTCTGCGGCGTAATGGTTCGCACGCTGGAATTACATTTCAGAGTGCCGCTTTGATGACCCGGCGCGGCAAGTTTCATAACTTGCGTTGTCTGGCCCAGTGGCATAGCCTAGCGGTAGCACATTTACCTCTCGTTGTAGAAGTTCATGGTTCAAATCCAGCAACTGCGCTGATTAATTATGACTAATCATTACTGCTGTTTAATAACCATCACAATAATACAGGCCATCTGCTTCACAGTGAACGTCAAGGATCCCCTGACAACATTGGCAAGTGTAGGCCATTGTGCGTCAATTTTGGAAATTCACCCACAAATGACTCAAGTTGTATTATGCATAGCATTGGCAGACATACCCCAGGTCACTCTTGCAAATCACATTATCCTTGTATCTTGAAATCGCACCTAGTTCATAAACTTGAAACTCCACCTCGATCCAGTCGGCAATATAAATGTGTATGTGCATTGCTGTTGGTCGACACCCAGGTGGAGGTAAGTGTGGATATCCCTGTCACCCCTGTCCAGACATCTGGCCAGCGTGCAAGATTGGGTCAAAATACCCTCCATGAGGTGTTCTCTAAAGTTCTCTCTAGAGCAGAGGCTCTGTTCCCCGAAAAGTGGCCGTCAATCCAAATCCCATGTAACAGGGACAAGCAATGGATATCCACTCTACGTTCTTTTTTTATTAAAACCGATAACCATATAATAGATTTCATATCATGAGCACTTTACTATGTCTTTGATGGTGGAAATAATGCCAGCCTCCTTGAGAGCACAATGGCACGAGCAGCAAATGTGTATTTGACAGCCATCACAACCTTGTCATTGCACGGGAACATTCGGACCTACCTCCAACTATTTTGTAAGTCAAATCGCTCTCCGGCGAGTCTTTATCCGAACAGCTTAGTTTCAGAATGGGAGACTTTATGGTTGAGTACACAGTTGTCTCGTGGAAAGCAGGATGGCACAATGGAGGCTCATCGTTGACATTCTGAAACAAAAAAATACACATCTCGGTCAAGGAAGATCTCTCTCTCTCTACTTATTACAATTCACAAACACACTGCCACTGGCCAAGTGGGGGCAGCAATATCCATCAAAACTCCCTGTGCAAAGTTAAATGTCTCGACTAAGTATAGCACACAGCACACTGCAATAATGTTTTACCGTATACTGTTCAAAGCATAATTCCGGCAAAGACAAGGCGTTCTTACACAGCATCTACAATTTGCATTGCAGCACAAAGTAGACCCATGCGTTTATCATTGGCAATGTAAACGCGCGGATGGTGTTTGCATTTTGTTGATACAATGTACAGGTAGTAAGGCGCAGCAGTTGATGACGCTTTACCGAGACGATGACCGTCACAACAGCTGTTGCCGTTTTCTGCCTGGATGGATCTTTCTCTTGGTCATTATTGACGTCTACAGCTTGCACAGTGATTGTGTAACTTGACACCTTTTCTCTGTCCAGAGCATTCAAGAGATGAAGGCGACCTGAAAACAGTATTGACGATTGCATAAATAAAAATGACAACCGTTAAGCATAATTGTGGGAAATGTAAATAGCAACATATATAACGCCTCTTCCACGTATTTTACAGAACCCATTGGCCTTCTGCGAGTAGTCCAGAGTTTACTTGCATTGAACAAATGCTGCTGTTAATAATTTGCACCACTCTCAGAAGCACGTGCGGCTGATGGGTTGTTTAAACCATAATTTTCCTTCATATGGAAGAGGCAATCATGGGAAGGAGGTGAAATATATTTTTAAAAAATCACTGAGTTTAAGGCTGTAAATGGGTTATACGCATTTCCCTGGTGCTCATTTGAGCGGACATCACTTTGCCTTAAAAAAAAACATCCAATTCGAAGTGAGGACATCTTTAAACATCACTCACAACTGACGTTAACAGTGGGCAGTAATCGAACTCAGTTTAACGCGTAGACTTTCGCGACCAATATTATTCATAATACAGGTTCATGGGTTAGATCGCGTTATTTATAAAAGTGTCGCAACCCTCCACCACCCGACACGGCCAATCAGTAAAAAATGTGTCACGTTGGTAATTACATCCAGCATCATCAGGCAATTTGCCCGATGATGTAATTACCAGCGAAACGTCGCTCTCAAAAATTGTAAATGTTGTGGAATCACTCTTCAACACACCGGTGGGCTAAAGTAGTGAACTATTTGTCTTTTGTCAACGTGACACATTTTTTATTGATTGGCCGTGTCGGGTGGTGGAGGGTTACGACACATTTATAAATAACGCGATCTAACCCAAAAAACATTTATTATGAATCGAACTCAGGTATGAGGGTTCATGTATCACAGTGTTTACAACAACAACACCAACCCTGCACCCCCCAAAAAACTGACAGTACGGTACTATACTGTATCATACAAATGACAGGAGCAAAACTGGTAGATCATAATGCAAGACGCTATCCACACAGAGCTTTCATTGCGAGGCTATAAGGTCGCATGGATTAGCATGACATACCAAAGCCAAGACTGCCATCTACAGGCAGCTTTTAAAAATTACCATTAACAATACATCATGGGACCTCCTTTGCCAGTATCAAAATATGATAATAGGTTTTTTTCTGGCCAGAAAAAAGGAGGAAACCCTATTATCATATCATTAACAATGCAATGCGATGTCTCCGGTGACTGCTTCACAGTGGAATTCGGCAATGTGAAAAAAAAAATGTTTCACGGAACTTCTAACAACTTATGAAATGTTATACGGTAAAGAATCACTTTAGAAATATATAATAGCTCTGGCAAAGGCTTGTAAACTTATATAAAAACTAAATTTTTATGTCCTGGAAAGCGGAATTCTTGTTGCTTTTAATCTGTCACTCTTTGGCAGAGATCAGCTTCATGCGCCTTCGATAATCAGACGTTAAATATCCCAAAACACTCATGAAATGAATTGCCACTTGGCGCTCCATGGACACATAAACTGCATTTTTAAGACAGTACTCTGCCTCATACCCTATTGGTGCTGTTATGAGTGCTATTCCAATTAGTGCTTAATCACACATCTGAGAGTAATTGTATCACAATGAGGGCAATGCAATGGATGGTAATTTGATACGTAACAAACATGATTGCCTATTAAAAGAAGAATAAACGACTCAACACGTAAATCAAGTGAATGCATAATCACGGTGATGTTTGGTGCCGATAAAAATGCAGCGCATCGGTACACATTCTACCACTTCAGGTTACTGTTATTGGAATGTCGTATGCGCGCGCGCGCACCTGTGGTAGGTTCAATGAAGAACTTTGGCGGGCTTGTCTTCATTGCCACCCACTATGGAATAACGAAGGCTGTCGAAGGGCCAGTCCTGGTCCTGGCCAATCACCGTTCCAACAAGCGCGCCCACGGGGCTGTCTTCCCGCACGGAAAACTGCACATTCTTCGGTGACGGCTCAAACTCATTCACGGAGGTCACGCTGACCACTACCGTCACCGTGGCTGCAACAATCACATCCCATCAAGATCATCATGAGCGCAAAGACAAAGATCCCCCCCCTCCTCTCTCTCCCCATAGAGCCTTAACAGGCGTTTTGGGAAGAGTGCTGTTAGCGAGTAGCACCTATGACGGCCAGCACGGAATACGGGAGGGTGGGTGGTCAGCACCACGCCCGGCCGCCTTTGTCTCCCGAGGAAATGTTTACCCATCGTACTAGGTACTCATTTGAAGCTGAGTCGACCTAAGGGAGGCCCAGGACTGCAACACCACCACCGCTAACAAATTCCCACCACCATCACCAAATGCAGCACCATCATTATCACTACTACTGTCACCATCATCATAGCATTACCTCGACCATAACACCGCCAACAATGTCCCTGCACCATCACCATGAGCAGCAGAAGCTCCATCAATGGCACCACCATTATCATTACCAACATTAACATCATTATCTTTACCAACACCACCACCATTGCGACCATCACCACACCACCGTCAATGTCCCTCCACCATCACCACCAGCAACACCATCAATACCTTCACAATCACCACCACCGCAACAACTAGCAATGGCCTATACAATCAACAGCAGCAGCAGCAGCAGCACCACAACGAACAGGTAAAATCAGAGGTCATTAATGCATGCTGTGTCAATATTCTCGGCATGTATAAACATTAGGACAGCTCTAAATGATCGAACATTTTTTTTTCCTTTATTCTTCAAAGGAAACTATTTAAAAAAATACTTCATGAAAAATGATTCATCCTGACCACTTATTTTACTCGCCACCGATGTTAGCCGCAAATGAGAATCAAACTCAGGGTGCCTGGCGTATAGTGCAGTGCACTACCCATACACCACCCGCTCCATATAACATACTCTATAACATTGTTGTATATTGCAGCTGTATATACCATACGATTTTAAATAATCCTTTAAAAATGAAGTAGCCAGGAACCTTGAAGCTGGCTCATATTTAGACAGTTGCCTGTGATTGCATTGAGCTGATGGTCTCAGCTCAGTCACCAATGACTACACACACACAATCACATAAAATTTCGTTCTGCACTAAATTTGGATAATTTCAGCCCTGAGAATTAAAATATCGCTCTGATTGTCATTCCGAACTTTACTCTGATATGCAGTGGGGGTAACGTCCTTCTCTCTCCCACGTAGACCAGAGATCAATTGAAGGTATCTCAGAGGTAGCTCTGTAATATCCACTTCCATGGGCCATTGTCTAACACGGCATGAAGGAATTGCACTGCTCTGTGGAAGATCGGAATAGATACTTCGTCTCATGCCAAAGAAAAAGCAGGATTAAATGAAGACAACATGACAAAACAAACTGAAGAAATGTGAGACATTACTGCTTAGACTGGGGTATCCTCCGTCCCGCACCACCATCAGGATAGTGTGTTTGAACTCCAGGTTGGCCACCGAAGCAGTGTCACATTGCAACCCAGCAGATCCAATCTACAAATTCAGTCAAGAATGACAAATAGGCAACACAATGCCGAATTAGTGCACGTACTGCCCTTTTGTCAACCCACTGCTCAATTACGGCCTCCCCATGCCGTGCAGGTCATGGGGGTTATTTGACCAAACACTAGCAGGTGGGTGAGTGTGCGTTGGTTAGGGCAGGGAGCATTAGACATTGAGGCATAGTACAGACCAACAGTGGAATTTGATCACTGCTGACATCTCCTTGCATCAGCCTACACCACCTGCTTTATGCATGTTGGTCACTCTACCTAAGCACAGCCCAGGCTCACCGCTGCTTTGCTTCTGAGATCAGATGATTTGGTCATAGGCCCCAAATGTTATAATCGTAACTGAACGAACTGTGCTCTACATTCGTCTAAAGCGTATTTTGCATCATTGGTGCAAGTGCTGCTGACTACAGCAGCTCTGGGCTCTTAATTACTGCAGTTGTATTGTAATTTCAGACTATTAATATTTCACAGGATTAAAACACTCATGAGATAGTATGCATACTATTATTGCTCGTGTCGAAACCTGGATTTCTTGTCCGTGTATTGTGCGTGCATATTGTGCTGACAAAAATGCATGCATGTTTTTTTTTATTCAAATGTCAGTCGCTATTGGATGAGTGTATTATAGAGTATTGCTGCTGTTGAACAAATGTACTAAACACTGCTGGATGAAATATTAATGTCAGGATTAAACATATTCACCCATTGCTGAGACATAATTGTGACACATTATGCAGGAAACAATATACATAGAGGAACATTTTTCATTTTGCCACATCATTTAAATACAGGGCTTAATTCAAACTTTGTGAAGTGAAATAAATTGATTTATCTCTGGTGTTCTGAATCACTTTAATAAGACACGTATTGATTCTTATTTTTACACGACGAATGGGTTTCTGCACAATTCACTTTTACTTTTCTAATCACTGAAGCTTGACATTGACGCGACAAAAAGGCTCTCATAGCCTTCATCACTCACCCTATAAGAACATTAGAATCACTGCAGAAATTCAAGTTAACACCAAATCCGAATTGGAAATGCTCGCGAATATTAAGCAGTGCCACAATTCCACGGAACTCTCCTCCGCTAAACGAGTTCCGGTGACCCTCTGACCTTCACGCGAACTTCGCTCGCGGAAAAAAGAGCGAGATCATTCGCTCGGCCCACATTCGACATCTCTCTTTTGAAAAGGCAGCCGCGACACTCACCAATATTTCATCGCCCGAACTTTGGAAGCGATCTCTGGCGCTGACGTCGAGCTGCATGCTGTAAAGGAGCTGGTTGTTGGGGGCTGAGCCATCGCGGTCCCAACACGACAGCTGTGCCACAAGCCCCCCTACGGGCGCCGTCTCCGGGAGAGACACGCTGAGGAAATGGAAAAGATTCCTGATCACTCATCGGCTGCACTCCACTGTAAAGAGGCACAAAGGCATTGCTTGCTTTCTCTAAATGCAGTAGCTAGTTAACGACGTTCATGCCACTTAACAAACTGTCAAGCAAGGGCTTAATTTCAGAGGGAGTTGTTGCAGGTTGACAGGCCCCTGTAAAATATTCCGTGATCCAACAATCTAAAAAAAATGTTGCTTTCGCTTCAAAATTCGTATTACGCATTTTGTTTGAGGAATATATGTGTGTGAACTGTGTTTGGATATGTTTTTGTTGCTCTAAACTTCATTTAAATATCCCGAGTGGCCACTGATGCGACATGTCTCTTTGGAAATTGAAACCAAGGGACATTGCAGGCAACATGTAAGCTCAAGAATGCAGCGGATAAAATCAGCACAAAACTTCAAAAACCAACGTAATAATATATTATACAGAAAATGACAGCATCTATGGGACTAATCAGAGACAACAAATATAAACAAAACTTGGCACACAATCGAGACAAGGTATTTATGAACACTCATTCATTGACCGACAACAACTTAACATATAGAGGATTGCAGAGTTTGGGCGATTGTCTGCTTCGGCTCACTGCCTGGCTGCATTCCAGCTTGCCTGTGGGTCTTCAGTGGTTGTAAGATGCAATTTGCATGAACGACACACTTATATTAAACTAAATGTCATCATCATCATTTTAATTATATCATTAATGTTCAGCGACTTGCTAATCCTCTGCTGAGGACATGCGGAACTTCCTATGCTATTTTAGGTCATGGGGGTTGTTTGACCATACTTTACCACGCTGGTAAGTACATTTGCGGATTTCACTATGTTATGAAATCAACAAATGCTTAAATTCAAGTGTGTATGTAATGTCTATCGGATCTTGTTTTTTTTTTAAACATGTGTTAACTATAAAGGTGTCGGTGCAGCCCATTCGGCCACTGCTGGCAAAAGTTAATTTTATAGAGCCCATTCTTTGGTTCTTTCGGTTAAGTCACGTCTAAAGATAAAATAATAATAAATTAAATAATAGCATATTACGACGTTTCGATTGCAACACAAGCAATCATCATCAGGCATAAAAGAAATAACAACAAAAATCTAACTAGAAAACTATAGACAGACATACAAGCAGACTTACATCACAAGGACACACAGAGAGAGAACACATATCGGCACAAAGACCTCTCTCTTTGTGCCGATATGTTTTCTAGTTAGATTTTTGTTGCTATTTCTTTTATACATGATGATGATTGCTTGTCTTGCAATCGAAACGTCGTAATATGCTATTATTTAATTTATTATTTTATCTTTAGACGTGACTTAACCGAAAGAACCAAAGAATAATTCCTGCAGTCACGAAAGCTCCAAAATTAAGATTTATAGAGTCCAGCTAGAGGGTATTAAGCCTGCTATTCCATGCTGGGCAGACGTCTTGGAGGAGGTGGAAGTACCCGCACTGTATCCCACCACACGCAACCTGTCAATCGGCTAGCTGTGTCATACCCATTTATACTGCTGGGTGGACAGAGGCTTGCAGATTTAAGAAACCCGTTTTAACTCCTGCGCCAGGAGATTGAACAGGCGATCTCTGGATTGCAAGTCTGGTGAGCTAACCATTACACCGTGGAAGCATCCCTATACACACACATATATGTAAATTATTATAATATAAAAAAACATGTGAATTTGACTTACTAATGCACATACTGTGAACACTGTGGGGGGTTGTTGTTGGTGTCCATGACTGAGACTGTGAGTGTGGTGGTGGCTGAATGAATTCTTCCCACATCATGGACTCGTATTCTTAGCTCATACGACTTGGGAGCGTCCAGGTTCATTCTCTCCCAGGAAGGTGCCGCTGTAATCACTCCTGATTCTGTTGTGGTGTCCAGCCGCAGAAAGAGTATCGCAAAGTTTGCGGTCGATTAGTTTAACATTGACCAGAATTGAAAACAGAAACAACACCAGATAAGGAAACTGTGTGCCCGGAATGGCCCAACAAATCTGTAGATATAACTAAAAGCAGTATATACATCAATAGACTTAATTAAAATGTGTTAATGACATGGAATTTACCTGAAACATATATATACAAGAGCAAGCAAATCTAAAAAAATGTCCGCTCATGTTCCTATTCGTGTTGATCTCAAATTTAACCACAAGATTTATTCTTTGGTTCTTTTGGTTAAGTCACGTCTAAAGATAAAATAATAAATTAAATAATAGCATATTACGACGTTTCGATTGCAACACAAGCAATCATCATCAGGCATAAAAGAAATAGCAACAAAAATCTAACTAGAAAACTCTCGACAGACATACAAGCAGACAGACATCACAAGTCTGTCTATAGTTTTCTAGTTAGATTTTTGTTGCTATTTCTTTTATGCCTGATGATGATTGCTTGTGTTGCAATCGAAACGTCGTAATATGCTATTATTTAATTTATTATTTTATTTTTTGACGTGACTTAACCGAAAGAACCAAAGATTAATTCCTGCAGTCACGAAAGCTCCAAAATTAAGATTAACCACAAGAGTTAAGCAAGTCGTGATGCATCGATGTCATAGCTATCATTATCATCGGCCATGATCAATCCACTCTTAGATGAAGGTCACCCCAAGCCGTTGCCACCTCTCATGATCCTGCAATGCAACAATTTACCCAGCCATAATAACGTTTTTGTTGGGTTAGATCACGTAAACATAAATGTGTCGTTATCTAACCCAAAAAAAACACCGCTGTTGTGGATAATATTGGTCGCGAATGCCTACGTGTTAAATCTACCCAGCCACTGCACGTGAACTGATCTCATCACTCCATCTCCTCAGTCGACGTCCTTTCGGCTGTGTTCCTTTCCTTGGGTGCCACTCCGTCATTATTCTTGACGTTCATCCGTCGTCACTTGGAGCAATGTGCCGTGCCCAAGGCCATATACTTTTCTTAATATAGTTTTGGATGATGTCATTAAGCTGTGTGTATAGTCTCTAAACCACGTGTACCTCTTCCTCTCTCAACATAATTACAAGGATATTTCTCTCTATGCGTCTATGTGCGCTTTTCAGTTTTTGTTTGATATTCTTTGTTCATGCCCATGTTTCTGAATCACTTGTCATAGCGGGTAGTATGTACTGCTCAATTAATGGTCAATTTATTTATTACAATTGAGTATTTTATTTACAAAGCACACCTAATATTGCGTGAGAGAATTCTTAACAATGTTTGCAAATAATATGCCAAATATATAATGTTTTTCCTTCATGAGCATAATCTAAGACAAATGTAGTACAAACAAAACTGTCCAAATGAGAGACAATGCAAACCCAAACGTTGAATATGAGCCAAAAATGTGCCTCTATTTAAACCGAAATTGTGGCTGAATCGTTATTCAAAGAATAACAATGCATCAAACAATGTTTATAGAAATTAACTCCATATAGTTAAGCAATTTGTGTTTGTGTATATATATGTGAAATGCCGAACAATGACAATCAAAAAGTTCGTGCTGGAGTATCAATGTACAGTCGTTTCTCGATCCACTGCTGGATGAATGTGTCCGGATCCCACGTCATTAGTTAAAGGGGATGTTTTTTTCTGTTATCATGCTTCACAGCCACACTTATCGGTGGGGATTGCTGAAGGTAGAGTTGATGTCAGCTGTGGATGGGAATCAAACTCAGGTCGTCGGGTTCATCGCGCGCTGCGCTAACACATGTGACGACACTGCTGCGCCTAACCTCAAAGTCACCCATACTGATCCTGACGTTATATAATTCTCTCTGTGTTCGTGTATTAGCAACGAATGTCTACAGTGGGATGAGTATGCCGTTGTACAATGATAATAGTTTTTTTGTTAATTTGAGGCATTGTTCAATTGTTATTATTTTTTATCTAGTTCTGCTCACCAGGATCAATGTTGAAGCCTTTGTATTCATCAATGAATTCAAAGAAAACGCCGTCGTTTTCATCCAGGTCTACGGCTGTCACTTTGGAAATTACTTTTCCGGGAGATGTTGTGTCCGGTACGCTGACGGGGTTAGAGATGAAAGGTCTAAAAAGAAGTGGGGTGGGGAGGGGGTAGGCATATTACTTGCCGAATGTATAAACATTTATCACGCAAACAGTATTTCGACCATAAACTGTTTTACAAGTTACCAGTCTTAGAAAATTCACCAATGAAATTCCCAGACAAGGAACGCAGACTCAGACTTTATTGAGACAGGCAAGGCCCACTGAGCTAAACAGCTCTCTGGATTAGTTTAATTTATGAAAGCACCACTTATTAAGAGCCTTAAAAAAGTGAGTAAGAGGTGGCACCTAATGTTGGGTGTCTCATCGTTGATGTTATGTACAAAGATGGTTAAGGTTCCAAGGCAAAACAGAGGTGCGATCTTATTTGCTTCTTCCACTCGTAGAGAGAGTTTGAAAACCTGAAAATAAAAATAGCGTAATAACAACAATACTCTGATGACACATACGGCAAATGACATTCATTCAACAGTGTTGTAGCGAAATGCTTGACCTTATATTTAAATCAATTTTATTTTTAATTCAGAGATGCTGCCATGGTGCAATACCACCCTGGACTCGCACAGCAGTTGAACAACGGTGCAGGTTTCTTAAATACCCCATACCTCTGTCCACCCAGCAGCATAATGGATGCACCACTTACTCAATCGGCAGGTTGACTGCGGTGGGGGAAAGTGTGGGTTCTCCCACCTCTTCCAAGATGCGCTAGCATGGAAGAGTAGGCCAAATATACCCTCTAGTGGAGGTCCTTAATTCAGCAGTGGCATGAGCAATGCATTGAAAGGCTGCATCCCTGCCTTCATCTTCACCTCGTTGATAAGCAAACCTATATCGCGCATTTCTATGATAAATGAGACAAGACAAAAACACACACACACACCTTCCACCCAGTGTCGTAGTTTAATTGTTCCTTGGCAGTAAGAGCGACAATACCACTCGCCGGATCCACAGAAAAGAATCCAGACGCCGCTGTCAGGTTGGGCCTTTGCTCCGTGATCTTAAACTGGAAACGATGAAAGACATAGCTGGAGGCATTGCTCAGACAGGTATGTTTTAAGCATCAGTATATTCATGAACAGATACGACATGTCCTCTATCTATGGTAGGGCAATAAGCGCATGTGCTCTGTTGGCTGTACACTTTGTTTTTGTATGCAGGTGGGCCCCAGGAAAATAAACAATGCACATGCTTTAAATCACAGCGTCTGCGCTCGGGCCCAAAGGTCTTTAACAAAAGCAGCCAGCAACAAAGGGCAGACACTATTGATAGCACAGCAGATACGAACACGTGTCTTGGACTGAGCAAGGTTATGGAAACTTTGGAAATGGGGCAATGGGATAAGGATTCAAAGTCTGGTAGAACTAATACAGCAAAAAGAGAGATAAATAGTGCATCCCATAACATATTTGTTGAACACAGTTTGGATAAGATTAAACTTATTGGTAGAATTAGTCCTGTGCCTTCACTAATGTGGTATTTCTTTCCATCAGCACAACACATTCCATCCGTAAAAAAAACTGAATGTCATAAACACACACTGTATGTGTAGAATACACATGTACTGGGCTCCTTGGTTACGGAAATGGGCAATGTTATTGCAAATTAAACTCATCAAGAAAAAAAAACGAGTCATTCCCCGCCACAATAAAATGTTACATACGATGAGTGTGTCATCGATGTCTGGGTCTGAAGCAACGAGCTTATAAATTGGTTTGAAGATGGGATGATCTTCAAAAATGACAGTTTCTGCCCCTGAAAAAAAAACACATGATACGTGTAAAACTCTTCGTACGAAAAAAAAAATCCAGGTGTCAATAATAAATGTTTTACCACTGATGTCATGAGGCTGACCAACAGAAACGCACACATGCATCTTTAACTGATTCCAATGTCATACACTGCACACACTATACGGATTGTAATGGATACAGCCATAACAAACCTCGAGATTGACCTGTGACAAAGAAAAACACTGCGCGCTTGTTATGGTCCCTGACATGAACACCAAAATGAAATGCTGAACAAATTTTAAAAATTCTGTGCTCCACACGAAACCTCGGTCACACCGTGCTCCGTTCGCACGGAGACGCTTGCACTCGTGTGCACACAATTACACGCACGCTCGCACGCGCTCGCAGGCCACACACGAGCGCAAGCGAGGCACTGGAATGAAACCCAACACTTCTCATCTTAAAATGGAATGCATATCATGCGCAGAACCTCGGGAGTTTGGCGGAAAATTTGGTGAGGCCAGTGTCTAGCAGTGGATTGATCAAGGCTGACGGTGACGACGATTGTAACGCATTAAGCTGTTTGTGATAATTGTTTTTTTACCCTTCTATCTGGCAACAAAAATGACACCTCTTTTTATCATATCAATTATCATATTTTTTACTGGCAAATGAGGTTCCAATGGTGCTGTTTGATTGTGTAATTGATAAATAATGTTTTACCGGTGTTCTGGGAGAAGGCAGGATCACATTGTGGCGGCTCGTTAATTGGGTCCAGAATAACGGTGAGCGTGAGTGTTGCCGAGTGAGTTCGATTCTTGTCGCACGCTCGGATGCTAAGGAGGTATTCTCTAGGAGTCAGAGGATCATCGTAATTCAAACGTTTCGAAGTTGATACCGTCCCTGTACCTGCACGCAAACAAAACAAACGTCAACATGCCAAAAATGCCACGAGTGAATTGGAATGTTATGTTCAGTAAATTCCATTTGCTGATAACAAAATAATAATAATACAAACTCTGCAAGAGCACACCGTATAAAGCCCCCAAACATGAAAAGTAGGCACATTCCAAAATGCACATTGTAAAATTGAACATTCGCTTCACATCCACCACCATGATGCGATGATTACGGCTGACAGAGGTGCAGACATTACCGCGTCACTTGCCGTGCTTGTGCTGTTTAGCCCTGCGATGTGCTTTCAGGCTGCACCGCGTGTTGATTCGTCATAATGTCAAACGTTTTCTCCACATGCCGGATGTTTTTTTTGAGTACTGAACAACCAAATCAAATGCCAAAGAAGCTTCCAGAGTGTGGAGCGAAACGTCTGACATCATGCCGAATGACGTGTAGTACACATTGCAGCCTGATAACAAACACATCGGGGAGCTAGGCGCTAAAATGTTGAACAATTCATAACGGGCTTAACCAGGTCAATTGATATTCAGCATATCACAATGGACTGTATGCATTTGAACGTATCGGCAGTACACTGGTGCGCAGTATTAAAAAAAAAGAAAAATTTTCGCAATAATGATTTATGTTCCAGTGATTCGCAACCCCGGTCATAAAATCTTGAGAGGTGCATCAAAATCAATTCTCGTGATGTCGAAGCAGTCGATAGACGAATCTTACGAGCAGCTGAACATGAAGTGTCACAGTCTGTTGCTGTATAGCACCCAGTCTGATGCCGATTGGCTGCTCCGTGTTCCAAAAGGCAAATTTGACTCGTGCCCTAGACTTGATCGGTTCCTCGATTCAACGGACCCAAATCAACGGTCAATATTGACCTTTTTGGCAAGTCTCAGGCTACTGAATAAACCTTAGAATCGTGCCAAACTTGGCGACATGGTCAATTAAAGACTGATACACAGATTAGCTGATTCATTTTTTTTTATTTTCGATTGTTTTTTGAGGACTGGTGTGTCATGCTCCACCGATGTACCCGCCAATACGTCCCATTTGCTGCTAAATATTTATGGAGGGCAACACATGGAACGGGGCATTCTGACGCGCACAGTTGTTCCCACCTGTCTCTATGTTGAAGGAATCCTCGTTGCCAACAAACTCAAATGTCGCGGTGTCGTTGGCATCGCGGTCGCTTGCGTGAAGCTGGGCGACGACTGTGCCAGGGGGCTGTTCCTCAGCGACGTGAGCAACATCTGCTGGATCCGACCTGCCAAAATCAGCATGACAATATTCCACAACTCGGGAGGAATTCGATGAGCCATGAAGCTCTTTTTAAATCCTTTATATTAAGTTCGCTTGCTTGCGTGCTTGCTTGCTTGCTTAGGACCGTGCAAATCTTTCGGTCGTTTTTTAACCCACTTCCCGTGATCCAATCGAGCTGACATTTTGCACACAGACTCGTTGTGCGTGACAATTTATTTTCGTGAAAAAAAATTTCCAAAATTTTCTACTTTTTAGGAAAAAAAATTTCACTAACACAATCATATATTTTTCCTAAACACAGAAAATTATTCAAGAAAACAACAAAAAATTACAATATAAACAATCATACAAAAACTGAAAACCTTATAATCCTTATATACGACTTTCCTTATATTTAATTTAAAATACCAATGTGATAAAAATGAAACTCTTACTCAAGAAAAACAGAAATGAATAATAAAATAAAACCGATGCCACGCATATAAAGGATTTATAGTGAAAAACTTTGTTTTTACGGGTTAATTTTTTAAATCCTTTATATTAAGTTCGCTTTCTTGCGTGCTTGCTTGCTTGCTTAGGACCGTGCAAATCTTTCGGTCGTTTTTTAACCCACTTCCTGTGATCCAATCGAGCTGACATTTTCCACACAGACTCGTTGTGCCAGACAATTATTGTTCGTGAAAAAAAATTCCCAAAATTTTACACTTTTTAGCCAAAAAAAATGTATTTTACATATATTCAAATAGAACGCATTCATGGCTTTGTCTGAACGTCAGAGTGTAAGAGCCCAGAGCGTAACCCCTCCACAGGCCGTGGCGGAGTAGCGCAGTTGGTAGCGCCCTCGCTTCCCATGCCAAAGGTCGCGGGATCGATCCCCGTGTCCTCCACAGGCGAATATATTTTAAATCCTTTATATTAAGTTCGCTGCCACGCATATAAAGGATTTATAGTGAAAAACTTTGTTTTTACGGGTTATACTTATTCAAATATGTCCCGCAGTAGGGGGACGTGGCCAGGGACTTAGGTCAACAAACAATACAAAAGACGAGTGCAAGATAGAGAAAAGGTGAGCGGGTTGCTAAAAAGAAATAAATGACGATAGTGACTTATGACTATAGTCATTTATTTATAGCTATAAAAGTACCGAAGTACACATTGCACAAGGACGTATACATTCCTGCCAATTTGCCAACATCAAATGCAATGAGGAGAGTTCAACATCGATGTGAGCGATACCAATTACTCCATTGACTAAAATCCACAAAGCAACATTGTCCTCCACTCCCTCCTGGCAGGCCACAAGTCTGCGAAACTCAGCACCTTCGTGTGATAGATTGCGCTAACTGTGAAATGTCACGTAATGTGTACAATTATTTCCTTTTCATAACACCTTTAAGAATAAAGCAACACTGTAATGTCATGTATTTATCCAAAGAGCCCTGGTCTCAGGGCTCTTTTGCAGGAATGTATGTGTGTATGTATCTACACTATGGGAACCTCATTTGCCAGTAAAAATATGATAATTGGTTTTTTACCCTTCTATCTGGCAACAAAACTGACACCTTTTTACAAGGAGTCATGTTTGCATAGACCGCAATACCTGCAGTCATAATACATCTGGTCCAACCCATATGAGACTAGGCTCTAAGGAAAGCTGTCTCGGGTGTGGACCAATCAACTTCAAGGACAGTGCACATTATCAGAGTTATGTTCTTTTGTTTGTATTATGACTGCAGGTATTGCGGTCTATGCAAACATGACTCCTTGTAAAAAGATGTCAGTTTTGTTGCCAGATAGAAGGGTAAAAAACCAATTATCGTGTTGAACTTCTTTCGCACCATACGCAGCTAACCGCGCTTATTGGAGGCGTGTGGGAAGGACAACAAACTAAACACAAAAGAAGTTCTAAAGAAATGAGTTTCAATCTAGATTTGAAAGTGCTCCAGTGCCTTCCTCATATCGGAAGGAAGAGGATTCCAGATGGCCTGAGAAGTGCATCTGAAAGCTCGCGATGCGGTGAGCGTCTTTGTTCGATGGTCAGCCAGAAGCCGCTGCGGTGAGGATGACCGGAGTTCGTCCTGAATTGAGATGTTTGGCCAATACCAATCGAAGGAGATTGTTTTTTGTTTGTTAAATAGACAATAAATGCGTTGCATACATGGTATAGGTGCATATATAAAGGCTACACATTAATGTTATTGACCATGCATTTCGTTTTGAATGTGTGCATGTGTGTAATAAAGTTCGGCTCTGGTCAATCCACTGCTGGATGAAGGCCTCCTCTGGCCATCCAGTCATGGGAGTTGTTTGAACATACTTCATCACACTGGTCAGCAGTGGCGGCTCCTGCAAAATCTCTCAGGGGGGGCAAATTTCTGAATGATTGATAAGGATAAGGTCCACCCATGCAATGGATAAATTAACAGCTTAAGCATGTAAAGGCAACTTCACTTCTTTAATATTAATGAAAAATAAAGTGACTCTTACAATACATCTTGTTTGTTTCTATACTCACTATTAAAACAAACCACTCAAGTTTATTTTATTAAAGATTCCACTAGGTGGCCACAAATTATATTGTTGGATGAAACGTGCTTACGTATGATGACGTAAGTACGTATGATGACGTAAGCACGTTAGGGCGAGCCCTCCCGGAAGCCATAGAGAATGCATTGGAGCGCCCCCGTTCGAAAAAATACATCTTTGAATGTAAGTCTATGGGGCCACTCGGGGCGATTCTCAGCCGGAGTGAAATCGCCCAAAAAGAGGCGGTACTCCACAGAACGTAGCATGACGCTGATTGGACTATATCCAGAGGCTGCAGTGACGGCTAGCGTGACTCTGTGGTTCAATGACATTGGTGGTGCGTCGCCCAATCGCCCTAATGAAGAAACCGCCCCTGCTGGTCAGTGAGAGCTGCATAAGGCAGGGAGCCCAAGACTGGCTCATGTATCAGATTCCGTTGATGTTACTCAGATCGCTGGGTTCAGAGCACAATGCGCTACCTCTTGGCCACTGATCGGAACCCGCCCACCCCATGCATGTGAGTTGGCACAGTAGGGGGCACAGCTGGTACATCGGCCAGTCATCTCAGTCAGTCAACCCATGGCACCTGGGCCCTCCCCGTGACTTCCTGCCAGCGGGCGTTGGACACTTCACGTGGCCTTAAAGTGCACTTAACCTGGCACAAGCGCCTTGGTGACGTCACGCGCCACTTCGTGTTGAATGGCGGTTGTTGTTATTATTTACGTGTATAATTATATATTCACATCTATATGACCGGCATGGTATGGGGGAAGCTTTCATCTAAGCAGTCGACTGACAAATTGTCGTACGTGATAATTTTCCAATTCACGTGTTCATGTACGCATGTATTGTAGCTATGGAGTTTGGCCAGAATAGAAGGCGTCATGAACGCCTGTCTCCCTGGTCTCTAGCACAAGCCTGTTTTGGGTTTCCACCGCGGTGCTTTGGTCGACAAAAGCACCAAGTGGAGGGGTGGATAAGCCCCTCGCGCGCACCTGGCCTGGCACAGGTGCCGTGGTGACGTCGCCGTCACTTGGTGGCGAATGGCAGGTATTGCCATTGGTTGATATGGATGCATCATGCATCACACTCATGACGCTTTCTACGTTCAACTCACGTTATTTGCGGCGTTTCGTCGTTTACATCTTCAATAAAAACGGTCACCATTCCCCTGCATGACTTCCGTGGCAGTCCGTTGTCCGTGACATTGACGGTAATTTGAAATACCTGTGACAACACGGCTCAATGCATCCGTTGTTTGCAAAGCATGACTGTGAGTCAATGCAACGGAAGAATAGCACATGCACAATATAAATGCAGAGTAGGTAGGTGAGAAGAGCTCTGAACTCGCCCTGAAATTGATCGGATTTGCTTGAGATTTCGAGCACACACTTGCATTGGTATGTACATAATGCAAATATTCTCACTACCAGAGGCAATGTATTTTTCCGGGTACAAGAGTTAACTTGTCGTGAAAAATGTTCCCTTGCTTTGGCATGTAAACTGCAAAAACTGAGCATCCAATAACGAGGAGGAATATTGCGCCTTGTATGTGCGCCATCAATTAGTTTTGCTAATTGTTTCTAAGGGTGCAACTCTGCGCACCTGATGCTACTCGTGTTCATTGAACAAAGGTACTACACACGGGAAAAATGGCACTGCAAGTTGAAAACATGTATGTCTATGGGAAGTCATCCAGTTAATTGCGTGACACAGATCCTTCTTCCACTGGGTGGGTCAGTGCCGTAATATTAAGATGTATAGATACAAAGTTTTCGTGACTGCAAGGATCCATATTGTTTGGTTCTTTCGGTAAAAAAAATAAGAGATGAAAATAAAAAAATAAAAGTACATTTGCTTTTATTTAATAATAAACAAAATTTACTTTTATTTATTTACTTTTTCCCCTACGTGACTTTACAGAAAGAACCAAAGAATATGTATAGATAGGTTTAGGCCATTGGTGTGCTCTCAGATTCTGTATGGGTGAGAACAGGGATTTTTTAAACTCCAGTTCTTGAAACTCATTACATTGCGAATTTTTATATTTACCAATCTTCTTAATCAGAATGTTAATCGAGTTATTAGACATTGTACGTGTATGATGATTGTTAAATATGTCCCCTATGACATAGTGATGACTGATACAAATGAATATAGACATGTGGAGAGCACTCACGTGAAAATCAGCGCTCTGTACTTTACGTCAGACATGTTTATGAATCACCAGGCGTGTACAGCATGGGACAACTCAATTTGTCATTTGAGCAAGAAGATCGGTGAACGTGGAAAGGTGGACTATGGTGGGTGACGAGGACTGTCGCAGCATCCGAGCTCACTACCCCCCCTGGTTTAAACTCAGATGCACCCTGTCCAAGACTGAGGTCTGTGGATTTTCTGTAATCCCCCCCCCCGACCTCGCGTCGCGGTTTGTGCTCTGTACCAGGCTGCTATTGAAATACAATAACAGAAATTTGAGAAGAATGTTCGAGCCAGGGGTGGCCCGTCCATTTAGGTGAACTTAGCGGTCGCCTAAGGCGCCAAGTTAAGTGAGGTGCCAAATTTGAGGGAAAAAATACAAACTAAAAACGAATACCAATAAAATAACGAAGATTTCGTTACTTCAATTCCCGTGGGCGCACAGACGGAATATGAATTATGATTCATATCTCAACATGTCTGATAATTTATTGGTTGGACATACGGACGGACGAACAAACATAAAATATCATGGGACCTTCTTTGCCAGTACCAAAATATACTAATAGGGGTTTTCCCCTTTTTTCTGGCAACAAAACTGACACCTTTTGCAAGGAATCATGCTTACATTAACCACAATACTTGCAGTCAAATGCAAACAAAAAACAATACTCTGATAATGTATGCATTGTCTTTGAAACTGATTGGTCCACCAGGCGTCACCTGGTCGAACACCATATGAGACGAGGCTCTAAAGAAAGCTGTCTCTGGTGTGGACCAATCAGTTTCAAAGATAATGCATAAATTATCAGAGTATTGTTTTTTGTTTGCATTTGACTGCAAGTATTGTGGTTAATGTAAGCATGAATCCTTGCAAAAGGTGTCAGTTTTGTTGCCAGAAAAAAGGGGAAAAACCCTATTGGTAAACAGAAAATAATTATGCCTTTGTTTTAAAAAAATCCGCTTAAAAATATTAAACAGAAAATAGGGGCAACATTTTTCCAGTTTACCAAAAACCTCAGCCTTGGATCTGCCCTTGGAGTTTGGGGATGAGGGCGCCGATTGCGTGGTTCGCCTAGAGGGCGCCAGTCGCTGGCAGCTCGTCTAGGGACGCCTCTGGTAAGGGGTCGTCCATAAATGACGTCACGCGATTTTGGACGATTTTTGACCCCCCCCCCCCTTTGTCACACGGCGTCACAAAAAGTCAGACCCCCCTTCAAATATGACGTCACAAAGCTCTGCCCCCCACCCAAAAAAAAATCAAACATGCTTCAAATCGCTTTAAACTATTGTCATTGTAGTGCGTATTTAATGTGGCGCTGCACTCTGATGTTGTAAGAGAAAACATGTATTAAAAAGTCTATTTAATTAAGTAGAACGTGTTGTTTATATTTATTTAAAGTTGCGCATTTTTATGTGACGTCACATTTCCCAAACACCCCCCCCCCCATCGTCACACATCGTCACAAATGTCTGACCCCCTCCCTCCTAGGTGCGTGACGTCATTTATGGACGGCTTTTAAGAGCATGTGACCACATGCTAGTTATTATTGTTCTTTACTCTTTGGTTCTTTCGGTAAAGTCACGTAGGTGAAAATTTTAAAATAAAATAAATACATTTTTATTTTCATTTTTTCACCGACGTGACTTTAACGAAAGAACCAAAGAGTATGGATCCTTGCAGTCACGAAAACTTCAAATCTAGAATTATTGTTCTTGTATAATATAAACACATTCCTCGCTCATTCAGATTGACACTGTGTCCCATCTGCTGTGTATTTTACCTTTAACCCTGCATCAAAGTCAAGGGGGGTGAGCGAGCTTCTGTAGATGACGCCAGAGAATGAGTTTATTGAGAAATACCCAACACCTGACACATTAGGGGCCTGTGAAAGAATGTCATACTGCGAAAAAAAACATATTAAGTATATACCTTGAAAAAGCAGATACTGATAAGTTGTGCATTTGTTAGTATGCTTACTGGTAGATTCCAGCAGACATTTCACAGAAAAGTAGTTAAAAATACAAATCGTGAAGGCAGGATTAAGAAAAAAACACTTACTTTCAGAATATCCCCATTATCGGGGTCATTAGCAGTGACTTTGTAAATTGCTGTTAAAGGAAACACGTTCTCAGCTGTTCTTGTGATTGCACCTATTGAAAACCCAAAACACAAAACACAATCGTCCTGAAGTGGATGCTGACTGTTTACATTTAGCATATAACATTTCCAGGGTAGAGGTAGGAACACTGCAACACAGTGGCATTTTGTTGGAGCAACGCAACTTGCAAACACAGCAGAATGTACATATTCGCAGCAATTATTGAAGGTTAAACAGGATAAATAATTATTAAATCAAGGAGCAAACAAGGACAAGATGGGTCAATTTAGCTGAAATTATATCATGAAAGCGGCATACCACTGCCTGAATAAGACGGGTTTCAATCAGCTATGACACGTGGATTAGACATATGGACACTGACAAACAAAATGGACCAAAATCAAAGAAGCATGGCGAAATGCATGCTCGGAATGACACTTAGAGACAGAAAGCGGAGAACAGATCTGGGAAAAAAAAAAATCACAGACATCACATTGTCTGATAAGAAAAGCAAGTGGTGTTTGGCCAAGACACATCGCGAGAAGTGACGACGGCTGATGGACATTACTGAATGGCAGCCAAAGGAGATAACGTGCCTGAGAGAATGGCCGCTGTGAAAATGGAGCGATGAGATCAGTGCATGTGTACGAGTGAGTGAGATTGACATCGCGAGAGCACGAGGAACGCAACGGTGGAGGCTTTTATCCAGCAGTGGATTGACGACGGCTGCTGCTGCTGATGGTGGTATTAGATATCTACGCAGTCTGAAACTGCAGAGACTCAACGGTCTTGCATTCAGGAGACTCTGTGTGGTCATGTCACTCCATCAGTGGCCTCAGCTTCCCATCATGCATGTGGAGTCGCGTGTTAAAGTGTACTGAAGGTATTCACGGTTGCAAATCTCATGCCGAATCTGCGAACACACTGTGCCTTAAATGTTGCACTAGGTTGTCTATTTCGATTTAAAGCTTTCGTGACTGTAGGGATTCATCTTCTTGGTTCTTTCGGTAAAGTCACGTAGAAGGGAAATAATAAAATAATAAAAATAAAGCATAATAAAATAATTCTCACGACGTTTCGGCTACAACGCAAGCAGCCGTCACCTGAGAACGTCACCTGAGGACATCACCTGAGGACGGCTGCTTGCGTTGTAGCTGAAACGTCGTGAGAATTATTTTATAATGTTTTATTTTTATTATTTTATTATTTCCCTTCCACGTGACTTTACCGCAAGAACCAAGAAGATAGGTTGTCTATTTTAACGGTGTAAAAAAAAATGCAAGCGTTACCATCTTCTCGAGCAAACAGTGGGTCACATGCCGGTGCCTCGTTCACCGGCTGAAGTAGTAAAGTCAGATTGTAAGTGGCGACATTTTGTCTGCCACTGTCATAGGCAAAAATAATCAACACGTGCTTCTTGGGAATCTTGGCGTCATCGTAGTCCAGGCTCATCTGCGTATACACAATTCCTGAATCTAGGGCCAAAACAACAGTTGTGAAAAATTGTGCAACAACATGGTCAATAATGCCGCCAATATTACCACACCGGATTTGTTTTTCCTATTCTTGGCCAAAGCCCTACTTACATGTTCTGAGTAGAATTATGTATCGTTGTATTATAATGCAAATTTGTAAAATGCTTGTCCCATACAAAGAAAACGACAATATGTTTTTGAAATGCGTGCTTCCTAAAACAATGAAAACACACGTGTCGTTGGCAAGGTTTTATCCATGCCTTAGGATTTCAGTAGCCTCCGCATCCATTGAATAAATTACAACAAGCTTTTTTTACAGCAGGATTATACAATATTGAAAATAACAAAGCTGTGTATTTAGCCTCGGGGGGGGGGGGATTGTTACATGGCACAAGTTGTTACATGGCCAATGTTGATTCTGTACATTTTAGCATCATTCTGATGTATTTAGTGCGGGTTTGGAAAGTGTACTTGACACAACATTTCAAACGTCTAAGAATACATCACAAGGAAAACAAAAATGCATTCCCTATAATCTACATCTCCACATGCGGTTTTGTCAGAAATTAAATATCTCCTAATGTGAACTTCATCCATAACAACATTCTTGAATATGAAAAAATATTTTTAGCAACATACAGAAACTTTAATTAAGATATGCATACGTCTTATTTTAAAAGCTGATGATCTTACAGGGTGACTGAACAGTTATGAGCAGCTATTACCCTCTGCTAATAACTAAAACATGCATGTAACTTTACCCACACATTTCAAAAATGCATAGGCTTTGGCACGTAGAGTTTCTGTACGTATGTATGTTGAACTTCTTTTGCACAGTACACAGCCAACCATGTCAATCGGAGGTGCCCCTTCCCTGTGTTGTGGGTTGTGCTTTGTACTGGGCTCGTATTGAAATAATAATGCACATGTTTTGGCAATGGCATGCTGTCCGTGTCACGGTAATATTGGATTCCCACTTCAGATATGACTCAAGTCAGGACTTGTATCATCCAGGTAAAAAAAAAATGTTAATACTACTGCGTTGGTTTCTGTGGTTGTGCTGAATAGCTCTATTTAGGAAATGAGGAAACTGAAAAATCTCTCGGCACATAGAGAAAAACATCGCACATCATGCTGAACAATATGCAGCACAACCAAAAAAACCCACTGTAGAGCTATAAATGTTACGTATAATAACGTTTTTTTTCAAATCGCCTGACGAAGCTGGCTCTAATCACCAGTGAAACGTCGTACTCAAATTGTAAATGTTGTGGGTTTACTCTGAAGGAGCAACTAGTTGGCACGTTTTGTTTCTGTAACAAACCTTACTAACTGGCTGTGTTGGGTGGTGGGGGGTTAATGATACATTTGTAAATTTCGATTTAAAGCTTTCGTGACTGCAGGGATTACATCTTCTTGGTTCTTTCGGTAAAGTCACATTATAAAATAATTCTCACGACGTTTTGGCCACAACGCAAGCAGCCTTCCTCAGGTGAAGAATAGGTCTGTCGAGAAGACAGAGTCTGAATGTCGACATACCTATTCTTCACCTGAGGACGGCTCCTTGCGTTGTGGCCGAAACGTCGTGAGAATTATTTTATGTTTTATTTTTATTATTTTATTATTTCCATTCTACGTGACTTTACCGAAAGAACCAAGAAGATTGATAAATTGTAGATGTTATTATTACACCATCTACATGTATCAATACATAACCGACGTCTGGGAATTATTTCAATACAATGCTCTGTTCATGCACTTATCAATAAACTGAGGTCCCCTCGTTCTTATGTTATTGATTCACCTGCATCAACAGCAAAGGCAGTGGACGGAGAAGCCAGCTCAAATGAAACGATGTCTCCAGCATCTCTGTCTGTTGCTTTCATCTGAGTGATCACGGTGCCTGGGGGCTGGTCTTCCAAAATCTCCATTGGGTTTGGTACAACAAGTCTGGGGCAATATACAGCAATTGCAAATATATATAAATATACACAAGCTTGGAAATTGGTCATGGAAGCGGCGTGGAAGTTTGTAACAAAATATGTCAATAAAGTGTTGCAGATTTAATGAGGAAGATGAGGTTTGCCATGAGATTGGCATGTGTGCAGTGTCGGGGGAGAGCAGGTAAAAACAAAACACTGGCATTGGAGTGGGAGACACAGAGGTCAGTGGATCTAGGGGAAGACCTAAAGCTGGGTGATGGTAAGAGTGTAAGAGCAGTCCTTGAAGGGTGGGAGTTGAGTTTAGATCAAGCTGTCACACCATCCGAGTACACTACCCCCCCTGGTTTAAACTCAGATGCATCGTGCCTGGGACTAAGGTCTGTGGATTTTCTGTAACCCCCCCCCAACCTCGTCTCGTGGTTTGTGGTCTGTGCCAGGCTGCGATTGAAATACAATAACAAAAATATTGATTTAAAAAAAACGATGTGGTTGCATCAATAGCACTGGCCATGGTGACATCTATACCATGAACTTGATAAGTACATTATCCATTAGGAACAATATTTCGTCATTCGTGTTTGAAGTTAAAGTTTTTCTTTCTGTTGAACCAGGTGAGAACTCAAGAGACCAGGAGTGACCTCGGTCACAAACAGTGACAAAAGGCAATTTTTTGTTGTTGCTAAAATACACCAATGAGGCAAATAGAAACTGGGAAAAAAAATCTACTGTGTTACGTGAGAAATATAAAACATTGTTGTTGTCTCTGGATTATTTCAGTTCTTGTTAAATATGTTGAATTTTAACTGATTTATTTGTTTAGGACACACATCAGTATGGATGAGTGAAACATCATCGGTCGTATGTGTGTATGGCGTGACATGTTTTACATTTTAATGCAAATTAAATGTAATACATTTATAATATACAAGTAGACAAATACAAGCTGTCTACACTTTAAATCTTTGGCGAGTAATAATTGTGTTTAACCTTGTAATTACCACGTAATTGCACGTGCCTGCATAAAATGACAGTGCCGACACTACATCGCTATTATACGAGGTAGTTAAATAAAGTACGAGCCTTGACAGGGCATCGGTCCAATTTTCAAACAGGAGTAGGGATCAGGTTGGTTCAGCCACCCCATAAATACAATCTAGGGAATTACAAATATCTTAACCGGCCACAATTATCCCAAGTGACTCTGTTAATTAAATAACTGTGTCGGTACTGATACGACGTCTATATGGTACAGAGACAATGTGTCTACAGTGTGGCATGGTTATTTTAATGAAATTACAGGAGTTGTTTCAAACGCATTTCTGAAAAAAAAAATCTTGCAAAGCATGCTGTTGTGGGGTGTTTTTTTCAGGCCCTGTGACGTGAATGTTTCAAGACTGGGCCGTTAAATCCTTGTACCCAATCCAAAAAGCCAAATTTGGCCTCCCCAACTGTGCTGGTCAAGGGTTGTTTGACCATACTTCACCATGCTGGTCAGTGCAGGTTGGTGAAAGTGGAGGAAGTACCCATGACTGGTTTAGAAATCACTCACCGCCGATGTTAGCCATGGCCAGGAATGAAGCTTGGGCTGTCGGGCTAATAGCGCAGTGTGCTAACCACTGTATGTCAAATAACAGTCATTCGTATAAAAAATTCAGAAACGTGCCTTAAGTAGCTTCAGTAACCCAGTTGTCCAGCGCAAATGGGGCAATGCACTGTCATTCAAGGCGTCTGTGGGAAAACGAAATAACACTACTACTAAAACGAAATAAGTTGACTGATTTGTGCACATGGGTTTGATACTCACTCGAAAATAGGAGGCTCATCATTGGTGTCAATAAGGTTCACTGTTATTCTCCCAGTGCAAGATCTCCTGGGTGAACCGTTATCAGTAATGGTCAGTGATATCAGAAACACCTGCATGAAAAAAAATGCTTAAACAGATAACCGCGTGAAGAAAAAATGTACAGAAAAAAAGACACACAACTTAAACTTTACAGCAATGCAGTATTAACTTGAACGTTGCATGATTTTAAGAAAACTGATACAGTCAAATTGGGCTTACCTTAAAATTTCCTTCATAATCCAAAGGGACAAGGTTGGTTCTCGATATAACACCACTGCTCGAATCGATGCTAAAATATTCCGCAGAAGCCAACGGTGGGACTTGGTTAGATATCGAATACTGCAATGGAAAAAGAGCACATTTTCTACATTGGAATGTGGCAACAGAGTAAAAAAGGGTTTAAAAACAACATTTCAATCACGTGTGGTACTCTCACTTGGCCTTTTGCACTTTGGCTGTCGAGACTCTACTGGCACGCCGTCACTTGCTGACCAAAATCTCCACTATCGGGGCAATCACTCTTGAAACATCTGAAGCCCGTCTATTCACCTCCCTGCCAAAGCCCCCTCTGGCTCTCAATACCCAATCATCCGGTCCAAAAAAGGCACTGATTAAAATTGCCAACATGTCACAAAAGCAGAAAAAAAATTCAGTCTGGGAGCAACAATGAGTGCCCAAAATAGCCGGCAAGTACAAACTGTGCTGCGCAAAGAAAAAAACGTACGAATTTGAAGGATGCCATATCAATGCACTTGAATCATCACAAATCATCCGAATTAGCAAAGACTGTCGGCCAAAATATTGCCCTAGCCTCATTTGAACTATGCATTCCGCCATTCTTCGTTCATGCTTTGAGTGGAATGGTATTGAATAACCAAGGTTATTAAAAACAATGACGAGGAAGCAATAGTTGAATAAGTGTAAAGGTATAATAATGGATACAAAGAAATCTCATGAGAAAGGTACCGAGAACAAATAAATTATAAGTGAAACCACACTAGGGTAACAGAGCAGACAGCATTGATTAACAACACAAGTAAACCAACACAAAAACAACATGATTCAGAATATTGTACTCAACAGAGGCCACATATGTAATGACCGTGCTATGAAGTGCGAATTTCCATCATAAACATCAGACGAAGATTGGCCTGTGAACCCACAGATCGGTAAGAGTATTTGAGATAAATCAAGTATCTCTGAGACTAATATTTAATGATCCACCCAAATAAAACAACGTATACATTATTATAAGTTAGTCAAACTGCACTTTTGTTTAATCGGACTGTTTAGCATGAAGCATACTCACAGTCAACAAATCCCCAGCATCTGGGTCAACCGCTGTAACTCTAAATATCGTCTGGGAGGGACGGAAATTTTCTGTAATGTTTGCAACAGCTCCTGTGGAAAAGAAAAGGTAAAACATAAAAAAACGATGGATATTTGAACGTTTACATGATCCATTAGGCCACTTATTTTCTAAGACAATAAAACAATATGCACATCCATTTATTTAGATGTCTGAGGACAGGTTTTCATACAAATACATCCATAAACCAACTGCTACGAAACTCACGACGGTTCGTCAATCCCATTGGTCAGATTTGGAGAGTGTTTGGGTCAGAAAGTGTCGGTACTCCTATCTCCTCCTAGAGGTCTGGCAATTGTGGATGAGTGGAGGCTCCATGTAGCTCCTTTCAGTGGAGGCTATTCTGCTGGCAGTGGCATGAGTAAGTAATTGCAGGGCTGCACCTTGAACCTTTAACCCCGTAAGATAATGGGGTAGCTTGCAAAATTAAATGCCTATACATTTTTTTCAATGATTAATTCTGTCTGTTAATTGGAAACTGCAAGCTGGAAGAAGAATTAACTTTTAACAAATGCAAATTCAATTTATTAAATGTCATAGCAAAATGTCACAGCACGTGACTAACCGTTGCCCTGAATTGGTGTGCACGTGGGGGCTTCATTCACTGGGACCAGGAACACCGATAGCGTTGCTGTTGCAGTGTTCGTCCGCCCTTTATCGTACACTCTTATTGACAAAATATAGAATTTCGGCGTCAGCGCGTCGTCATAATCGAGCTTCCTCGAAGACGTGATCACACCAGATCCTGTCCAAGTAAAGAAAACAAATCAAATGAATTTCATAGCAAATACATATTGACACCATTAGCAGTAGTTTTTTTATGTAAGTAAAATATCGCAGCAAAACCTACTTAACACACAAGTAAGAAGAATACATAATATAGGTGTTTTGGGTTAGATAGCATAAATATAAATGCGTCATTAAACCTGCCACCACCCGACACAGCCAATTAGTAAGGTGTTTCACGTAAACAGGACATGGCAATTTCGTCACGAGTACAGCATAGTATAGGTTTAACGACACATTTATATTTACGCGATCTAACCCAAAACACCTATATTAAGGATAATATTGGTCGTGAAAGCCGACGTGTTAAAGTAAGAAGAATCGTTCATCCACACGGATTATAGAACACTTTCCTTCATGTGTTTGTGCTTGTAAATACATACTTCATCACCACCACCACCTGATCATCATCACCAAAGTGATTGTCGAGGTGTCCTCGCCCCACCCACAGCAAACCAAAGGCCACGATGTGACCACAGGGCTCAGATAGTTCCCACTGTCCGAGAGGGCGTGGCTTCTTTTAGCACTGGTTTTATATCCAACTTTTGCACAACCCGTTGATCATTTAGTCCAGTTTTTAATAGCTAAAGTCCATAATAGCACACAAGGCTTAACATTAAAGATCGGTTCATATTGGATCATAGTATGAATGTTATCGTGAACAGCTCACCACCCGCCAAAAAATAAGAAATGCTTTGAACATTATGGTGTTTGGAAAGCATTAGAGAGCAAACCACCTTCTGATGAATGCTCTTACCTGCAGCAATGGTGAACGCATCTGGCGTGGTGTCAGCAAATGCATAGGTCTGTGTGTCACCAGCGTCACGATCTGTAGCCGTAACCTGCAGCACAGGTGTGCCTGGAGGTTGTTCTTCAGCAAAGTTCGTTTGCGTGAATGGAAGTGGACTGTCACCAGAGGGCCAACCCACAGAGTGTGGTGTTACAAGGCAGCTGCATGCTATTCAATTCAATGTCTTTTATTTTAGCAGACTTAGATCACGTGGGTTCTTTACTCTGTGTTATATTTTCGTTAAATTCATTGCATTTCCCGATACAAGATGAAAATATTGAACTGTGCATTGCACTTTAAAGTTATTGAGCAAACATTATCAACGCATATTTGTCTGCATGTTTTACCACAAGCAATGTGTGGTTAATGCAGATTTGATGCCTGGAAATAGGTGTCTATTTGGTGATGGAACATCCTATTATTATTGCCAGAAAGGGTAAAGTATTTTTTTTCATCATATTGGCAAAATAGGGTCCCATTGATACAAAGTTATTTTGTTGAGCTGGCAGCAATACAAAGTATATACACATCACAGCCAAACCACGCCGCGTTGTCTCGAGCAGGCCTTGTGCAGATCAAAATAGCTAATCAAGGTCTGCCACTCCAAACATGTCTTGCTTTTGCAAAAACACACTGAGACATAAATAAAATATGTCCTTTAATCTTTGAATCCTTTTTCATTACCACTGTGTTCTGAACTTGTCGACCGCCAGTCTTCAGTGTGGAGCACAAAGGCAGGTGAATATGTTTTATCATTTAAGGCTATGGTTTGCCGTTGCAAATGACTCGCATTATCAATCGAATGTAAACCGTACGATACGACGGGAGGTATAACGTTACCTGATGATGGGGGGTTCATCATTCGTGTCAAGTATATTCACGGTGAGAGAGCCGGCGCACGTGAACTGCTGCTGCGTGCTCACTTCTCTCACCGTGATATTCAAATGCACCACCTGTGAGTGGCATCGTGAAGCATAGACATCGTAAAGCATCAACGCAGTGGCGATTATCAGTCACGCTGCCCTAAACGGCAACAACAAAAATGTAAATAGGTAACATTTTGGCCAATGGCCGTTCTTCAAAGCTGACAGATTTACTCAATAATAGTTGGAGACTGCACCGTACACCATGGATCCCTGACAAACGTTTTATTTTATCTCGTGTTTTCGAGATGAACAGTATTAAATCGGCATGTGAACGTTGCCCATTCGTAGATATAATTCAGGGCAATGTTTATCGACGGCAGTGTTACCAAAATAATGATGCTCGTGCACCACTGCCAATGATTCACGGCAGAGCTGGACTAGATGTTCCCCCAGTGGAGGCTTCTCAGTCGAAGAGAAGAGAGCACGAGTCACTCACGCGGAGGTTTGCTTCGTAGTCCAGTGGTGACAGAGAGCTTCTCTCCACGGCGCCACTGGCGGGGTTGATTGTAAAGTAGCCCTTGGGTCCACCGGGTGGAATTTGAGAGACGATGTCAAACTGCAGAGGGCCGAAAATTATGAGAGAGATTAAAACCAAAATCCGAGAAATTCCGGCAAATTATAATGTCAATGGGGAATTAAGAGCCAGCTATCTTACCTTGACAACACGGCTTAAACACATAATTTTGGGTGACTTTCCCCATTGCGAGTCATGTGTTAACAAAACAAACCTTTTTTTTCAAGATAGAAATCTGTTCCTAAAGTGCACAGCTTAAAGCAAAAATTCTGAAACCATTTCACATACCCCCAAATGGTGCAGGTTTCGATTTGTGCCATCGAAATAATGACTGTGGTGAAGATATCACCACGTTCACACAAAATATATATATATAAGATGAGAATCTGTCCGAATGTTTCAAATACGGTTTCTAAAACGCCTCTCCTTGTGCCCAAAAACAGCGCAAGTTTCCCTTTGTACCAGCCAGGTCTGTGTCATAACGATTGTATTTGCATATTAATAGAGAACAATGCGCATGGTGCTGAAGTTCCAGTATTAAAATCAATAGTTATGACGTGTTTCCAATAGAGTCCTGATTTACACTGCTGATTCAATCTGTGAACAGGGGATCTGCATCAGATAGTTATCAGAATGCAGTGTGCACTCGTCGAGAATAGCAAGACAATTTCGATGTAAAGCTTTCGTGACTGCAGGGATTCATCTTCTTGGTTCTTTCGGTAAAGTCACGTAGAAGGGAAATAATACAATAATAAAAATAAAACATAATAAAATACAATTATTTGATAGCGCTGTCTTTCCGACAGCTCTGTTTCTTCACCTGAGGACGGCTGCTTGTGTTGTGGCCGAAACGTCGTGAGAATTTTATTTTATTGTTTTATTTTTATCATTGTATTATTTCCCTTCTACGTGACTTTACCGAAAGAACCAAGAAGATGAATACAAGACAATGTTTATTAATATATGGTCCAAATCTGGCTGCGTCTCTGGACTCTGCACAGAAATAGTAGGCATATTCATGTCAGAGAGAAAGGCCGTTGGCAGAAGCTGGACTTGGACATTGGCGGAGAGTCAACAGCAGGGATGGCTGTGGGAAGCGAGTTTCATACCCTGCTGTCTCCAGACGAAGGAGGCAGCAGACACGTCTTAGAAGAAATGTCTCAATGAAATATCTGATTTGTTGCATACATTGATATTGCGGTGCTGTACTTACAAACAGAGCATCCTTTTCTGGATCTGGCGCAACAACTTTGTAGACATTTTGTCCATTCGGAGCATTTTCAGGTATTGATACAGTTACGCCTAAACAGAACAAAAACATGCTTCATGAACATTCTAGCTGAGCCGTCAACTCAATAAATAATACGGAAGTTTGAACAATATGGTACATAATGTGTAACAAATAACGGTGAACATTTCCAGCGGTGATGACATATAAAATGCAGGTTACCACTTACCCTGCACAAAAGCATTTTCACAGCTTGGCGGTTCGTTCACATTCAGTATTCTTAGCTGCAGGGTGGCTGATTTTTGCACTGCTCCACCAGCCGCAGATATTGAAATGCTCACAGTGTACAGCTCTGATGCTTCAAAGTCAACAGATGAGCCTGTGTCGAGGACCAGCTGTGGGCATACCAAAAGCAGTATTTTTTACTGATTCATCAAGACCATTATGTATGATTGATTTTACAATCGTATTTAGAGGTGGCTAGGTGGCTCAGAGGTCAGAAGCACTTTGGGTACCAATTCAGACACCACCCCCCGCCATGATTCAACTAGGTTCTCAAGCGTAATAACAAGGTCAGCAATCAATGCACAATAAAAACATTGCGGTAGGATTCTTTTGTTGTTATGAATATGGATATATTCCAGCTCTGAGAATTTCTACAAAAAAATAATCAGTTTCCTTGCCATGATAGCAAAACATTTCTCTCTGTGGCAAGGTGGGTTGGTGCTGCCACTGAGGGTGCATTAGAGGTCACTTGGAGAGATTTCAGGAGCAGTTCTATGATATCTCATTCCACGGACTGTTCTCTAGCAGGGGATGATGCACTGCTCTGCAAACATTCTGAAAAGAGTATTTTATGAAAGCATATTCCAAAGAACACAGGATGAGATGTTACTATCCTTTGTGCAAGCACTTCCAAAAGTTCATGAACAGTGAGCCTGGTGAAATTTGGGGAGCGCATCGTCAGTAGTGAACCTTTGGGTCCTAGGGTGTTTCGGCCTTTCATACTATACACCCTCCCCAAAGGCGGCCAGCGACAGGGTGATCAATCCTACGCTTGCGTCCCATTCCCAATTAGTCATAGGAGTTGCCTTGTTGTTGATAGCCAACATCCCATGGGACTATGCATGGCAGGGGCGTCCTCCTCCCTGAGTCAAGCATTGTTGACTGCATACCTCCTGGCCCTCTCACTTTGGGGCCCAGCTGGGGTCTTTCCTCTTCATCCAGAGCCACTGACTGCTGCCTTATATAATAGCCTATAATATATGTACCCTTTGAAGGCAGTGTATTGACAAATGTGTTGCGTTTACTGTTAATTGTGCTTTGTCCACCAATGCCAATGTAGCATCACCAAATAATGTGTTTAAAAGTACATTCAGGAAACCTGGGGTAGATTTTTTTGTTACAATATTTTAATAACTGATCAAATATACGTGATGTAGTTTTAATGTGCACAGGTACTGTTAGAGGATTGAGACAGCATCACAACGTATAAATACTAAAAATTTACTTAAAATGTTGACAAATTTTAGAACGTCACAGACAATGCATAGGTATGCTTCTTTGGACCACTGATGCAGATACTTACTTTGAAAAATAGACTCAGTGATGCTTATGAGATTGCATATCATGGTACTTTTTTTAATTACTGTAATGTGTAGTCATTTGACAATATGCCTTCATACAGATTGTGCAGTTTACAAGTGCATTTTTTCCTCCAGTGATGGCTGTAGGTTCGTTTAAAAGTTGCAGTGACACTTAATAGCTGTGGAAGTTACGTTACCACAATTCACAAGTGTTACACTTATCGTGATGACGCAGATAATGGACAGGTGCCAGACGTACGACCATGCCGCTCTTTTAGATTATCCAAACAACACGTTACATTCTGAAACGATAATGCAACGCTGTCACTCACTCGCGCGGCACATTCTCACCTGCACATCATATGTGACCACAGAGCCAGACTTTATTGGTCCACTTATGAGCGGTTTTAAGCGGATGAACGCAGGGACGATGGCTTCAATCCGTGTGGTTAGCAGCGACTGTGCGACGCTGACATTGGCCACTACTTGAAAGGTTGCCACGGTGGTTGCTGGAGGGGAATTTTCCACCAGGTCGTAACTAGCTTTCAAGCTCTGAAATTCTACGTTTGGAAAGACATCATAATCTTAAGGGGATTTTGCAGGATTTGACATTGTCCATTTGATTCTGTACACTTGTTTGAACAACACTATTTCATTTCAAAGCGAAATGAGTTTAAGAGTTTTGAGAGTTAACAGAAATGTATTTTTCTCAGGTGTCATATTTAGCAATTGGTGTATAGAAATGCTGCATATTTGTATATGGCTCCATACTTTTGACTGTATTTTACTGTAGTGCATAACGTTAATGTATTTGTAACTAAACAGTTACAACAGGTATGCTTCATACATTAAAAACAACATCCTCTATTGTGAATCCAAATAGAACTTACCTAAACCATCAGCTTGAGCAGATGTTACATCTACCAAAACACAGCAAGCATTATTATGTTATACATTTACAAGTGCCGTAATTTTATTAAAATGAAGTACATGATTTCTAATGTCTGAAAATCATAGTTTCCTTACCTGCTACAGCAAAGATGGTTAAAACAAACAGAATCACATTCTTTCGATACATTATGAAATATAATGCTAATATTTATTACTCATAAGAAACGAATTTTCAACCACAAACGAGTCCTGTCTACAAAGTAGGCACTGATGCAATGAAATTTCGGTGAGATCCCGAACTCAACAAGGCGCAAATGCTTTTTGGTCATTTTATAAGCGAGGCAGTGTCTTCATTGCCGTGACATTCAGTGACATCACTGAGTCTTGTTTTCATAAAGGTAATCTGTGTTTCTTAGCATTTCAATTCAGAGGCTAAGGCAGCTGAACTTCTGCATACGCTACGTGTAAGGCCATGGAAGTTTGCAGACACTTTCGTTGATATAGCTACTTATGATCATGTGGGGTTATGGCAACAAGATCTAAATATTAAATTTGGATGACTAGAATTAATAAATAAAAAACTGATTTAAAAAACCACTGAGACTGACAGACCCAGTCTTTGTTTTTTTTTCAAAATATGCCCAGGTTTTAATAAGTACAGTCCAACAAAAGAGCAGATTGCAATTTACAAGCATAATACATATTATCTCATACTATAACTCTGATTTACAACACAGGTTAGAATATGGAATAATAATAATTATTATTTAAATGAGATAGTATGAAATATAGTTATAATGTATGTGTATCATATTGGTGCATCTATTGGATTTTTGCCTGAAACATTCGTAAATAAATATGTATTTTGTCAAATGTGTCCATACATTTTAGACTATTTTATTTAAATAGCTAAAGTAACAATTTCCCAGGCCAATGCTGCCTTTTTGACACATTATAATTTAATAAACAAATATATACCGTGTACAACTCTCAAGTACTTCCATTTTTTTATTATCCCAAAGAAAATTAAAACTCAATTAACCAGTTATATTGAGTTAATTATTGCCTTGGATTGCACGGCACGATCGCACTTGTTTGCCCAGGGATTTGATGGCCACAATTGATCCCAGGAATGGAATGCTTGTTGCTAGCAACAGTTGTCACCCAACAAGCGCTGAGCTAACACCCTGAATATGTTTTTAAAAGGGCTTCCCGGTCACACTTATGGGGATGACTTTCTGCTTAACGCTGGCTTACGATGTGCCCTGCTTCTGGCTGAAGTATTTAAAGCGACACAAGGCCAACGGTCGTAGCGATAGACAAAGTCATAGTTGCTTTCACAAAGACCTTGCTGAAAAATATGCAGTGCAGAGCAATATTGGTGTATCGTTTAACATTATGGCTGTTCAATGCCTACATAAATTACAGCTTCTGTGTAAGTGTACGAGTTGATTTAAATTGCGATGAAATATATTATTTTATGATGGCTCAGGCTTTCTCATTTCAATATTTTGGTCAGGTTTCATGAACATTTATTCGCAGAAATGTAATATATTTTGCTCTGTAATCACTCCAGGATTTAGCAGGGTAGAGCCTGTGTAAGTGTTTGGATAGGTGACCGCCTATGCATGCCAGGTTGTTCTAGGCAACTTCAGTGCTGCACCACAGTGTATTAAGCGGAAGGCAGTGCAGACTAATGTATTACAGGACCGTACGTCTAAGATTCCACGGCTACAGTCCCCACCCCATACATCAATAATCCCCCATGATGTAAAGAGGCCCTCATCCAGCAGTGGATTGACAAAACGGCTGTACAAATACAAAACACGACTGTTTTCACTTACTCGACTTCGCTGCTGATATTTTTGTACACGTATTTAAAAACAGCGACGATCATATTGTTTTTAAAGTCATGGGTAACTAGACTCGGGTGTGCAGAAGTTAATGAAAAATGTCATTTCGCCATGGATATAGATGTAATATAACATGCACTTTACTTTTTTGTATACACCATGAGACAATCTGTATTATTTTTAGATGCTCTTGTACACAAAGGCATTGGCAGCTACGTTCACAAAGCATTAATGACACGTGCAGAATTAGCTATTACTTTATATGCACACCCAGATAGAATTACCAGACGCATACACATGCAAGAGCACAAACGTGCACGCGCACACACACACACACACTGTGGCTCGAAATGCCACAGCGATAGCATTTTATAATAACTTACAACTACAGAAGATCATTTGAGGCTATCGGGAATTGAAATTAGATTGTAAAAAGCCCCCTCAAGATGTTATGATGTAAGAACAATTCATGCTTAGTCAAGAAACACAAACTACAACACTTGAGCAATATCTAGTATTAATGCACAATGAGTCAATACATATTATGTTCCAAATAACCAACTGAATATGCCAAAAATATACCACCACATATTTGTCCCTCCGCAAGTTGGTATATATATAAAAATATCCCATCAGTCTCACAGCATTCTGGGAGTGCATAATTGCAGCAGTATTGGTTTAATACCAGAAAACGTTGGACGGACTGGATTTGACATCCAGTGTCTCATCAGCTGTAAAACACTGCCAAATGAGGCTTATGTATATCAGTTATGTGGGTGGACTGGGACTGGTGGTTTGGTCAGGTTCAAGGTATGTTTTGTGTGGGGTGCATATCGATGTATTATTGGGTCATGTAGAGAAATCAAGTCGATGATATATTAATGCACCAACCATTAAACATTTGCTAAGAATGTGGGAGTAGTTCATTTGGTTTAAATTGCCAACGTAGCATAACCTATCTTTAATAAAATGCCAACAAAGTATGGACATTGCGGGTGAAAATAATAATAAAAATATATATTAAAAATTCCATTAGGAAACCTAACTCATGAATGTAGGTTACTGGACAAATCGCATTAGAGACGAGTATGATTGTAGGAACTCGTCATGTTTTTTTTTTTCTCAGCTCAATAATCCCTTGAGAAAAACTTGTTAGATCCCCTAAGTTGGTAACAAAACACTGTAACTAGACCCTATAGGTCATGGGCAGCAGTGTCTGAACATCACGTTAACTGTAAGCATGCTTAAGTTTATTGCTATCTGTCTGGGCGAAGAAAGGTCATTGAAACGGTGTAATGATTTCAAACTGGAGTCTGCACCTGTTCCATTTAGTTAAATGAAACACTTGCTGTTTTGGCTGACAGGACACCGGTAATGCTCCTCATTTCATTGGCAAACTTTGTGACACATTCTGGAATCTCGCTCCGTGGTGTCCAGACTTTAAATAGTGTTCAACATCACAGGAGTGGAAAACACCGAGTCACATGTCATGTCGGCTTACTTTTTTTGTGTTTGAAAATCTGCTGTAACATTTACGCAATTTCATTATCTCAATGAAATTCTAAGTGAGAATAAAAGCGAATTCAGTCTCGTATTTGCTTCACTCTATAATGAATGAAAATGTTCATGCTTGTGTTTTTTTGGTAAGAGAATGGGTGGTCTAGCGGTCACAACAAACTACTGGGCTTTTTTTCCCTGCAGTTGATGGTTTAACTGCAGTGTTTCCAGGGATTTTGTTTCTTACCAAAGGATCCCACCATCTGTAAAGTGGAAATTAAAGCGCTTTGAGATTTCATCACTCACAAAAGAAGGCCATTTTGTTCCGGTTGAAAGTCACTTGCAACTAAAATTACTGAAAGCATAGCCTGCACATAAAAAACACACTTACGTCTGTGTTACTTTTAATGTGTCTCCACATTGAATCAGATGTTTAGAAACAAGTTGTAGACAAAAGTGTAAAAGAATACGCGCAATAATGCTTTGTTCTGTACTTGTATCTACACATATCTCTTGAACGTACAGTTCCTACCGACGTGTGGACTAAGTAAAAAAACAATTCAAGCACCAAATATTTTCATCAACACTCACCGACCCACTTTTTGCCACGAGTGCCCATTCCGGTCACATTTACTGACACAGTTATAGTGTCGGGTTTTTTTCTCTCCCCCCCCCCTACCTTCCTCGAAATAGGAGTGCCCTTATAAGAAGACAGCTGTGCTAGCGGCCAACCCTCATTTACGCCTAGCCAGTGTCACCTGGGCAACCAACACTGAGCCTTTATTGAAGGCAACAAGCAGAGGCGATGTGGAGGGCCTTTTGTACGCGAATTATAAATTGAACAGCCCACCGTGTTGTGGCATTTAAGACACAGTGAAAGCTTCACTACGGTACAAGATTAATTGACCTTTTCCGATGTAAAAAGGAAGGGCAATTGTGTGTGTCCTCCCCTCCTCCACCACCCACAAGCAGGACAAAAGCCTCCAAGCAACTGAACACAGCCACAACATATATTACCAGTAAGTGGTTTCAACCCATGTTGATTGGGCACACGCAGCCCATCGCAGGAGCTGCGATTGGTTGCATGCCAGCTTTTTTCCAGAATACAAAATAAAGAAATAAACTACTTGTCAGAATGGCAGAAACAAACCAGTGATTATCTTTGGTTTGAAATACAAGCGTTTGAAACAGTTTAGCTGCGGTAAGTGAAATGTATTTGACAAATATGGCCCAATACCGTGGATATGTATTTATACACTAATTTGACGTTTGCTAAGATCAGCTCACCTTACAATACCTGCGCCCATGTATAATTGGCACTATGCTCTGGATTTGTGATGTCGTAGTATAATATCACAGTTTAGTTTATGCACGTACATTATTGTGGTATGTGTGCATTGTTTAATTAAAAGTGTGAAACAGTAACAAGTGAATCAGCAACATAAGCTAGAAGATATGTTGCTGATAAAATGATGTTAATCTGGTATTTATAATTTTTTATTGTTTTTATGTTAGTAGTGGCAGAAAGCTGTTTTGAGGTAGCAGAGTAAGTTTAGCGATCGCCCTCGATCCTACTGCCCTCCACATAACAAATGTTTATTTCTAAAAGTTATTCTCCAGTTTAGGTTATATATGTAGAGTATTTGTTGTTTTGCTGTGTTTATCATTGAACAGAAATTGTTGTTACCATCAAAACTAACTTCAGTCCCACGGTTTCCTCATGAATATAAATGTTTTGCACAACTCAACTGTGACTGTACACACGTAATGCACCTTTCTTGTGCTAATCATTAATACATCAGTGCTTCATTATGAAACAAATACAATAAATCACAGTATCGTGTACAAACATTTATATTTTAATTTGAATGTGCAAGATTGCAATTTACTCTTCACATCGCAATCTCACGATAACGACGTCACGTCGGCATCAGTAAAAAAACAAAGAGAGGCATTACTTTGCCGTACTTCTTGATCATCAGGTGTTAACATTCCAGACACGTTTGCGAGCCATCAAAAATTATACTTAAAAAAGAAAACAGCAAAAAAAATTGCCTGGTAACATATGCGACTCACACTGCCGCGACCTTTTCAGTTTTGGGCATGACCTGCGCGATTTTCACCGAGTAATTTTATTATCGGTTGCCATGACCAGAAGAATGTAGCATGCAATGCATGACACGCAGTGACCTCCACCGAGGCCCCCACCTCAAAGGCACAAAAAGCACAGAAGCATTGTGACCAAAGTCCTTTTTTTCTCTCTCTCTTGAGTTCATAGGACTGGTGGAATGTTTATGAAATCCACTGACTGTAAAGTCGCATTCGAACGTGCACGTTTCCACCGTGTGCCAAGGTCAGGGACAACAACAGCGCCACTTGTACACACATTGCAAGGTATACCAGCCCTGAACTGCATTTAAAATGTCCTCTCCGTAGTTCCCACAGTCGTGGGGCTTAAGTAAATGTGCAATGGGGAATTAGTATGAAATGCACGTCCAATTGCGTACGCGCAAGTTATACAACCAGCTGTTATGAAATGTATATGTTTAATTTACACATTCGAGGCCATAAGAAACAAACACAGAAGGCGGACTTATACAGTCATTGCATATATAATAGGATTGCCACGCATTTATGGGGCTTCTCAGTAAGCCTTATAAAAGGGGCAAATATGTATCACATTCAATCTTCTGTTATTTGTTACTTGGGCTAGAGTGGTGGCACTTTGCTCAGCGCACTGCGCTACGAAACCGGTAGGCCAGAGTGAAATTCTCAGCCATGGCTAGCGTCATATTGGTCCTGTGGCCCCTCTCTCACCAAACTGCCCTGACCAGCATCGTGAGGTGTGGTCGAACAACCCCAATGATCAACACAGTGTGGGAAGGCCTTCGTCCAACACTATGTATGCACATATGTTGGACTTCTTTTGTACTGTACGTTTGGCAACCGTGCTAATCGGAGGGGCATGTGAAGGACAGCAGTTCTACAGAAATTCGTTTTCAATATCGAGTTAAAAGTGCATAGCTCCAGTGGCTTCCTAATATCGGAAGGAAGAGCGTTCCAGACAGCTGCAGAAGCGCATCTTAAAGTGCGCGATACAGCGACTTATTTTTTCGATGGCCAGCCAAAAGCTTGATGGCTAGCCGTCTGTCAACACTAGATCGACAAATGACAATGAAATATGATTTTTAAAAAAACTATTATTCGTTTTACTTGTTGACAGTTTACAAATAAGCCTAGCATTTAGGTGACATTCGGTTGTGTTTTGGTATTTTATTACATTAAAACACAAATCCCTGTATGGTTCAAGGTTGAAAACCGCAACAAAAACTAAAAACTCGTGTAACATGACCATCTAGAATCCCCTATCTTGGAGGATGTTGCCTTGAGTCACTGACACATTTCTTGGTGCCACACACGCGATATGAAGTCACTTGCTTGTACAACGTCAAAGCGGCATGAATCTCTTAAGCTTGTTCGGCGTGGAAACTGAAAGGCAGCGCATAGACGAGAAGAAGAAGAATGTCGATTGGTAAGTAACCGAAACTCGTTCGAGATTTAGAGAAAGCTCATCGGCATGAGAACCACCCCGTTTGTGGGATTAAGTGGACGAATGTATGGCGATAACCTGATCCGTGTCAAAAACACAAGACAGGCAGCCTGTTGTAATAATGGACTACAGTCGTGGAATAATCTGCTTAGTACTAAATACCCAGTAGACTGAGTTCTCACAATTGTCGTGGACATAAACAGACGAATCATTGTTTTCCCATGAAATGTATACACTTCGTTATTTTACCCGCGTTTAAATTTTACAGTCATAAAAAAAACAAGCGTACACATTACACTTGCAGGAAAGCCTCCGCGTCGCTGGTTAATCATCAACTCGCCGTTTGAATATAAAAAGGGGGGCATTAGGTGGACTAAAGAGGGACGCTTTTTCTGACAAACTTTTGCAACAAAAAAACGTAGTCTTAGATTTTTACTTAAAAGCCACAGAAGACAAGTTTGTTGGTTGCCACCGGGAGAGTCGGCGGACGAATTTTGACGAAACAATTTTTTTTTCAGTGCGCCATCAAACTCCGCAAAGTGCTCTTTTAGAAAAATAATAGCCTATGGAGAGAGCGTGCGATTAGGCGTAGCTACACAGGAAGACGGCTGCACGTGGTGTGTGCGCTGGGTTCACAGTCGTGCTCGCTTGTTGCATGCAGCAGGTGAAAATGCCACCGGCGGTTTAGCCACACCATGAACTAACATTCGCTTTTCCGTGGGGCACCTTAAACTTTGAACATGTGCACGGTATGTATATCATTATTATTTTTATTGTTATACTTTTTTTTGCTTTACGCCTCCAAACTCTGTCGTTTTTTTTTTGGAATTGCGTGTGCCTGTGTGTGTCATCGTGCAGTTGACATTCTAAAACCATTTTTTTTCTCATATCATTGGAAGAGGTGTTGTATATTTGTATATATATATACACACGCTTATTAGCACGCCTTTCAGGGCTGGCCCTGCTGTTTAGTTTGTCTTGCTTTTAGATCTTGCGGGGCTGTCAACTGATCTGTGTAGATGTAAAAATAGAAGCGCATGATCGTATTCTGTTTAGTCACAGGCTGCGTGTGCGCGGCACTGATTAGGGGCTCAGAATAAGCACCATTCAGACAGGACGTGAATTAGAATTCGCTAGCAGCTGTTCACCGTAGTAGCCGCCCCCCCCCCCCAAAAGAAAATATTTTAATAGCATTCCGTTACAGATTTCACTTTTTTGTAACAATGTTTCCGAGCATTCTGCTTCGCTCCCTAACCACCAGAGGTTTGTGGGCGCTGTGAAAAAAAAACTGACCGCGGTAACTTTTTTTTTAAAACGTGTTCTGATCAAACCAGAGGTGTCAGAAAATGGATTGCATCGCGCTGCTCCTCACGCTGGCCATCGTCTGCGCCGGCGGTACGGCTCGACAGCAGAAGGTGCCACGAATCCGCCTCTCCTTTCAAGGTACAACGTCTTTCTCTTTCCGTACTCCGAGAGTTATTGCAAACCACGTCGTGGGCGCGTGAAATTTTATTTTTTTAAACTGCTATGGTTTAAAATGAAGAACAATGATATTCTGTCAGTGTTAGCGCATGTGAAAAAAAACGATTTTTGCATTCAACTAAAAGTAAAAACAACGAGCTGTACATGTACTGTATTATGATATGCAAACAGAGACTGTGGGTGGGTGGGGGGAGACAGCATCTCTATATGGTAAATGAAGCAATCAAGTTTTCCTGGAGTCGTTCAGAGAAATCCAGGAACTGTGCTTTCCTTGTCACGAAACTTTAGGTTTATGCACTGTAGGTGGCTAAGTAGGATCAGCACCGACTGAGCTGAAGAAAACATTCGGCCTTAATCAGCCTCCTTTGGAAAAATATCTCCTCGCACTTGTTATTTTGTCCCCATTGTGGGAGTATTTTTTTTTTATTCCTGCGCGAAGAGAGAAAAAAAATGGGACGTGCGGGTGAAATGAATGTACGTCTTTCACGAAGAGTGCCCTCGTTAAACTTCACTGGCACACTCCCCAAAACGTCAAAAAAGCGCCTCTCCTTTAACCCACCAGTTTGGAATGCCTTTCTAAGACCAACTGCTTTTTTAAGATTCAATGGGAAATACTGGTGGTGGCTTTCATGAAATAGGAAGTCCACAGTTCAATTGTCGCCATTCACGCTAGACATTTAAAGCAATTAATAGGCATGAAAAGAGCTTGAAATAATACATCTGTGAGGAACTTATGTCACTCACAGATACAGACACAACGTGATAACCGTTTGAATTAATGTCTACTTTTAATCGAATTTGTCGGGATGAAAATGTGGCTTTATACAGTAAAAGGCAATGAATGAAATTGTAAAATGCTGCTTTGCAAAAAGTTATCATCCACAGTAGTCCATTTTCGAGGTCCTAGCTCCATAAATGAAATGTAAATATTGCCTTCTGAGTTTACACTTTCCAGCACTTTAATTTTTTTCTAGAGGAATTCACACCAGTGGGAGAAAGGCCATTGCATTACATTTTAAAACTTTTCTTTAAAATACAATTTGTCATTTCGAAATTTGAGTTTTTTTCTTGACCTATCGCACTGAAACGTATAACTTAATAACAGTACTTGATGAATAATTACATTACATTTTGGAAATTTCCTGTGCTCAACTGTATAATACCACGTTGTATAGAGGATGTTGAGAAATTAACAAACTAAACAAGTAAAAGAAAGTTGAAACGATGTAAAAGCCCGTATTTGCATTAGAATCGAGCAATAGCAGCTAAAACAAAAATACCTTTGTTCAATCGACTTGGCTCTAAATGTATGAGGAGCACATGATATTGTAAAATAACATGGTGGTACTTAAGGCAAAATACAAGTACTCTACCTTTATCTAAAAAGGTCACAGTGCGGTCCAAAGTAACAAGTGCCATATACAGCCCTTCCTTAAATCGAAATTCTCTCACGGTAAACACAGCTACGAATTGTACCGCTGCATGTGACTAATCCACTTCACAGGGTCAATTCATAAGTATAAAAAAACATTTTTTTTTAAAGTTCCTATTGTAAACATATCATACTGTACTGCTGATCACCCATGGTCAAGAAACTTCTGGATGAAGCACTTCTGAGCTGCTGCTTCCATATCGGATGATACTTTAGGAAAAAATAATAAGAGATTATAACTCATGATAGATTTGTTATTTTCACCAGCCATGGTGAAATCAACTGTTTGGTGAATGGCCAACCCACTACGTGTAAGTTTACATGAATTATTCGACCATACTTCACCAACCTGGGAGACTTTGCTGTTTTTCCCAGGATTTTTATGTTGCGTGTAGTCACTTTAAGATGTTTCTTGTTCATGTTTTTGTTTTGTTGCGGTTGCACCCGAGTCAAGAGCCGCTTGGCTCACAGGGTTATACCTAATAAATAAAATTAAACTGAAACCTGGTCAGTTCATGATGGGTCCAGAACCTCGTCCCCGATATCAATCAATAATGATAATAACCCCGGCTGGGAATAAAACTCAGGTCTGTGGGTTTCTTGTACAGCACACTAATATTTGAACCACCGTTCCAACCCATCGTGTTTGTTGTAAAATTACTTTTTTTAAAAAATATAACAATTGTACTGTTACATACGTTGTGAAATAGCTGGCCAATGTTTAACTGCTAGATACTCGATGCCTAATGACTCACAGTGCAAGCATTAGTGCACGCTGCTTATTTACCTATTGCAATAACTTAACGTTAATTTATCCATATTGCCAGAGATTCTCCTGCTCCTGCTGGAGACCACCCAAGTAAACCCTGTAGTCTATCCAGTGGTCACAAGAGTTAATTAAAGTCCTTTCATTCATCTCTGCACTGGATTGAAACTCATCGTCCCACTGGATTTACACAACACTCCGGCGTACCACAAAGCTTTAGTTCACTAAGCCATCTTAACTGATCCACGAGCAATGTCGTTTTTAGAAAGGCTTACACTTCACAGTTTAATATTATCGCTATATAGTGTTTCTTAAACGTTTCTAAATTTCTTTCTTGCTAAATACACTACTTGTTTAAGTAAAAACTATTTGAACATTTTTTTAATTATATAGCTCTTTTTTCCAGGAGCGACTGGCCAAAAATGAAAGCTCAACGAAGTTGATTATCACGTGGAAATGTATTGCAGCTAAATACTCTAAACGCATGTTTCGAAATGTTGAAGGAAAAAGCGGAGGACCTGAAAAAAAATCTACACGACTACGGGGATAACATGTAAACTCCAAATATATAGGCGTCAGGGTCAGGATCTAACCCACGACCTCCTTCATACCAGGCGAGGGAGTTAACATCTCACCATCGTGGCGCCTTGAGATACTGCCGCGTTGCAATTGTTAGCACGCTGGACTTGCAATTCAGAGGTCGCGGGGTCAATCTCCTGGTGAGGCAGGACAAACAATGGGCGAGCTTCATAAATCCCACCAGCCTCTGTCCACCCAGAAGTAAAATGGGAACACGTAATTTAGTTGGGCGACTGGCACGTTGTGTGTGGTGGGGTGAAGTGTGGGCATCCCCGCTTCTTTTGAGATGTCTGGCCAGTGGAGGCCCTTCCGACAGCAGTGGCGTGAGAGAGTGATTTTGCTCTTCGGGTTCATTTCATGGACTTTGTCTCTTTAAAATAAATTCTTGAGGATATATATATGAGCTGTGTGTGAAATGACGATGATTTTACAGGTTACCTGGAAAATTTGAAAATGCTAAAAGTGTTGCATCAATGAGAGTTGGGAGGGTGGAGGATTAGACATTTTATGATATACAATAAACCTTACAATCAAATATTCTTATTTTGTTACATTCAAGTTCTGCCGGTTCTAGATGTAAGTACATGAAACGCATTTTTTCTTTTAAGCTTTTTTTTTTACTCTTTGTGACCGGATGGAATTTTATACCTTCAGGATTATGTTACACTAGTACAGTATACAAGGACCATTTATTCACAGGTACCTGCCATGGAATAAATAATGTATTTATATAAAACAAATACCAAGTATTTGCATTGCAGCAAGATGCATTGCATGGACATATATTATGCGTATACTGCATTCACTTTACAATTACGGTACTCTATACAACCGGCGTGTAGGTATATCCAGAAAACCAATGTGTTTTTGGATTAGTCCATCAAACTAAAAATAACAGGATAACATGTTGATGAATGGCACATACATACTGTGGTCTGTCTAAGCTTGTGTGCAGAGTTGGTCTGGTCTTGTGTGGTGTGTCCACATATTTTTTTCTCTGCCCAAAGGGGTTTAACTGCGCCAATACAGAACGATAAAAAACAACACAAGAGTGCAGAGTGGCGCCTTTGGGTGCCATTCCCATGGTTATTTGCCAACCACTCCACCTACACTATGTCAAGTTGAAGCACTACACGAATTGACACCAGGCTATTCTTTCCCTCCATGTTTTGAAAGGATGGCTAAACAACAAAAAAACTGGCTTCATCTTTAAATCATTCGGTCCACACATGGTGGGACTAAATACTACGCGAGGGTTGCAAACTCATGTCCATAACATTGTTATTTGCTCAATTTGTAAGGTAATCAAAATGTATAACACGTCTGTATGATCACGTAAACGTGTATATGATTCGCATAGGTGTGTTTCATAATTCTACTACACAAATGAAATCAAGATAATAATGACTAACTTTTTTTATCTTGGCATCTTGTTACCTGTGTTATTCGTGGGGGTTTGTTTTTTTAAACAGTACACTTTCATGAAATGGTGGCTAACTTTTTGGCAGCCTTTCAAGAGGTATTAAAAGCTGCCACCGCATGCTGTGTTTCATGGCTTTGCGTCTGGGAGATCTTTAAAAAAAAAGAAATGGAGTGAAAGAAGGAATAATTTTTTTTAAATGTGTTTTGCCTGCGCTTAGATCTCTTGGCAACTCAGTCTTCAGAGCACTTGCACCCAATGCATGGCTCATCGGATTATCACATCCTTCTGATGGACGAAGACAAGGACAGGATCTATATCGGAGCAAAGGATTACGTCTATTCACTCGATATGAATAATATCAGCAGGACGCCTCTCAAAGTAAGCTACTTGATATCGGCTCGGGCTTTGTTTTAAATACCATCAAAGGCGTCTAAAAACGGATTTACTGCTAAGGTCCCAGATCGTCTATTGTGCGATATTCAAATCGTTAACGGTGCCTGAATCTATCTAGAGGGAGATTGAATGGGTGAACTGTCCCTGTCAATTACTCACAATCTAAAAGTCCACCACCACCTTCAAAAAAATGACCGCTTTTAAGAGCTCCTCTGCATTGGGAACCGCTCCCTGAAAGAGAAGTGAAACAGACACTAAAAGAAACGACTACCGATTGCGCAGACGTGGCTTGCTGTCGACAGCCATTAACATGTTAACACATTTCAGGTTCATTGGCCGGTTGGGCCACTGAGGGAAGAAGAATGCAAACTGGCTGGAAAAAATCCCCAAGTAAGCAAATGTGTGGGTCTCTGATTACGCGCAAACTCAACATTACGTGACGATCTCTTTACTTAAAAAAAAACACTGTGGCTTTTATAGGAAGTAGTAGTTGGAATATGTGATTTTAATTCATATTTGTTCAGTTATTATACACTAGGAGTGGTAAAAAACAGGATTAAGATTTAGGTAATAAAGAATGCCAAAATGGACATTAAATCCACCTTGTCCCAAGGGGCCATATTTGTATGGCAATAACAGTAACGTAATTGGTGTCATGGATCACTAACTACAAAACAAGTAAGCATTCGTCTGTTTAGACTTTGATGTGCAGTACTGTTAGCAAAAAGTTGTCCTTCACATGCATATACGGTACACGTTCATATTCAGCACAATGTCGCATGGATCCCACCCGCTGGGGACTGTGGGATCGGCGGATATGTCAACGTTTATAAAACATGATCGTGCACAAATAGGGCACTGGACAAAAAAACCAGAGCGAATGAGGAAAACGGTTGTTGAGGGTACTGTAGAAACACGTTAGAGTGCGTGTGAGATTAAGAAAGAATCCTTTGTTTGAGAAGGTCAGATTTGTGAACATCTCTTGAAAGTGACACATTATTTGCTGATAGTGCATTGTCAGTGGTGGACAAGCACAAACAACAACAACAACAACAACAAAATTCAACACATTCTTCCATAACACGGCCATAAAAGTAAAGTAGATAACAGACAATGTTTCGGGCAATGACCCTTTATGTTTGGATATTTTTTAAAATAGAAAATAACAAGTCACAACATGAATAAATGCACTACTTCGTATGAGCAGCTAATTGATCAGGGCAGTCTGATATGCGACGTACTCTTCCAGTGCGATGTGCAAAGTATTCATGTGCAAACTGCATGCAGTAAGGTGCATGCACGAGCAGCACTCTGCATATCCACTGAAGAACCGCGCCTCACTTTGAGAATTTTTTTCTCAGGATGAATGCGGGAACTTTGTACGAGTCGTGCAGTCATTTAACAGGACGCATCTGTACATCTGCGGCACCGGGGCTTTCCAGCCCATTTGTACTTTCGTCACCCATTCGTCTCTTGCACAGGTAAGCGACTTGGTATTTATTAGCGATGTTAGTGCGTGCGTGCGTGAGTGAACGCCCTTGCGCTCTTGAGATCGCTCTGCGATGTGTTTTCATGGTTGTTTACGGTGGTGCGTTGCTCGTCATGATGTCTGACGCTTTTTTTTTGCATCCATGTGCTGAGAGTTTCTCTTGAGTTCCTCAAAGTAAAATATTCGAACTGAACAGTGCCTGAAGAAGCTTTCAGCACGTGGAGCAAAAATGTTGGACGTAATGCTAAACAGTAGATGGTACAACCCGAGCACACATCAAGGAGTTGTATAAACGAAACTTTGCCAATGTGTGGATTATCGTTGACTTGCTTTCTGTTATTTCAAACGTGCAAAGAAATGTTTAACAATACGAACGATGTGCCAACGTCACATTACATAATACACACCTTATACAAAGAGGCAATCCAGGACTTATATCAAACCACGAAAGCAGGCATTTCTATTTAAATGAATACATAATAGTGGTTTAAATAAAATGGTTTTCCCCCTGAAAAGAGTATTGGGGAAGTGCTTATCTCCTGCTATAGCGCTGCGCGAGTGGTGGAAATTCTAAACTCTCATGGTAGGGAGAGAATGTCCGTAAGACGACCACCGTTGACTTCCCACAAAGGGGTTTGCTCATAATTCATCTGAGAGGGCTAAACAGCTAAGCCGACCCCTGACTGGGATTTGAACTTGCAACCTTCCAATTGCGAACTGCACGCTCTAACGACAGTGCCACCCAGTTGAATAAAAAGATGCCTATGCCGCACAATACTACATGGCTGGAGGACAACTTTTCTTATCGGTGGCGATTTGGGAGTCCAATATAGCGATCTTCTCATACGTGATTTATACTCCACGTATCCTCTGGGAAATATCATAGATAATTACAGATAATATGATCAATAGGGCCATAGATAATTGGGAGTTTTCACGAACAACCCAACAGCTCCCGGGGATAACACAAATTGCGGGCAAAAGGTGACCACACAATGGGGTAGGAGTTCTCATGTACATGTGCTAACCCATACTGCAAATGTAAGCGTGGTAATGTTAATTTATTCGTGATTGACTGCATTATAGTTTATGTGACGTATCTTTATTTAGAACGTGGAACTAAAAATCCCAGTCGAGAAGGCAGACTCTGGGAGGGGGAAATGCTCCTACAGCCCTAAACTGGAGAGCATTTCTTTCATGGCAAGTAAGTACGTGACCTTGCGGCTGTGGTAATGAAAACGAATATCTCCTTGCCACTGCAGATTATCTCACACCACGCAACAAAGTACACAAGGTACAAACTGTATAAAATACAATAAGCTCTCTCTCTCTCTCACCCTCTATGAGTGCCACGTCCTCTCTCAAAGACATTGGCGATTGGGACCTTACTAACATTTAGCTCTGTCCATGGTATTACAAGAACAACATACGCAATTGCACACGTACCGTATTTAAAATATATTTTCGTGTGTTTTTAAAAGTTTCGTCTGCATTATTAGTAAAAAAGAAAAATCAAATTTTACTCATGGTAATTGCTAATCACGTGGGACTAATTGACCCCAAGCACAAGTAACATGTCATTAGTGGTGAAATTAATGAGTGGCTAGCATGAGCAAATATAGACAGATATTCATAATAATTCATAACAATAATTGTTACAATCATAGCGTTTTTGTATTTCATAATTATCCCTGGCCTTTGCACAAGAAGGGCTCACAAGTGATGCCATCACATCTATCCCTCTATTTAAGGAGGATTTCTCCACAAATCTGACTGCTGCCTGATGCAGCTAGTTGTAATTACGGGCGGAACGTCGTGCTCAGATTGTAAATGTTGTGGATTTATTCTCCAACACACCGGTGTTGCTGTACTAGTAACGAATTGGCACGTTCTGTTTACGTGACAAACCTTACTAATTGGCTGTGTCGTGTGGTGGCGGGTTTAACGACACATTTATACTTACCCGATCTAATCCAAAAAACCTGATTATGGATCATTATACTCTTAGGTTTTTTTCCGTTAAAGTCACGTAGGTAAAAATAAATAATAAAAATAATAAAAATAATAATAGAAATAACTGGATACAGTAAATCTGGCTGTGACGGTCCCACCAGATGACAGAGACTTGTGTTGCCTCGGAAACGTCGTGATTTATAATTTTATTTCATCTTCTTGGTTCTTTCGGTAAAGTCACGTAGAAGGGAAATAATAAAATAATAAAAATAAAACATAACAATTTAATTTTATTACGTTATTTTATTTTATTATGTTTATTTTCATTATTTTATTATTTACCTTATACGTGACTTTACCGAAAGAACCAAGAAGATGAATCCCTGCAGTCACGAAAGCTTTATATCGAAATTTTATTTCAATTATTATTTCCATTATTTTTATTTTTATGATTTATTTTTACCTACGTGACTTTACCGAAAAAAAACCTAAGGGTATGAATCCTTGCAGTCACGAAAGCTTCAAATCTAGAATTATGGATAATTATCTCACACCTCACAACAAAATCCGCAAGGCACAAACTGTATAAAATACAACAACCTATAATAATAATTGTTTTTATGTCATGAAAATGCAACCTTCAAGCCTTTAATTTGACAGCATTAAAAACGCGATTCTAACGCTGAATATTTTACTCTCAGGCTATGGATATGAGTTTTGTGTGACTTTTTTATTATCTTAAACCTGCAGTGTTCAGCCAGTTTTCAAATCGCTACATATCCATATTTACTTTCGTAAACATATTTCTAAAAATGTATATTCAGTTTTAATTCATGCATTTAAATATCAATGTTATCCAGAGTATCTTCAATGTGTCCAATTTCATCGGTTATAGAAAGCTAAGCAGGACCTAGCTTGGATAGTGCTTGGATGGTTGACCAATGCACAGGTTTATATAGGCTGCAGGGCTATGTTGTGGAGTGTACAGAGCAGTAACAACATATTACATCATTGGAACCTCATTTGCCAGTAAAAATATGATAATCGGTTTTTTACCCTTCTATCTGGCAACAAAACTGACACCTTTTTTTACAAGGAATCATGTTTACATAGACCACAATACCTGGCGTCATCTGGTCCAACCCATGTGAGACTAGGCTCTAAGGAAAGCTGTCTCGGGTGTGGACCAATCAACTTCAAGGACAGTGCACATTATCAGAGTTATGTTTTTTGTTTGCATTATGACTGCAGGTATTGTGGTCTATGCAAACATGACTCTTTGTAAAAAAAGGTGTCAGTTTTGTTGCCAGATAGAAGGGTAAAAAACCGATTAACATATTACATCGTTTTGCTGTATTTCTATGCCTCCATATCTACGCTCTTTACCTACACCAACAACACTGACAAGCCTGTTGACCTATGGCCAAGTATTCCCATAAACCACATGGGGAGACTGTATTCCAAGCAGTGTGTTAACAAAGAGCTGTACACGTGATTGCTATCAATAGATGTAAATATTTATTCAACCAATTCAATTTTTTTGACGATAATATAGCATGCATCAGTTCTGCAATGACCTGGTTGAGGTAATACGTTGGACTAAACATTCCTGCTACTACTCATCACTCCATTCATGCTGCCTGAATAAAAAAAAATCCCCTTTTGTTGTTAAATGGAGTAGAGGTCACAGTTGCAATAAGTGAGCGCTTTATCTTGTGATCTATTGCTCTGTTTTTTTGTCGTCGTTGTTGCGCGAACAGACGAAGAGCTTTACTCGGCGGTTTACACCGACTTCATGGCCACTGACGCAGCCATTTTCAAAACGATGGGAAGGCTTCCCCCGATACGCTCTGACCAGTACAACTCAAAGTGGCTAAACGGTTTGTTGCTCGTGTGTTTTAAAAGCGAAGTCAAGAAAGAAAAAAACTTTTGCGAAAAGCATTTACTCGTCTCACGCAATGCACGCGCTTTGCGAGAGCTATTTTTGTTGTATCCATCTTTAATTATTCACACTTGTAGAGTGCCGTGAAATGCTTGGCCATGTGTGTTTGCAGAGCCGGTGTTTTTGGCCATCCAAAGGATCCCAGAAAGCAGCGACAGGAATGACGACAAGCTTTATTTCTTTTTCCGAGAGAAATCAGCCCACGGAGGGACTGGGAAAACGTCCGTTTCTCGCATTGGGAGAATTTGCCTGGTGACGTTTTATTTCCTTGAATGTGTGAACTTTGCAGACGTATTGTACGACTAAATAATTATACCTCATTGCATTTAATTAGTACTGCAGCACTATTTATAGACAGCCGTAGGAAACTTATAATTAGACTGCGGAAACCGAATATATACTTTGTCAATTGGCCCCAAGAGGCAGATTTAACAGAAACCTGAGGAAGGATTTACATTTTTTTAAATGGATGTTATTTTTAGAAACTGCTCAGTGACTATATGCAGTACACTGCAAGTAAATTTTCAAGTCCTTTGTAAATATTAAGATAATTACATTTATGAAAATTAATATTCTCCACAACTTTCTACATGAAATAATACTTTTTTTTAAATCCTCAGGAAGTCAGAATTACTGTAAAAAAAAGTGCAATAGAATAGCTGTCGTTCAGACATCCACCAATTTTCCTATATAATTTTACTTTGCAGGCATTTCTATCAAGTTACCTGATGACATGGTCACCTGAGATCTATAAGCATATAACCATATTCAAACCTCAAGCTCCAGTCGCCACCTTTTGGCAGCATTAACACATTTTAAAACTTGCAATCACTACATTGTGGTCCAGTATACTCAGTGAAGTGGTGGTGCGGTGGTGAGCGCACCGCACTATTAACTCAGCAACCTAAGTTCAATTCTCGACCATGAGTTCCATCAGTGGCGAGTGATATGTTAACTTGTTCTAGGCCACCCGTTCTCAAATTTGCACGGACCAACGTGGATGAAGTTTGGTCAAACATGCCCCATGATATGAAGGTTTGGGGGTGGTCGGGGGGAGCTTCATCTAACAAACGCTGTATGTTATTTCTATTATGGATATGGAGTAACAGTGGCACAGTTAGTATCCTGCACTATGATCCCACCAAGCTGAGGCTGATTCATGGTCACAGATAATATCAGTGGCGTGTTATATCTGAACTGGTACTGGGATCCTATCACTAAATTCCACTAAGGCAGTGAATTATGGTCATACACCTCCATGACTGACAATGGGCTGTTTATTGTTCGTCAATATCAGCCATTGTCTATCTAAAGCCGGTTGAAGGCCTTCCCATAACGTCACCATCTCTCACAGACCAGTGCTGTTACCATCCATCTCACTCCACCATGTAAATTATTACTACTTTTTGGTAGGAAATCACAGTAAATACAAAACTATCAAAACATGTCTGATTAGCGCCTTGAGCTTTCGCAACTAAAAAAGAGAAATTACATAGTCATACTCTCAGCCGACAAGGACAATGCCACTGTCATCAAAGACAAAACCACATACAATAACAAAATTCAGGACCTACTTAATGATGGCAGCTATACAAAAATCAATAGAGATCCTACCAACCGCCTGGTTACAAAAACTAACAACACCATTGGGCTACACCCATCTCAAATCTTAATAACTCCCTGACTTAGCAGCGCTCCCATTATATTTTTCACCTGATGACGATTGCTTGTGTTGCAATCGAAATGTCGTGATATTGTTATTATTATTATTCATTTTATTATTTTTCTATCTACGTGGCTTTACCAACAGACCCAAAGAATATGAATTCCTGCAGTCACGAAAGCTTTAAGTCAAGATTTACACTTTTTCTTACTATTTCATTTTACCAGGAGTAGCCCACTGAGCTATATGACTCGTTTTCAGAAGCAACCTGGTCACAAATGATAGCTCAACGAAGTTGCTTATCATGTGGAAATTTATAGCAGCCATACACTCTAAATGCAAATGTGGAGGGAAAATCCGGAGGATCCAGAGAAAATCCACGCGACCACGGGGAGAGAGACACGCAAACTCCAAATGTACAGCAGGCGTCATGGTCGAGATCGAACCCACGACCTCCTGTATACCAGGCGAGGTAGTTAACATCTAGCCACCGTGACCCCTGATGTGCCATTGATTGACACAAAACTACATAAAGTTGTTGATAGGAATAACACATGAAGAGTGAAGCATGCAGGTGCCTATCTACATTAACCCGTTGCCCCTTGTGCTGAATTTTTTACCGTGAGAGCCTGATGACTGAACGACCCTGAACGGTTACTCACAGAACGATGCTGGCGGTCAGCGCAGCCTGGTCAACAAGTGGAGCACGTTTGTCAAGGCGAGGCTGGTCTGCTCGGTAACGGACAGCACGGGCATAGAGACGCACTTTGATGAGCTTCGTAAGTCGTCGTGCCTACATCCACAGCACGGGAAGCACATCAAATAAGTGAAACCTTGCAGATATCATCATCACAATCCCCCCATGTAACAATCCAGCTAGCGCCTGCACACGAGCTGATTTCATCGCTCCATCTCCTCGGGGGACGCGCTCTCTCGCACGCATTCCGTTTGTTGGATGCCACTCCGTCGCTATTCTTGACCATCGGTCATCGTCCGTTCGAGTGACACGTCCTGCCCAAGCCCAATTACCATTCTTAATATTTTAATTATGTCCTTAATCCATGTGCTTATCTTTCTGCCTCTGAATGTGATTTCAAGCATGCAGCCCTCGCACACTTTCTATCTTGAAGAAGAATCATATATGAGTTATCGAAGGCAGAATCAGGTCACGTGGGAGTTGCACGCGGGGTTCAACTCTTGCTAATGGCAACTCAGACGATGACGTTGTTGTTGTGTTCTATCGCAATGCAAATTATGTAGTGATGATGTAATATGGGTTATAGTCGTGTTTGAAGTAAAGTGCTAAATGACCTCTACCTGTACCTTTCCATTGCAGAGGACGTTTTCATATTAAACACAGAAGACATGAGGCAGCCCATAATATATGGATTATTCAGTACTGCTGGGTAATGAACAACTTATTTGTGTCTCACTTTATGCATTACATATACTGTACGTATCACTTTGTGTCAACATAACACATTCACATTCTATGCCTGTTCCATTACGAGTGGTAAATATTTAGGGTGCTTCAAAAATGTTAACACGTATATGGGACTATCGTTTTAATGGAAATAGAATGGATAATAAATTGTAACATGACAACAAATGTACGTTAATAACTTCGAAAAGTCAAAGTCTTCACTTGCTCGCCATCATTGTCAACACATGCCTGGAATCTTCTCCAGGTGGTCTCCAGAGCTCGGGGGCACATTTCTCGTGGTGTTGTTTCTTCTGAGCTGAAAAAAAACATTCTCAGAAGTGTTAAGATGTTTTTAAAGCACCCTGTATATGTGTTATTGTTTATTGTCTATGTACTTTTGAAATTCTATAGACCTTTATGGAAAAAAGTCCATGCAATGAGGGTAAATGAAGTGTTCCAAAATACTTAATCTCGCATACATTTTATTTTATTCCGTTAGATCTGTATTCAAGGGTTCTGCTATCTGCATATATAGCATGGCCGAAGCACGGCAAGTGTTCAACGGGCCTTTCGCACAAGTCGAAGGACCTGGCTATCAGCAGCTTCCATACCAAGGAAAGATCCCATACCCAAGGCCCGGAACAGTAAGTCATGACCTCGCATTTCCATTTGAGCATGTGCTACCGTGGTTAAACATTAAACGAATGATATGTGACAAGTGAAATTATACAGAGCAACGGGAAGGCACTGAATCTTGAAAAAAATGTTAGCTAATTAAAATAAAAAAACATCCATAATAATAATACTCAGTATTCCAAAACGGGTTTGGGATGTTGATAAATATTTGATTCACGATGCATGCAACATTAAGGATCACATATTTTAATGAAATGTTCTGGAAAACATATGACTGAATTGGTTGATGGATGGTGTAAAAAAGAGAACATGACTGCGGTCCAGTTTAATCGCTGTAATTGTATTACTTTATCATTGCCTGTGGTTTGTTTTTTTGGCAAGAGTTTAAGATAAAAATCCTAACGGTCAAAATGGATATATAAATAGACAAATTGCCGCCAGCATGAAGCGAATTATGTTGAACACTAAGTGCAATTCATTGATTTATTTATACCTGCATATTTTTTTCCACAAGTTCACACGGATTTAGAAATACACGTTGACTGAAGCTGAAAATACACTCTTACATTAATATTTGAGCGATAACCTAGCAACGCTGGCGGACATTCCACTGAGGATGCTTGGGACTGAGGCACATCGATGGTGTACACAACAATATGTGCAAATCTTCTTGGTTCTTTCGGTAAAGTCACGTAGAATGGAAATAATAAAATAATAAAAATAAAACATAATAAAATATTGTATTATGGAAATAATAAAATAATAAAAATAAAGCATAATACATTTTTATTTTATTTTATTATTTCCATTCTACGTGACTTTACCGAAAGAACCAAGAAGATGAATCCCTGCATTCACGAAAGCTTTAAATCGAAATATGTGCCAATTCCAGATTTGTTGTCTTTCTAAAAGCCAACACGATTTGCCTCTGGAGAATCAAATCTGTGTCTAATTTATCAATTGCAGTGCCCAGGAGGAACGTTCACACCTTATCTGAAGTCCACCAAAGATTTCCCTGAGGAAGTGGCCAATTTCATACGGAATCACCCACTCATGTACAACCCCATCTACCCCATCGCCAAGAAGACCTTGATCATGCGAGTAAACACAGACTACAAGATCACTAAAATTGCAGTCGACCGAGTTGTGGCTGGGGATGGCACTTATGACGTCTTGTTCCTCGGAACAGGTATTTGAATTCTCTCGTCACTAATTAACACTTCCCACTCCTTGTTTTGATTTTGCCCTCACTGGATGCCAGAGGGATGCTAAACACTTACAAACATGACCACAATTTGCGCACCATTAAATGGAATATGATTTTGTTTTGCAGACATTGGAACCGTGCAAAAGATAACAGTTTTGCCAAAGCATGACGGCCTATCCGAGGAGCTGTTTTTGGAGGAGGTAGATGCTTTCAAGGTAAGTGTCACTCAGTTTCACAAATGAATCATCAATCGCCCTCGGTTGCAGTAAAGAAAATGTAATCATCCTGATGATCAGCCACGACCAATCCACTGCTGGATGAAGGTTTCCCCAAGCTTTCGCCATCCCTCACCGTCCTGCGATGCAACAATCCACCCAGCGCCCGCTCGCGAGATAATTTCATCGCTCCATCTCTCCGTTGGATGTCCTCTCAGACGCTTTCCACGCCTTGGCTTGCCACTTTCGCTATTCTTGACCAACGGGCCATAATTTGTTCTCGTGACATATCCAGTTAAAATAACTGAATTTTCTTTGCAGTTTGAATGAGGCATTTAACGTGTGTTTATTCTCTAATCCATGCAATCCTCTTTCTGTCTTTTAATTTAATTCCAAGCAAGCAAAAGTAAGAGTGAATGTGGGTATCTCGATGAAATCGTTTAGGTTCTACACACTTCATATTCTGGAACAGGATTTATATATGAACCCATGTAAAATTGCTTACATTACAGGTTCCAACACCAATTCTCTCCATGAAAATATCTTCGAAAAAGGTACACAAAATCACACATCACGTACAAATTTTGACTCACGTGCACAATGTAAATGCCCACAGGAAACACGCGCAAGAAGACAATGCCATCTCACTAACTTTTTGGAGGGAAAAATAAAGCGCAAAAAAAATTTAATCACGCGCTGAAGAATTGTCTTTAACAAGGACACTGCACGGCCGCTTATTTTCACAGCAACAGCTGTTCATTAGCTCGGCGAAGGGCATCACCCAGCTCGCTCTGCACCACTGTGGCATCTATGGCAAGGCGTGTGCCGAATGCTGCCTCGCAAGGGACCCATACTGTGCGTGGGATGGACAGCAGTGTTCCCGATATTACCCAACAAACAAACGGTGCGTGTCCGAATCCTCAACGCGACCGCGTGCTGTGCAGCTGCAGCTAGCGCGCATTCCCCCGTGCGCCTTTCCATGTACCTGTGAAAGCTGAGGCAGCGTAATTGCGGGCCAACTTTTCATAGCCAGCATTTTGTGGAGTCCGTTATAATGTGCACGGTGTCTGCGCACATTGCGGCATTATGAGGACGAGTGATTGCATGCTTGCCCGGCGTGCATGTTATGAAGATAATAAACATTAAAAACTCTTTATCTTTTTGGAAATGTCACACGCCAGTTGACGCCATTACACCACGGATAATTTTAATTAAAAATGTTACATAACGAACTTTAATAAAAGGTAAAGATCCAGCCGTGCAATTGCTTGCTCATACCACTGCTGGTGTAGATCACGAAGGGTGATCTATACAAGGAATTTGGTCTACTCTCCACATTGACTGGATGTGTTAATAGGCAACATTAATTGATATATGTACATTAACCCATACCTTAACAACAGGATTATGGTTTTCACATTGATGTAAATGTACAATGCATAGGGACAGAAATATATAATAAAATATATATATTTTACATTTGCAGGAGGAGAAGGCGTCAAGACATAAGGCATGGCAATCCATTAACAGAATGTAAAGGATTTAATGTAAGATGTAAGTGCTCGTTACCAAAGTATTATTACGTACAGTATAAAGGCACAATCATGATATGGTCTACCAAACTGTAAAGTGAAGAGCTGGGTTTGGAGGTCGCCCGACACTTTTGCCGATTCCCAGTAACAACAATTCACATATTGCTCGGCCTGTACTCCTCGACCTTTCATATAGTCACACGTGACAATGAAATGTATTTACATTGGCGAATGTGATCTTTGAAGTGTGGACTAGTGCAATGGTGTTATACGCAGCATACAGGGAAGCTGTGGAATCTCGGCAGTTCGGAGTAGAAGGAAGCAGCGTGTTCTTGGAGTGCGTGCCCAGATCGGCGCAGGTGTCTGTGAAATGGATTGTGCAGCGACGTGACACGAAGAGAAAGAAAGAGGTGCGTATTTTTCGATTTAAAGCTTTCGTGACTGCAGGGATTCATCTTCTTGGTTCTTTCGGTAAAGTCACGTAGAAGGGAAGTAATAAAATAATACAAATAAAATAAAAAAAACATTTATTATGAAGGGAAGTAATACAATAATACAAATAAAATAAAAAAACATTTATTATGTTTTATTTTTATTATTTTATTACTTCCCTTCTACGTGACTTTACCGAAAGAACCAAGAAAAAAAAAGGTGCGTGTTTAACTGCACATCTCAAACGTGACATTTCACTTTTTTGCACAGCTTAGTTCAGTTTCCAACTATTATGTAATGGGTGGTAAAAAACTATATATATCTTTACCCAGAGGAAATTTCGAGTGCTTTTTTTCCACCCTAAGACCCATCAATTAATCAAGAACAGTGAAAGTTTGCAACCAAAGCATTTTGAAGCTTGAGTAGGCCTGATCCACGCAGAATGTGTGCATACTTTAGTAGAATTCTGGCATGAGTAAGACATTTTGAAAAAGTTTTTTTATCCAAATTTTACGCAAGAGATTTTTGTCACGATTCACTTCACAGAAAGAGTCGAGCTGAATTGCACACGAAATCCTGCAGTTGAGGGACTACCAATGGGAAACATGGTTTTTCTCTCGGCATTGCCGTTTCCTCTCATGCAAAACACCCTGTGAAGTTAATATTTCTAAATCTTGATCAGAATCTTTATTTAAACTGGAAGAATCCAATGAGCTATGAAGTTATTTTTCACAGATGTCCAGTAGGACTCTGCAGCAGCAAAATAAACATCAGCAATAACAATAATATAATCATCCAAAGAATCACTACAATCGTAAATAACATCACTATCAACATAATCCTTGGCTTTGTGTTCGACATATTCATCAGCATAAATTCCTGCATGCGCATTTGTCTCCATTTTGCTATTCTATAAAATGTCGGAAAGCGCAAAGAACAATGAAAGAGAAGTGGCAAAATGTGTCCATTTCTGTGTGGAGTCGACTGCTATTGAATTCATGTGCAATGGGTCTAAATAATTGCAACAATGGCCAATCCTCTAAAAGGTGGAACAATTACTGCCAAAATCGCTCCATGAATTTAGCCCACTGTCTTCTAGATTTTAAACACCAGATGAAAGACTATATTAAAAACTTTGTGGTGAAAAGGGTGTATATTCTTTGGTTCTTTCGGCAAAGGCACGTAGTTATTTTATTTGATTTCTAACTTCGTGAGTAGGGATTCCTGCAGTCACGAAAGATTCAAATCAAGAAAAGGGTGTAATTTATTTGAATGTTGGTTTGAATTTTTATTCACATTTTTTTTGAATACCCAATATATTCCAATTGTGCAATCAGCAGCATGTAATGGCACTAACATTTCATTCAGAAATGTCAGCGTCATGGTGGCGAAATGTTAACTACCTCGCCTGGTATACAGGAGTTCGATCCCGACCTTGACGCCTGCATGTTCTCCCTGTGGTCGCGTGGATTTTTCTCTGGGTCTTCCGGTTTTTCCCTCCAAATTTAGAATCATGCGTTTAGAGTATGTTGCTGCTATACATTACCACGTGAGCTATCATTTGTGGCCAGGTATATAGCTCAGTGAGCCTTACCTAATAATACAAACATTTTTTTTGTTTAACTGCCACTTAAGATCCCCGTTTAATCGTGGGCAGATTTTTTTATTCAAAACAAATGTCAACGTTGCCAGCTCAGCGCTCTGACCTTCAAGCCATTTGGCCAACACAGATATAATTTTAGACAATAATTTTCTATTAAACTTCTGTTGTGCTCACTAACGTATACGCTGACGGGATTTCATTTCAGGTTATTTACAATTCCAACATAATGCAAACGGAGCGAGGGCTCCTGTTTCGCGTGCTGCACGCAAACGACAGCGGGACGTATTACTGCCTCACGGTGGAGTACAACTTCAAGCATACCGTGGCCAAGTACAGCCTGATAGTCATGGACATTGCGATGGCCAGCGTCTTCACGGGGGAGGATCCCCACAAGCCCTGGCATCCGTCCCACCCCTCCAGCGTTGCACACGGTGCCCAGTTGCCCTACAAGGACTTCTCTCAGCTGCACGACCACCCGGGCATTTTGGCCGGCATCAGCGCTTGCCAGCAGCCACAGAGGCAGCCCGAGGCAGGGCCAGACACGCAGGCGGACGAGAGACGCCTGAAGGAGCACGAGGAGAGGACAAAGAGAAGGGACAGGAGCCAGAGGAGGGTCGTGGTAAAGAAGTCGTGAAGGCATCATCTTCTGTGCCGTAGCCATTATTCTAGCTAACAATTCTGGGGCTTTTTTTTTAAAGATGATCTTTTATTTTTAGATGTTGTTAGTTTCATGTTAGATTTTAGATTTTTTTTGTATAACTTGTGTAAATAATTATTAGCACATTTTCTGTTGCGTTTAAGGGGTGTGATTAGGGCTACTCTATGACATTTGTAAATTAATGATATTATCGCTGTTGTTCACCCAGCAGTACAAGTGGGAAGACCACACTGAGTCGATCGACAGGCCACGTGTGGTGGGATAGAGTGTGGGTAACTCTGACCTCTTTCAAGACGTCTGGCCATGGGAGTATGCCTAAATACCATGGAGAGCAGCTCACCAGAGGCCCTTCTGCCAGCAGTGGTGCCAACAAGCAATTGCAAGGCTGCACCATTTACCTTTTGTTCAGCAGCCCTTTGCCAAGACTTCTTTTTTTGTTGTTGGGTTATTCACCCCATTAATGGCAGGCATCGTTCTGAAGGGATCGCCTTCGCACGCAACAGTCGTGCACTGCTCGCGACGCTGATGCGGCAGCCACTGCTGCATTGCGACTGCGGCATTGTGGAGAGGACCGCACACAAAAGGCTCAGCGGTGTACGCGTGCGCTCTTCCACTCGATTTACCAAACAGGCACTTCTTTAATTGTGTGTGTGTGTAGACGTCTCTCGGCAGATTATTTACTTTGCATTGTCTCCCCACTGTGGGAGGGGACCTAAATTTATGTTAAACTTTATTCGCACCGTACGTAGCCAACCTTGCTAATCGGAGGTGCGGGGGGGGGATGACGACAAACGAACACACACAAAAGCAGTTCTCAAGAAATGGGTTTTCAATCTAGATTTTAAAATGCATAGCCCCAGTGGCTTCCTAATATCGGAAGGAAGAGCGTTCCAGACGGTTGCAGTGACCGCCTAAATAATAGGACGTGAGAGCACCCATAGGGAGTCGTAATACTTCTCTCTAATACTATGCTCTAATGCAGAGCATCGTGTTAGAGCATCGTGATAAAGATGCCGCATGGATTAACTGTGAAATAAAATGAACTACTGTCCTGTACTCCATTTTTCTCTGATATGTTCCTTTTTCATTCTTCGATCATGCAACTAATTTTTTTCGACTTGAAACCATCGATGCGCATTTGCACAACATCATTTGCACACTGACAATGACGGTCTCTTCTTTTTTTTTACGCAAAATACCGAGGAAACGTTTTTTAACCCTTCCTTTAGAAGTGGCGTCCAAATTGTTTTGCATAGAATTTCACAAAGCACTAAAATGAAACCTGAAACAATACAAATACCAAAGGGTTTTACTGAGCAGATATTATAGTGCCCATTATGGGAACATCTCGTCATGTATGTGCAGTATGTTGATTTTCGTTCGCTCTGTACGTAGCCAACCGTGCTAATCGGAGTGGGCTATATATTTACCTTTATCGATCACTAGAGGGCGATATTCAAATGACGTCGTTTACATTCATTTTTAAACAAAGTTAGTGAAGCAATACATCCACTGCTGGCAAACTTCATCTTGATTTATGGCAGAAATTGTATTCCCACACAATTTAAATATTTCTATTTACTGAATATGTTTCATAAACGAAACTAAAACCACGTTTTTTTTTACCAGGTAAACCCCACTGAGCTGTGGGTTCTTTTTCAGAGGCGACATGATGATAGCTCGTCGCAGTGGCTCATATCATTATATTTTGGAATGTATACGAGCACACGAAACAAAAACACGCACTTTTCTAAACACGGAATGAAAACATCGGAGGACCGGCAGAAAACTCCACGCGACCACCACGGGGAAAAGAACACACAGACTCAACAGGCATTGCCATGGTGGAGATCGATTATAACCATGCTCTGCATTTACATGTCGAGCCCATGTTATCAATCCATTGGTGGATGAGGAACTCCCCCGATGTCTTGCAAGCTGTGGAAAATACGTGGCCATATTTCACCATGCTGGTCAGTGTGTGTTGAAGGTGAGAGAGGAGTGTGTAACGGATGTTGTTGCACTGTCCTCTGCTGCCAACGATACCTATGACACGTGACGTTTTGTATATGGGGGCTGTGTCATCTGCCCAAGTGCTATCCAGGTTAGCTTCCATGAGCTGATGAGACTGGGGGCATTCCTGGTCATTTTAAATCAAACGAATTCTTACAGAGACTAATTCAAGCCGGATAAACCTCATAAACTCACAGTAAACAACAATGTATGCAGTATAATTAATAGACCAGTGGAATTGTATCTGCCACACCACTGTTTTTTTTTTTTATCAAGGTTAACCTAGTATAACTTGTTTGCTTATCAAAGGTGGCTTTTATGCTGCGATAAACTAACTACATAGCAAATTTAAGTATTAGCTGTAAAATAAACCTCAAGATACTGCATTTCAATAAAGCCGACACTTTTATCTTGACATTTAAACTGATTACATTTTTACACAAATGTGCACATCCACTAAAAGCGTACGTGATACAATGTTTAACTATGCTGTTTGAATTTCAAAACCAGCGTGGGGGGGGGGGGGTATGTGACCAGATGGCCCGAAAGTCAGAGCTTTGAGCTGCCCCCACTATGATCCTGGGTTGAATTCCAGTCAGCTGCCTGCGACGATTTCACGGTGTTCTAAAGTATAGCGAGGTGATGCTCTCAGCCTGGCTAAAACTGACTGCACCCCCCACCCCTATAATATTGAATTTGGCTTTGCACTTATTTAGACAAAATTCCAACCGTGAGAATTAGCTTTGACTGTCACGCGACGGACATTACTTTCATGCGGAGTGAGTGGGAAAATGCTGCCCTCTGTTGTATGGATGAGACGTGACTTGAAGCCATCGCAGTAGATAGCTCTGCAATATTCACTTCCGTGGGCAATTCTCTAACACAAAGCGTTGCGACTGATGGATACTTTGTCACGTGACATGATGACAGTGGCGCAATTAGGATACAATTGGGCGAAAAGGACGGAGAGATCAAACAAAACGTTTGAAAACTAAAATAAAAATCAGGTCAATGCTATAAGCTCAGCAGATACCAGAAGTATTGTGTTCTTCGTGGGTTTTTTTTTTGTACTCATTACCAATGCACGATGCAGCGAATAGGCCAGAGATGAGCACTCCTTGTGCACGTTGCATTTTCTTCCACGCATCACAGAGCATGGGAAACATGGGGACCATGTTCTGTTCCGTGCTTGCAAAGAAGATACAGGGAAATAAGTATAACCCGTAAAAACAAAGTTTTTCACTATAAATCCTTTATATGCGTGGCAGCTAGAGTCCTCTCGTCCTCTGGCTTGAGATGGCTGCCACCTATGGGTCAGATGATTGTCTGCCAGTATTAAGCAATTGGTAATTAAATATTTAATTTGTTTTCCCTAAACAGTGTAAAATTTTGGAAAAAATTTTCACGAACATTAATTGTCTCGCACAACGAGTCTGTGTGCAAAATGTCAGCTCGATTGGATCACGGGAAGTGGGTTAAAAAACGACCGAAAGATGTGCACGGTCGTAAGCAAGCAAGCAAGCACGCAAGCACGCAAGCAAGCAAGCAAGCGAACTTAATATAAGTAGCATGCACATTTTTGTCACCAATTATTATTTATCCACTGCTGGATGAAGGCTTCCCAATGTCGTCGTTGTCGCTGACGGTTCTAAAATTGGCACGATCCATCTCACGTATTCTTCTTTCGTAAGGATTTAATAGCAGATCCATCTGACGCATGCATATGAACTGATTTCATTGCTCCATCTCTGTGGTCGTGTTTTTCCTTTGTTTGCCATTCCATCTCCAGTCTCATCATTTAGCTATGGATCCTTCTTGCAATATATCCTGCCAAAGTCCAAATCCCCATACTAGTCTTAACAGTCAACATATCTCACATTCGTGTTTGCTCTCTGATCTATGTGTTCATCTCCCTGACTCTCCCTGTAAATCCCAGAATGCATCTCTGCAAGCGTCTGCGTACAATTTTCATGTTGTGTTCCATATTTTCCGAGAAGTCCAGGTTTCAGATTCATGTTGTGGCAGTTATGACACACATATTGAAAATATTCTTCTTTAGGAACATCAGTATTGCTTTTCATTATTAAGTTCAACTTAACAACACCACTCTAACCTTCAATTTTCATTTATAGTTCACTGTATGATTGTAGCGTGCCTTCAACAAATTCCACATATATAAACATAATCCTTTGTATTTTCAGGTTGTGTCCCTTCAACACTCATTTTTTTAAAGGTATTTGTTGTTTGGGACTTAAAACTTTCGTGACTGCAGGAATTCATATTCTTGGTTCTTTTGGTAAAGTAACTTAGATAGAAAATAAAATAAAATAAATTAAAAAAGCGGTCTTCATCAGGCGGACGAAGATCGCTTTTGTTATGATCGAAACATCGTGGGTTTTTTGCTTTTATTATTTTCAATTTATCATTATTATTTTTTATCTCCGTGACTTTACCGAAAGAACCAAGAATATCTTGCACGAGACTTTCGCTTTGCTCATATTTATCTGTATCCCCAGTTTCTATCCTTCACTCTTAAGGATGTTTTTAATTGCTTGTAGTCTACTTCCATTGGTTGTTATAATTACTCTGTCTTCGGCGAATCCAACATGGTTACTAGTTCCACCAATTAGCACTTTACCTTTATTTCTTCAATCAATTTTCGTAAAATATCTCCCGATGTTGTTGATAGCCTTGGGTAACAGCACATCTATACCGTATTCCTCTTCTAACGTTGTATTTTGTTATCCTGTATAATCTCAGGATATCTGTTAACATTTTTGTGATGGATTTTGATCATTGCTACGGAGCATTAAATGTCACCAATTTAAATAAGAAGAAAACTTGTCGTAGACAGTGCATTAAAAGTTGGAGGCAAAATAGAACAAACTGGGGACAAGTTACCCAAAACCACAAAACAGAATGTTCAAGAAGAGGAGAGGTATGCAAAGAAATGTAAATGTCATGAACAAAATATGAAACACCAATTTTTTTACTTACAGAAAACAATTAGGAAAAAAATTTGCGAAGGCAACAAAAATGATTGAGAGCATCATAACAATCAATATTGTTTTATATTTATATTATTATATCATTTTCCTTCTACGTGACTTTACCGGAAAAACCAAGAATATGAATCCCTGCAGTCACTAAAGCTTTTAAAAAGAGCATTGCATAAGCAAAACAATCATAGTTAAATAACAGATACTGCAGTAGCGCCCGAAAGCAGGATGAAACCAAAGTGCATGGTGGAAAATGAATCATAACACTAGTAGCGGAATTCTACAGAGATCTTGAGAGCATATAATTCACATACCCAGGAAAGCATTTGTTCAGGAGAGGAGGAGGATGATGTTCCAGATATCACATGTGATGCGGCAAGCCTTCACAGTATGAGATTCGCGGCCTGTCTGCAATAACTTTACACAGAAATGAAACGCCTCCGATTGGGGAACAAGGCCTCTAATAATTTGCCAATGAAAAAGATGGGGAGACAAACCCGATTTGAAGATTGAGAGACCCATTATTAATCGAATTCCCCCCATGTTCATGACGGGTTCACGAAGACCAAAGTGGAACAAATGACAGTCAATTTAGAGGGCAACCAATGGCAAGTGTGAAATTGGTTTTAGAAAAGGGTTCTCTTGCAGTGACCACACGTACATTCTATCAACTCGATGTTAAAAAAGAAGATCAAACCAATGTTGCCTGGCTTTTTGTATACTGGGAGAGGGCAATTTGACTCCAAGGAAACTGACGCAGTCATTCAAGCTCCCACAAACCAAGGTCAAAATCAAACATTTACTTCGTTAACATGCAGACAAATATAGTTTCAAAGCTGTTGATACACTCTCATTTGAAACAGCCATATGCTGTCGTTATTTAAAAAAAAATTCTTTAAAATATTACAAACGATGACAATTTTAAATAGGCATCATACAAGTTCACATAATTAAGAAAAAACTAAAGTCCTATGGAATATATGCTTGATACATTGAAATAAATTCATTGTTTTATTATTATTTTTACCATCTCAATACAGTATAACCATTACATTGCCAGAATATTTTGAACTGTTACATTGGAATGCTGTGACATATATAAATGTATGCCATACAGTTGAATGGAAATGGTACCGTTATCCATTCCTACTTATCGTCGTGCTTACTTTGACACAGTTCACGAGTGAGTAAAGATGCCCAACGCATGGCAGCAATGACGTACGGTAAATAGAGCAGCAGTAATGTGATAAATCACCGACTTTCAGTACGCAACCACATGATTCACTATGCTACAGCAATACAAACACGCCAGCAGATGAAATATGCATATGCTCACTACAATTACTGCCCTCCAAGTTCATACATTGCTTTCCCTCTTTTCAATCAACACATTCTCCTGAAAGACAAACTGCATGAGCGGGCGGTCAAAATGCTTTGTTTCGGAGGTATCCAATTAGCACCCACGTTCTAAAATACGAAACACCGCCTTGTAATTTCATATCCACAAATACTGATGTCGCATGATCAAAACAAACATGTGGCTTCAAATACGTTGGAACACCGTGCAAGAGTCATGTTTTAGTGGGTCTCAGAAGCATTTTCACCACCCCTCTCTGATCCGCATTCTTCAGTGCACTGTTTAATATTCCTACTCGTGCCAATCAGGGATATCTTCCCCCAGCTTCATAGGGTGAAAATCCCAAAAATCGAGAAGAGCTGTTTTTTTACAATATGTTTGCATTTTTACTTATAATGTGCTGTACATGTTGCCCTTTTCCCCATAAGCGTTAGGTCAGTATTTTGTTTACACATTACTGACCGTTTCTTAAATTTAACAAAAAAATGTATTTCATAATAATGTACATATTTGTATTAAACACCAACTGATCATGAGGTATAATACTTGAAAATGGTTAACGCATTAAAAAGTGATATGTATACAAAAATAAATTCACATGATGGTCAACATATAACAGTCGGATATGTCATCCGTGAGTACCACACAGCTCGAGGCTTCATCTCCATGCTCGACTTTTGTCTTCACGGGGAAAAGCATCACAGTGAAGACGTCGTGGAATCAATTTCCTTGCCACGGAAAATAGTCGGCACATATGGAGCACTTGCTGATGCTGAATTAAAAAGAAACAGGAAATATTTCGTCAATTGGCTATCCAATTAGCCCAAACATCTGCTGGTGAACATTACCGCTTAATGCTGTGGCTTATCCACAGTTCCATGCCATGTCTCCACCTGTTTTGTTGTTGTTGCCCCGAGGGTCCACAATTCACTCCCTTAACCCACATAACAACACTCATCCCATCTCGACGATAACTCAACAATCTCCTTCCCACAACTACCGGCCCACTAAGACGAAATGTCACGCGACTATAGCTCGTGCATCGTTGGTCACGTCCGGCGCTGAAAAAGTCGAATTTAATCCAAACTTAATGACACGGCGAGTTACGCAGTGGCTTTGGTTGCGAGATGGAATGGGTAGCATTAACGAACGCCCTTTAACTTAATCGCGAAATTCCCACTTGTGATGGTTGTTTCGTAAGGAGGGATCCTACATTGCAATGTTTGGCAAATTCTGCTCACGAGTGTTATCGGCATGTGGAAGGGAAACTAGAGTACCCGGAGAAAATTCACGCATATGTGGAATAAAGCTCCAAGTTCCACACAGATAGATTTAAAAAATAATTGCTGTATTGCCATTTACTGGCTTCCATAAATCTCAAATTTCATCTCAAATGTGATCCTTACACGTAACTTTCCATTTGGAAAGAATATCATTTATTTAAGTATTATCCCCACTCATACATGAGGATAACACTAAATTTGGCACAGACGCATTCAAAAATTCATTGCTGTGCTGCCACCCCCTGGCCAACTCGCAGTCCAGCATTACAAGATCTGAAGTTCCTAGGCAGCCCCCCATTTTATATATGAAGCAGGCTCAATCCGGCCTAGCTTCCGAGATTTGTTGACAATGGACATATTCAGAGTTATCTGGTCATAGGCAAGGGTGAATGGGAATATCGAGCTTCCCTCCAAACCACATGTAGCCACTTTCATTAAATATTCTCCTTGTCCATTCCCCCCGCCAATGCCAAGCTACATTTATGCTCTGTCGTACGTGGCGATGATTAACGGAACCTGGAGGCGCAAGCAGGGCCGGATTAACACAGCGGCTTCGGGGCTGCAACCGTGGATTCGAATTTTTATGACACCAACCAAAAATATAGACCGCTTTATAATAGCAATACTGGAGCACTACGATCAATCTTATCATGCCATTTTATCACCATGTGTGCCAAAATGAAAATAGTTTCGGTTGTTTTTTTTTCTATTTGATTCAGCTTTCACAGTTTGTATATGATATGTAAAATCCAGAACTGAAATATCCAAGGTGAATGCCAATAATGGAGGGTTTGGTCAAGGGTAGTGGTAAAAGAATCAACGAAAGGCATTGGATATACAAAGGGGAGGCAATGAAGCAATAACCGCCCCAGGCTAAATCTGACCAGAGGGATCAGTATAGCGGATGGCTGCCAAAAGGAAGGTTGTGAGTTCAAATCCTGGTCAGGGGTTCAATCAGCCCATCATCCCTCTGGGGGGGGGGGTCTATAAAATTGGAACCGTTTTGTGAGGAAGTTGTTAGCGGTTATCCTATTGATAGACTCACCCTCCATCATGAGAATGTCGAATGCCATCGCTGGCTCAGGGCTATTAATAGAAGATGATCCTAAATACAACTCCGATTACCACGATTGGCTGTGACGTATGGTGCCAAAGAAGTTCAGCAGACATACATTTGAAGAAGCATTCAGTTTGACTTGGTAAAGTGGTGAACATCGATGGCGAAGCTTACGGAGTGAAAAGGAGGTGGCAGTCCCTGCGGCGAGGCTGATGGTGGTGGGCTTGGGTGGCCTCTCCACGTTCTTGTGCGGCTGGAAGAGGATAATGTTCACTTTGGGTGCAAACAGGCATCCCAGCACCACCGAGCCACTGAGGCTCACAGAGACACAAATGGTTGTGGTTTGGACCTGCAGGGCAGTAACAACACAAAGGCAGCAGCTATACCAAGAGCAAGAGACATTGTGAAACTAAATAACTTTCACCTGGGGAGCATGATAATAAGACAATAGCACGTATGGCACGAAGAATACGATTCATGCAAATACATGTGCAAATAATTCAGCACACAAACACATGGTCTGGCCAAATTTGAATGCCTGCACTTATCTTTTCAACGGTCTGGTTATTTAAATACTGCACCTATGATGTTTAATGAATGTTAATCAGGGAATGTATGCATGGAGTTACCATGTGGAATGTGTATTAAATATAACACTGGTCAACACACCTTTTCTGGCATAAGGTATTCCAACGGTTTTAAGGTAATTTTGGGGTGCTGATTCCAAATCTGGCATCCGTTTTTGTCTATCACATCAGGTTTTTGAGATAGAAATTATTGCATTTTCAATAAAAACTGCAGAAGAAAAATATTAAATAAATGTGGATATCTATATAAAATTATATTATAAACACAATATCCTAAAAATACAGCACCATATTTTAACACTAAAGCAGTCACTAACTAGAAACAACTTGCAATCATAAGTGACAGAGTTAATTTCGGGTAAAATCAATGAAAATGGGGTATGCCGATAGCATAAAAATGATGTGATAGAGCAAATCTGAGATCAGATTTGGAATCAGCACCCTGAAATGAGTCTAAAACAGCTGCAAAAGTCCAGGCTAGAATTTTTTTTTTGTTGACCAGTGTAATAGATCCAGATTTGTTTTTACATATGCGTTTCAAAACTGGCTCCACAGTGACTTGCAAACAAGCTTCAACGGGTCATGCGTGCATAATGCATTCACTTACCTGCGTGTAAGGTTATTTACTTATTTATCTAAACATAGCAAGACAGTCATATCTGCAGATAGGCACTTAACAATAATACTGACTCTATGAAACAAAATGCTTTGTAATAATTCACAATTTTACCCACAAATGGTGCCGTTAAAACTAAAGCAATAAAGGCGCTGGCAAAGAACTGATAATATTTACATATACGTGGCGATAACTTCACAAATTATTTGCACAAGTGGGTTAAACTGTCACATTGATTGCTCAAGTGCAATACATACCCTGTAGTCACCAGACGTTACGTAAAAAATTGGCACGAATGCCAGCCAGATTATACATGTTGTGTACATGGTGAAGGCAATAAACTTGGCCTCGTTGAAGCTGTCGTGGCATTTTCTGTTCTTGAAAGCGTACACAGTGCACACCATGACAAGACACACATTGTAGACCAAGGATATTAACACATTGGAGTCCCGGACGCTGCACTTGAGAATGACCACCTCCCGCTTGTCTGGGATGGTGAATCGCCTCAATCCCGGATTCTCCACAATGAGCCAAATGGCAACAACGGAGAGCTGGATTAATATCAGGGTGAGACAGATTACCATCTGGGCCAGGGGACTCACAAATTTTGGCCTCGTGCTCCCGCCCTCTCTGGCATTGTTGAACATTCGCGAAATCCGATTGGTCTTGGTGAGCAGAGCGGAGTAACAAACCACAAATGACGCGGCGAGAATGAGCCGCCGCAGAGCGCACACGAGAACCGTGGCCTTCGCCACGAAGGTGAACGTTGTGCTGTAGCACATGGAGACGCCGGCCAGCAGAGCGTAGCAGAGCTCCCGCCCGGAGGCCTTCACGATGGGCGTGTTGCCGTGCACGATGAACGTGATGAGAACCGTGACAGTGCAAATGAGACCAATGCAGGAGATTGCTATGGGCACCAAGGCCCAGGCATCCTCCCACTTGATGTACTCTTCCGGAAGGTCATAGCAGTCTCTCAGGTCGGCCGAGGGCCATCTGCCAGGGCCGCAGTCCATGCAGGTGAATTCGTCGTAGAGGTACTCATAGGGCTGACACGGAATGCACACCCAGCAGCAGGAGTCGCCCAGCTGCGTGCTTTTCATTTCGTTCGGAGCACATGGGTCACTGCATTGAGACACCGGAATCGAGGATTTGGCCCAGTGTATGTCGTTTGCTTGTAGAACCAGGCCTTGTGACCAATGGCCAACTTTAGTGTACGAGTATTTTCCGTTTGATTTCTGGAAAATGAATATGTTGTACTTTGCCAATCCATCACCAGATGAGTCGAACTTCACAATTCGGTCGTGATCACCAAAGGGAGCTGTAGCACAAAACAATCGAGATTTATGAAACACATGCAGTACACAGGGGCAATACAGCTAGAGAATTATTGAATGCAAATATTTAATACCAGGGATATAAATAAATAACCGTGTGCATGCCTATTGTGTTTTTATTAATTATGAGTCAAGAGCTCAAAGTAATTAAAATGTCTTTTCAGTGAGCATGTTTGTATCTTACAGTGTAATTGTACCGACACACAGCCTATAATTTTTCATTCCATGAAGAGCAATGGGGCGTGTGAGTGAAATTACCTTTGCCCAGACTTATGTGCTTGTGCAGCAAGGGCAAACTAAATTTCCACTCTCTCTTTTTTTGAACATTTTCTTAAGCTGTGAAATGTATTACCTTACCTTGGAAGCTGACATTTAAAATAAATTCCTTATACAGCTTAACACCATTGATTGGTGTGAAGGCTGCACATAACTTGGTTGTGTTTGGACAGAGTTCCTTGTGCATGTTATGCAATGCGTGGGCCAAAGCAAAAACTGCATCAATCACGAACATTATTTTGGTCTCTTGCTTGTAACTGCTTCTTCGGAGTGACATGGATGCATTGCAGACATTTCCATGCCGGTGTCCACGTGACAGAGTACACTGGAACCTCTGCTGCCAGAACTCGGTGAACCACGGGTTCCTTTTGTTCTTCGCAGGAAGGAGACTTTGGAAATATTCGTCAAACTCTTTCACCCGCTGCGAGTTCAATTCAATCGTTAGTGCGCCATCAGCAACATCCTCTTGTCCTTTGATGACACTTTCCAAGGCACCCCATCCATCACTCGCGACCCAGTAGAACGACGCGTGGAGCGTTCGGGCGGCGGCCAACAATTCCTTGGCGTCGTCGCTCCTTGTAAACAAGACCACAACCTTGGCGTTTGGCTTCTGCATCAGTGCCTTTATAACGCCGTCGTATGTCTTTTTGTTCGCCGACCGTCCAACCTTTTCTGATACTGCAATGCAGATGTTTCTGGACCTGACCTCGTGCTCAAATGCCTCCATTCCGGCCTCGCCGTAGTCATCGTCAGAGGCCACCGTGCTCACGTACGTCCACTTGAAGAAGCGCAGGATCTCAGCCATGGCTTTGGCCTGGTAGAAGTCTGGGGGCACCGTGCGTGCAAAGAAGTCGTAGCGCGACTTGTCGCTCAGCTTTGCGCTCGTGGAGGCGTAGCTGATTTGTGGGATTTGGAAGAGGCGGAGAAGGTTGGCTACCTAGAGTTGGGGAAAAAAACACTGTTTAGTATTTTTATTTGTTTTATATAATCGTTTTTTATTATTATTAAACAAGAGCCCGGTACAAAGCGCATGTGACGGAGAGAGGGGGTACAACTATTCCACGAACAACAAACCCGAGGCCAGGTGCCCCACGGGGCAATGGAGAGAGAAGGTATTTGGGAAACAATATATGATTGGCCGTGTCGGGTGGTGGGTTACGACACATTTATAAATAACGCGGTCTCACCCAAAAACGTTTATTATGAATTTTTTTTACGTCGTTTATTCATTTGAGAGCGCATTCAGATTTTTTTTTGGCATTTTCAAGGGAGCGCTGCGTGGACGTAGATGCATTTTTATTGGCACTGCGAATTAGTTTTACGTTTAGTCATTTAAGCTTTGACACCAAAAGGCAAGGCCCTATTCCTGCTATTGTCGCACAGTCTATAACGTCTACTTGGCGGTGGGTGCCGTGTTTGAAAATACCAAGGCCACCGTGGCAATAACCAGTTGTTTAATTGAAAAAATGAAGTCGCTCTCCAAGCACACTTTTACCGTCCATATAATGCAGTAGAACGAACACACGATTAGTGTAAATATTGAGCAAATCCAACAATATATCTCTCTCCTGTCCCTCGGGTTTGAGGATGATGATGACAACAATCATCAGTTATTCTGGAGGGTCTTCATGTGGCTCCACAGACCAGTACGGGCATACGATACTAGTTGAACAACAACCCTGAATTACGGCACAATATAAAATTAAGCGCGATCAGCACGTCCATATGCAATGCAACATGCACCACTAAAATATCACCCGGCTCAGAACTTTACCCACGCAGCAAGTGTCGGGTGTGTATAATCAGACGAATTTATATTTACCTGGATGGAGACGCTGCTGTAGGAACCGCCGATGACCCCAGCGATGGCCGTGGGTCCTTGATTTTGGATTGCATACGAGCCATCGGGGCACATGTACTCCGTCTCGTCCACCTTCAGCAGCGACGAGCGAACAAACTCCAGGGACTGCTCCAGAGCGTAAGTGTCCCTGGAGCATGTGTCCAGGATGTGTGCTCCCAGCTTTATTCCGGGCAGCAGCGATGAATCCCTGTTGATCTGACCCAACGCAAACAGCATAGCCTCCAGGCGCTGGATGCCACGGTCCTCGTTGATCTTCCCACAGTCTTGCGGTCCACTGCCCTTCTCATGCACTGGGAAGAGGCCACCCAGAACCAGGTCTCCGTCCAGTCGCACCTCTCTCTTGCCACTGCCACCCTCATTTTGAGTGAGAGCCACTTGCTGGGCTACCAAGCACGTTAGGAGAAGAGAAATTAAGTGTTTCCCTATGGCTAGCACCTTCGGATTTTGCATGCTTATTGCATTCGTTTGAAACTAAAGCTGTGCACTAAATATGCCATTAATATATCGAGGCCGATATCTTCATTTTCACGTATTTTTACTTTTGTTTTAATGAGTTGTTCCGCTCACTCTTTTGTGGGTTTGTAATATCTGAAAAAAAAAGATTCATATATCTGTCTGTACGCAGACAATTTTAAGTTATGCCATTATCCTATGGAAATTGATGCAATGAAGACAGATAATATCGTTGTAACATAATTAACGTTCATATTACTAGTGATTTACTACCATTAAAAAGCTGTGAACAAAACAAGACGACTTACAACATTTCATCAACAGAACGAGGTGCCGTATTATAAAGCCATCACCTGTGCTTGAAACGAGGACATCAGCACACATGTCTGAAGATGATTGCTGCCGAATGCACTGCTAACCTCTCGCCAGCTCTCTCTCTGTGGTCCCCTGCGCTCTCTCTCTCGCGCTCGCTCTCTCTCCCTCTTTCCTTCTTTCCCACCCTTCTCTCTCTCTCTACTCCCCCTTCATCCGCAAGGAAGGGGCATTGGGATTTTTTCTATTTAAAAAGCCCACGGCATAACCAACAAAACGTGCGTGTGTGTGCCTCTACACGTGATGGGGAGCAGCAGTGTAGCGGTTAGCTGCGCTGCGCTACAAACCCCGATTATCTGAACCGGTCCTGGGCCTCTCTCAAGGTCGACTCAGCATTAAATGAGTACAGTACCTGATGCGGTGTGTAAACATCGTCATTGGGGAGACAAAGGCGGCCGGGCGTCTCGTTGGCCACCCACCCCCTTGTGTGCCGTGCCGGCCTTTATAGGTGCTCGCTAACAGCACTTGCCCCAACAGTCTGTTAAGGCTATACGGGGGATCTTTGTCTTTTTAGACGCGTGGGTAAGTGTGTGTGCTCTTGTAAATGTGCACTGGGAAGGACAGTGGGGGCTACGGGGTGGAACAGAGATAAATTTACAAGCACAAAAGCCAATCAAGCTTGAGACACATGACACAGATTTCATTGTGAATTGTAGAAGCTGTTTGCCAAAGCAATATGCATAAAGGAAACACATTCGATGCACGAATTAATTTGCAGAAGAACGGAGGAGGTTACATGGGTACAAGCATTCATTGCTCACTATGTACTTGCGTGCACTAATTCAGAATGGGATTGAAAACATGTTTTGTAATAGGCATTGCTGTAAATCACAATGGAAATTCATGGTGTGTCAGTACATGAGCTTGTTTTTATTCATTAGCACACTGTCTGTGCTATACATTCTCTTTTGTGGCATCAAGTTCTTGGTTTTGTAACCTTCAAATGAATATAATTTAAGTTCTGCCTAGTCTCTGCGATTTAAATTTTGAGAAAAAGCTTCGAGGGTAAATCAATTGTGATGCAATTGTAGATATATATCTCAGATTTTTTTTTTACCAAATTTGGTCTTGTTTTTTATTGGTAGTGCACATGTATTTCATATATGTTTAATGGTTTGGTGATTACTATTTAGAACTATTATACATGCCAACATGCCCACACTCGATATACATATATACCCATACCTCTAAATACTTTGCTACATGGCAACGATGACATTGTTTGAATATAAATAAGACATTATTTTAATATATTTCAAACATTAGCGTTTCAATAATAGTAATAACAAAATCGTATATTAATAAAAAAATATATATAAACTAATCATTAATTATTTCGAGTAAAATATATTTTTGTGTATGTTGAACTTCTTTCATACCATACATATCCAACCGCGCTAATCGGAGATTAGATTCTGCTGATTCAAGTGGCTAGGATTATTGCAAATATAACAAATTGCCTGTCAAGAAGCCTTTGTTGCTAGCGTTGCACACTAAGCTTGTATTATTTGTGTGCACTTATTCGCCTTGCACAGCGAGATACAGACAGAAATGCCAGGCAGCACTTTGTTGTGAAGGGACACCAGGGCAGCAAGTGGGAAATAAATTAAAAAAACACTTCAAATCGAAAACACTCCAGCTATGCAGTCACATACATGAGATAAAAACAAATGTAATCAAAATCATCACCGGGGGTAGATCTAATCCAACAGCAACTATTAAGATGCAACATTTGTTTTGGCGATACTGGTCGGCAGTGGTGCATAAGCACAAATGACAATAACACTGCCCTAAAATAATAACATGTAGTGACTCACTTCGGAGACAGGGTTCGTTAAGGCTCCTTCTTTATTCTCACACGTCAGGGAACTACAAACGGCCTGTGTGCTTTCACACGAGTCACACATCCGTCTATTTTGACGGCACTTTCTAGCTGGTACAGTTGGCAGGCTGTCTAGCTAGTGGCGTCTAAGGATGGTTAAGACGGCAGGGACGAAGGTGACGAACAGCGACAGAGCGAGGGGATCCACTTCCAGCAACAGCCCCGAGCTCTCGCCCCGGGCCCCCTTTTATCCTCCCGGCGTGGCCTCGCTTCGCCCTCGCTACGCCCTTTTTCTGGAACCTACTAGCAGGTTCCCGGGCTTCCGAGATTAACCTCTTCCTGACCTTCCCTTTAGTTCCCTTCACCCGCGTATATGCTCTCTCTGCTGATGTGTGTCCTGCCCTCTGCTGTCAGTACCCCTTTCCCGTCAGCTGGCCAGCGTTATTACAATACACATGTTTAAGTAACGTGTGGAATATTTGGCAGTGCTCCTTCTACATAGCAATGGCCCTGCTCCATAGCAGAGATGAAGAAAAGGCAACTGCCCAAAACGTGGCCGATTATAAATTGATGAAATTAATCAAACGTATCACGGTCGATGTTTCAAGCAATGGCTCTACTTCATAACAGAGAGATGAAGAAGAGCCAATGCCCTTAACCTCACCTGTTACAAATATTTGCATGATTTTATATGTACACTTTCATGACCAACATTATGATGCATAATTGGGTTAGGTCGTGTTAGATTCACACTGACACTTTGATGAACTCGGCTGTGTTGGGTGGAGGAGGGTTTACGATGCACATTTGTTAAACGATCCAACCCAAAATAAACTAATTATTAATCATATATTCACTGTTTTATTACTTTCCGGGCAGTGTTATTGACAAATATGTTGAGTTTCTAACTCTCAAGACAGTGTTTTTAAATGATTTAACGAGTGTTGAATTAAGTATGCAGCATGTTGCAGGAATTGATCGTTGCGGTAGGAAAAGGTTGCACCGTTACCAAAAAGCAGGTCTTATCAAGGTCCATCGATTTCGTTAACAATACCCCCCAACACCGCTGCAATTAACCCTCCAGTGTAGCAGCACTTCACACAGTTATAAACAAATTGGTATTGACCGGAAAAAGATAAAAATGCCAATTCATTTATTTCCCCTCACAATATTCTCTTGCAGGCCAGGACAATTTGACAAAGCGTTCCTCGACGGGCTCTCTGTGGAAGCACACAAAGATAAATGACAACGTCGGCACGTGCGAGCTACAGCCTTCTCTGTTTCACAACTATTCTGACTCAGCGGAGTGAAGTACTGAAGCGTGTCACCTTCGCAGTCTCGCAATATCCTCTTGGATTGTATTTATTTCTTAGCTTCACATTGCTATATTTGGCAACATATTTGCAATTCGTTTTTTGTTTTACCCGCCACAATTGTCTCGTGACCAGTCCTTTTGACAGAGTGTTCTCAGATGGCTATCTGCAGATACACGAAGATAATGACAGATTGTAAATATTGTGGATTTGCTCTCCAACACACCCGTGTGCTGTACTAGTAACGAATTGGTATGTTCTGTTTACGTGACAAACCTTACTAATTGGCTGCGTGTAGTGGTCGTGGGTTTAACGACACATTTATATTTATGCTAACCCAAGAAAAAACCTTTATGGGTATTTTTTTCTTTGTATTTTTGTGCATAGGGTCTGCTGGCAATGCATGGCCCTCCCCTCACCCCCTCCCCTCAAGGCCTTCTAAAAGAATAACGGGCAACCTCACGACCCAAAGTAGGATCGGCCTACGGTCTTAATCGGTGGTGGCGGGTTTAACGACACATTTATATTTACGCGATCTAACCCAATAAACCTATATTACGGATAATTCCGATGTTAACGCATGAGAGCTACAGCCTTCACCTGTGTCACTCGACACAACTATTATGTGGTCACCATGTAACAAGATTATATATTGTTGATAATTTAACAAAAATGTAAAATATAACTACACTGAAGAGTCTGGTAAAAATGCTGAAGGATGGATGTCACGTTAATAGTTTTCAAGAACCATTATCAAATACTGTCAGGTGGTATTTGTTTCTTAATTCAGACTGCAATGTTTTGCAAGATATTTGCAAACGTTATTATGACTTCACTCAACAATTTCCAATCTATAAAAAAAACTGCAAATTGAGTTGCAGGAAGTCATTTCAGCCAAAAAAAGTTGACCTTGGGGTTGCAACTCATTTCAGGATGAATGTTCCTCGGAGAAGCCCTTGGTAAAGAAGCCAAATGGAATGGCTCACGAGTTGGAGCCGAACCAGATTGTCCGCGATTAAAAAACAACACATCAGCCAACACCACGCATCCCAAGCATGTACACAAACTCACAATGCGCTTTAGCGGAACATTTTGGTTACTCAAACAGCAGAACTCAATTGTGTCTCCACATATATATTTGCAGAAAAAAACTCGCCTCCTATCAGATTCCCAAACGAATATTATTCAACAGCATCTGTTCAAGCCAGTGGTTCTTAACCTAGGGTGCACGCTGAATGAACCCCCTCGGGGTGCGAGATGCCCTTTCTGAGGGTGCGAGACACGCCTGAATTTTTTAGAAGGTACATAATCGAAAACATAAATTAAGCAAAGGCATGCAAGTACAACTACTCTGCTTATCAAAACGATGCATTTATTAACATTGTACTTTTTTTTTACGATTGAGAACCAAAGGGCTTGCTGGCTGTAGTCATGGTTAAGAACCACTGGTTTAAGCGAACACATGTTGGACTCATTCTAGATTTGAAGCTTTCGTGACTTAACTTTTAATTGTATTTTTTACCTACGTGACTTTACCGAAAAAAAACCTAAGCGAATAAATGCTTGACTGGTTCAAAAATCATTAAATAAATGCTCCTGGGTGCCCAATATTGTATTGTCAACATGACACCATATAAAACTATGGGGCTCGGTTCAGCACTAAAAGCAATATTGTCATATTGTTTGGGCGAGTTAATAGGCCCATGGACTAAAACATGTTTTTATTTACGTGGAGACACAAACCGAATGCTGCTTGCACACATGTCTACTCAG